TTTCCTGGCTCTAAAACAGTGGTTCTTAAAGTTCCCACATGCACCAAGTATCAACTCACCTTCAGCCCAACTGTAATACCTTTATTGGATAGCAAAAGGTTGGGGGCTACATACAAAATTAGGACCATTGCCATTGCTGGTGTGATGGAATCACGCCAGCCTGTGGATCTGACTGCTCACCAATGATGTTTATGGATTCAAACCGCCATCCTTCAGATCAGTGGACAAACGCTCTACCAACTGAGCTACTGTCGCCTCACAATCAGACCGACCCTAAATTACCACAAAATTTGAATGCAATTAGCCAGTTTTGAACCTTTGTTGATGAACAGAATTTTAAATATGCCCTGCATTCATTTTGCCCCGCCCATTTCTTTCACAAATAATTGATTCTGTTTCATCCCTTCTGACATCCGGGATTTACTGGACAGTAGTTACGTATGTAATTTACATTTCATGTACTGTCTTGAGTTAGAACAAACTAGTGTAACTGGTGAACTACCAAGTCAGGTACAGTCTCTTTAACAACAAATTACAGCGGACCACCAGTAGTACGTGCACCTGAGTTTGAGAAACACTTCTTAGAGTCTTGGGAATCCAGGAGCAGCCGGAATGTGTTTGAAGGGATGAGTGTTGGTGCTGACAGGGGGATCAGGAGCTCGGAGGTGGGCTGTTATCATACCTCCAGCTCTTATCTCAACACACCACAGGCACAAAGCAAAAGAAATGTGTTTTAGCCTGCCATGCTTTGGAAATAGTTGACATTTCCCCCGGCTTTAATTAGAAAATGATAATTGTCCCAATGTCTTTGATGAGCTTAGTTGAAAGCTGCATTGTGTGTTAAAAGATATTTGTAATGGTAATGGTTTCTCAGTGGTCTGCTAATGGCAACAGCTTTTTGGAAAAATGAAATACGTTTCCAAGTGTGTTTTTTATAATTATGTAAAATTGCCCAACCAGTAATTGCAGATAATGAGAAACTTCAATCTCCATAAACTGGGTAATTATTCTATTTGAGGCATTTTAACTATTTCAAAATAAGCTGTATTTATTTTATTTTCTACAAAGAGAGTAATGTTTATTGTTCACCATAATACTGTTATTGATGCTTTGGGGGAATGAATTGGCAACATTTATGAAAATTTGTCTTTGTTTTTGATCTTTGTGATTCACTTTCTAAGCCAAAAACCAACAATATAACAGACTTGCCTTGATCAAATAAAGTTTAAGTGTGTTTATATGTTTACCCCAGATTGACTGAGAAGAAACAGAAAGTAAATGCTACTACTAAGAACTCCAATATTGAAAGATATGGTAACTTGTACGCTGACTTTTGACTGCAAGCCAATAGCCAGTCTATAGGTCTTGCTTTTCTCAAATTCTTGTGTTATGTTACTTGTGGTTATACACAAATATAATAGAATAAGATCAATTTGTTGTTCTTTGAAAAATCCTTTCAGATAAATGTATTTATCAAACCAAATCAAACTCACTACAAGCAGACTTGGAAAAGTGTATGCTTGACCTAGTCCGATACGAACCGTAAACACCGAATTTTGATTGTGGGGGTCGTGATTTGAATCTCCGTAATTGCATGAACATGTAGTACTCAGATTGTACTGCTCTTACTGTTGCATGTATACAGCTCTGATCAGTCTAGGAGAGGTATTCAACTGCAATGGGCCAAAACTACCTGGCCAATATTAGACATGTTTGTATATGTACTCATCAGCATCAATGACATTAATTTTGGCTTTCACTGATCCTGAATTACAAGACACCAATGAATATCGCTTAGCCCTCACTCACACCGATTCTGTAGAGGGGACCAGAGTGGACTCGGTTTATGGAGATGCAAGAAAGAAATCATACTAAAAGTGTACTCATATTTACCTGTGCTTGTAAATGTAGAAACTGAAGGATGAGAGAAGGAGAGCATGATCGCACTTGAAGCCCCAGGTCTCTCCCCCCCTTTGCCCCTCATAGTGCCTCTGCCCCTCCTGGCCCCTCTGCCCCCTTTGCCCTCTCTGATAATGTGTTGTGAAGAGTGTTTAATAGTAAATGCAGTGTCTGTCTGAGTCTCTGCTCTGTCCCTCTGCGCTGTGACCTGAGCTGCAGACTCCTGTTCAAAGTGAGAATGTGAGTGCGGAGGTGATAAATGTGTGAGTGTGTGGATCACTGCTCTGTCTGGACTCTGGTGTTGTTGGGTTAGTTACAGCTGGAACATTTGGAGCCTAACTCACAATCTATGCAAATCACTTCTATAACTTAATTTTGCTGGACAAAAAAAAATTCATTGTGATTTTTTGAAGTATTGCCATTTAGATTTTTTTCAGTTTGTCAAACTTTCCAATGTGCACATTTTAAACTGATCCAGCAACACTAACAAAAAGATTGAAATATGAACTGGTAATACAAGAATCCATGCTTTTCAAACTTTTGTAGTGACCTTAACTCACCCAGGGTTTTTGATAATTTGACAATTCAGATGGCATCTCCTCTCAAATGCTTGTGAGTAATATTCAGAGTAAATATTCTAACTTCTCTCATCTCTGATTTCCAACAGAGTTTAAGGCCTCATTTATTCAAGTAAGAGTAGTCAGTAGTTGGTTAATCTATCTGTCAGTTGCATTCATCAGAACTAGGGTTGTTGATACAAGAATTGGACATTTGTATTCATAGAGTAGGGCGAGACTCTTGGGTGGTCAGTCTAACGCTGAGAAAATAATTGTAAAATGAAAGATCTGTTTTTATGACTTATCCACAAATGTGCCGTAATGCTGTGGCACGATTGACAGATTTCACAGTTTCTAAGCTTACTCTTCATTACGCTTTCTCAATAGAGTCACATCCAGTTTTCAACATTCGCAAGTTGGAAAATTTCACTTTGCACTTTGCGTTGGATTGAAACAGGTTGTAGTTTTGTTATTTTAGATCATCGCTTTACACTTGACTTTGGATAACAGTGAGTTCGTTGTTTTGGTCCAATTGAAACGGAACATGCACATATCCGTTATCAGGCATCACGATTTTCTGTGTAAGAATAACTTCGGCTATCTCAGGTTGCACTTTCCCAAGCTCAGTCTGAAAACATTATATGGAGTTAATGGGACAACCAGGAGGAAAGCTGTTTCAACACCCTCCTAACACCTACACCTCTGTTTTTCTCATTTAAAAACAGCAGCAAGGCAAAATCCACTATGCTGTAATGTGATATTAAGTCAATGGCTTACGAGGTGCAATACAAGAGAGGATTATGTCAAAGTCTTTTCCCTGTCAAAGAACCATATCACCTAATATTCCTGCTGCGTTTGCTCCAAAAATGGGTGTAATGATTTTCAGTCCAGCCAGACTCATTCATTATAAGTGAAGTGGGTCTGGAGTTCTTTACACCAAAACAAACGAATGTGCTAAGAAACATACTGTATTATCCAAAACAATCACTGTGTATTTAAACAGTTGTTAGGCTTATGTAATACGAGGGCTGCAATCAAATTTTTCTGTTTGATTTGATTAAAAACTAATAAAAATGACTTCCCGCATTAATTTCCTGAAAATAATTTCTAATCATTGATTTTTAACACAAAAAAATGGTTGTATTTCTTCACCCAAAGTCTTAACTCTAACCACATGCTTTTAGTGACAGAGGATTGGCTGTTGAACCACTGCTTCTGATAGACTGGCCTAGTTGCATTGAAAAATGGGTCAAATGCAGAGGACACATTTCTCTATGGGGACAATAAAGTGTACCTTAACCTGAAGACAAACATATCATTGAGAAATTTAAAATGTTTTGATTAAAATTTGATTTATTGTGTAACCCCTTGATTTTGACCCTAGCTACATAGATGAGACCACTCTTGAGGATTGGAAAACAGACTGGTATCAGTGTCTGCCAATGCAATGTTATCAAATCAGTTTACAGCGGGGGGAGTATATGGATAGTATAGTGGTTTATAATTAAAGGGCCCATATTACATTATTTTCTGATGTTATGTTTTCTCATCGCAAACATATTTGGAGCTGAGTTTTTTTTTATAGTTTACATCTCTCCTGACATTATTTTTTGATGATGGTCTGTTTTTTGTGTTTGAATATCCATTTTTAGTTGTAGATGTCACATATTGTCAAATTTTAATTGCTTCGAGAAACAGCAGAGTAATTCTTGGTACTGAACAGAATAGATTAAGGATGGCTGCTCCAAGGCTATGTAATTTAATCATTATCATATTTCAACCACAGCGAGCCAACAGTGTCTCATACGGTACTGTGCCAGAAAAATCAGGATCCCAAATCTGATCTTTGTATCTATATAAAACTTGGCTATATAGTGATTTGTGTTTCTGGTATTAATAAAACAGTAAAATAGTTAACCCTTAATGGGGGAGGGTTGGCATAAGGTCAGTTTGTAAATCTTGACTTTGCTTGAAACTTGGTAGAGCCGCTTTCTTTTTGCCAGTTCTTGAATCCCGACCAAGACCACTGGCAGAACTTGAAACTATGGGGCATGTCTTTCTGGAGATCATAATGCATTCAGATATTGTATTACTTCATAATGCACTTTGGAAGAAGTCCTTTGGATACTGGAGAGTTTGGGTGCCCAATGCTGACCGAAATGGTGTTATCTCTGAGTGATTCCCCAGATAACAATACTCAGATCATTATATTTTTCAGTCCAGAAGACGTGCTAATGCTTGCCTATAAATGTCTTGGTTAAGGTTCAAGTACGGCACTAAAGTGAATGGATCATAAAACTAAACTTTAAATCTATATTTGAAATACTACAGGGATAGAGAGCACTTGAAAACAGATATTTCCTTGAACCTCAGATTACTCAAACTTGCATGAATCAATCAAACTTCAACTCTGAGTAGTATACTAATGATGATAGAGAACCATTGTAGTGTGGTTAAAAGCTGAACATTCGATTTTGCACGATATGTCTCCTTTAATGGATGTACCATTGTATCCTAATCCCTATTTCGCTATATTTTCCATAGAACTTAAGTCCACTGGCACGGCTCACCACTTCTCCTTTCTCCTGAACTCCACGGACTATCGAATACTTCGCATGGACGAGGACCATGACCGCATGTACGTGGGCAGCAAAGACTACATCCTGTCTCTAGACCTGCACGACATCAACAAAGAGCCACTCATTGTAAGGAATAACATATCAAGGTGCTAGGATTTCATGTTATTTTGGCTAACCACAATTCTGTACCATTTTCTCTTTAGATCCACTGGCCTGTAGCTCAGCAGAGGAGGATGGAGTGTGTGTTGTCGGGAAAAGACACCAATGTAAGTCTGCAATTGTGACATGTACATTATTTTGTAGTTAAACAGGTAAAATGATATTGCGTTTTGTTTTTCCTATGTTTTAAACCCCTCCATAGAGAATATATAGTAAAAGTAATCATATGTGGTACGATTGTGAGAGCACAATTGGGTTTTATTATTGAGGATTACAATATGAGGGGAAGCCCACTCCAATTTTATCTTTGGCTGCTGTTCTGCACTCCAATAATGAATGCCATATTAAACTGGTTTGTCTGCTTACACAGCAAAATTGCTCAATTATAGAATAAATACAATGCCTGAAACTTAAGAAAGACAGTTTAAAATAAAAACATACAAGTCAAATAAAAGAATGTCTTGTTCTTCTGATGACGACTGAAGATAATTTGTGTTCACTGTTGCTTATTTTGGATTTCAAGTCAGTGGACTGTTTCTATTATTAAACGTGCACTATGTCAATTTTCTAGTGATCGGTTTGCCTCCTACTAGTCTCCATGAATATATTCTGCTACATTAAACTTATCTTTCCAAATGGAGACAATCTGTTGATGCCACCAGGTCAAGTTATATGTCAAATCTGTGGAGAGGAGACCACGTTCAAATATATTCTGTGGATATTCCAGGTAAAACTATAATATCTCCATGGAGGCAAGAAGGTGGCAGTCCTCCCACAAAAATCTCATAGTGCATCTTTAAGTCAGTCTGGATCAGTATTGCAATTTAAATTGAAATATTAATATATACAATATATACAATATATATATATATATATATATATATATATATATATATATATATATATATATATATATATATATATATATATATATATGTGTGTGTGTGTGTGAGCAAGTGCATGTGTGTGTGTGTGTGTGGGTGAGCATGTGTGTGTCTTTGTGAAAATTATTGTAACTACCAGTAAAGCATAGCATGTCTGTTTAATCACCACTATAGTAGTATGTATTCATATTTTATGAGCATTTTATGTTTTATGGTCCAGATTAGAGATTCAACATATTAAATGTGTTAATAGTGTTTGGAACAGTACCACCTATCAGTGCATAGTAAATCACTGCATTGAAATTCATATAAAACAGGTTTTCTTACACAATATGAGGTGTGATCAGGCTCATAATATCTCCAATACCAAGTTTATCCAACTGGTTTATAAACTGTTTTTGTTTTTGTTCGTCAACCCACTCAACTCACCACCTCCGGCTACATCATATTGCCCTTGTACCTAGACCCGTTTTGGAGATCCTGGTCTGAAATTTCATCACAAAAATACAAAATTGGCTTCAAGGAGACATGTTGGCAATCCTAGCTTCTCTTTAGGGAATGACAGATGATGACAATTGGACAGCGATCCAAAAGGAGACTGCGATTCAGGGAGGTCATAGGCAATCATCCCGTGCGTGTGTATATGTGTGTGTGTGTGTGTGTGTGTATGTGCTCTCATGGGGGTGCAATGAATAATACAAAACACTCTATCCCCAAACCCTCTGACCACCCCGCATCTGTCACACTGCTACCATGTGCCAAAACGTCTCCTCTAACCCGCCCCTCCCACCCCCAAAGTCCTGAGCACAATCCTTTTTATGACAGCACATCCTTTCTTCAACACCAGCTGTCAAGAGCCGCATATATGATGGACAAATCAGGGAAGATATTACTAGATAAAGTACATTTTTAGAGTTTTAGAGCTAGCAGAGATTGAGAGAAAGCAGGGAAATAAACAGACAGCTGGACAGATAAATGAGGATTATAAAGTTGTTTTTACCAGAGGTTCTTAGAGAGTGCACTGGGGTCATGTTGGGTTACATTATAGACAAAAATCTTTTTTTCTCAACATACCATTGTTTGTGTGTGTATGCATGTTTGTGTGTGAGCAATTCAATGGGGCCTGCCTCCTTTATGCAGACTGAAATCAGGTCCCCATGATGCATAAATCCTTTAATATTATCTTAACAATATGCTTTAAAATTCAGATGTGGATGCAAGGTTACTCATTAGGTTAAAGTTAGGCAAGCAGCTATGACATGACAGTCAATGTAACGCCCCCAAAAAACATGGAAAACCACGGTGCATGTGTAACCACTTTTAACTGTCTATTTTGTTAAGTTGTTTATGCACAGTGACTGAAAAATTAGCCGTGAAAAGTAGATACTGTTGCTGTGTTTCTGAGGAATGCATTTTGACCATATTGCCCAATACAATGTGCTTGGTGGTCTAGTGTTTACATGTCGTGTAGATCTTCAAATGTAGCTTTACAATTTTTCATCACAATCACCTTATTTGGCAAGTTTTCCACAAATATCTTAAAAACAACCTTCACTTGAATGTCAAAGATCCCTGTTTGTATTTTCATCCGTCAACACTTTGTTTCTGTCTAACCGTAATGATTTCTGTTATTGACTCTGACAGAAGTTGGAGGTGGTTTACAGTTGCTCGGGTCCAGGGGTTTGTTGCTTTTCTTGGTCCCTCAGTTTTGGGTGTGGGGAAACGTTGACAGTGTGGTTCTGAATCCTAAGCCAGAATCTAAGCTGCCAAACACAACGAAGGCAGCAGCGAGAGGAGAGATGGACTGGGCCAGCGCCAAGCAGAGGGCTATTAAACACCAGGGGCCAGTATTATATTACAGATGAGACGCCTTTACAATGTATTTTACACTGATTTTAAGTATGGTGTGAATATATTCAAACGTATACTGGTAATCAATCAAATCCATTTATAAGCTATTTTAAGATGTATCGAAAAAGAGGGAGCCACTGTCTGTGTGAATGTTCATGTATATTAATCGTTAATACAAAATACATTTTTGCATTGCTCGAGGCAAGTAAGCACTTATATATATATTAAAATAGTTTATAGTAATAATGTATCCCAAGCTCTAGAGAAAAATATATATTTAATATTGGAGAAATGCACTCAATTAAGCAAAGTAACACCCTGTAACTTTCTGGAAGCGGCACATCACCTGCATGATTCCATAAAAATGAGTAAGGATGTTTTTCTACGATTTTCAGAGCAGTAAAGAGCAAAAACCAAAAAAAACAAATAAAAAAAGGATTTTAGTCTTTTGGCTAAAAAGTTACATGGTGGAGCTTTAAATACAAACTGTTTATATATTTTTGATTTACCTTGAGAAATTAGTAGTTTCTGAAATGATTCACTGGCTATGCCAAGAAAAAGCACTGGTAGCCTTGGTACATGCTCACTGTTATTTGTTCAATCTGGGCTTGTGTAAACTGTAAAACTGTAAAGAGCCTAACAAGTTCCTCCAATCAAGACAAACTTAATTTACTTCCCTACAATTAGACTGGAGCAATAAGCCATAATTTAAATTCCTCTGTCTGCTTGACTGAAGAACATATTGCTTCTTTGTGTTTCAGGGTGAATGTGGAAACTTCATCCGTCTGATCGAGCCATGGAACCGTACTCACCTGTACGTGTGCGGGACGGGCGCGTACAACCCCATCTGCACCTATGTGGACCGCGGGCGGAGGTCACAGGTAACCGTAGAAACCAACTTTGACCTTTACCATTCTCTTCAATAACAATCATATCTGTCAGTCAATCTGAGGTCAGACAGCCTCCTGCAGCTCTGTGTCTCCTTTTCATTTTCTGCTTCTTGGCTTTCATCGATTCATTCAACTTTGTGGTCTGGAGGGCTATGAGAAAACCTTTCCTTTCTTGAGTTCAATTATTGGGGTAAAATTGCAGTCGGTGAGGGACCTGCCACAAATCAGAGACAACAATCTTCTATCACAGTTGAGAAAGCATTGACAGAGTGTATCCTGTGGAAACATGTCATGTAAGGGAACTCAATATAAAAAAATGATGTGCATTAACTACAGTGAGTATCAAAACTATATAAACTGTTAGATTTTTTTACAATGTTCATTAAACATAAAATGCTCAAAGACTTGAAAAACACCACCATTTGATTTAGACTCCTCTTGGACATTTATTTTTAGTAAAGAATTCATATTTGTCATGCAGGACCATAGCATAAAAGAAAAATATGTAGTTATTTTATGATAAACTAGCTCACTTAATGGCCAGATTTAAACTAAATAAACAAAGCTAAATCTGACCATATGAAATGCACGATCAAGGTCTAAACATATGCATTTTTACAGTTAAAAGGAAAATTCATTGAATTCATATGATATAATTCTGACTGGGCCTCCAATTAAATTTTAAAATAGGTTTCAGATTTATGAGAAATTTGGAATGTCCACAGAAAACCATAGACATTCATTGATGCAAAATTCGCTTCCCCTTGCTGTGACTCAATCACTTGGCTACCCACTACAACCTGGACTTACGTCAAACCAAACGCTCTTTCACATATAAATGAATGGTGAAGCCAATCTCCATATTAAGGTATATAACATGTTACATAACATTTAACGGTCACTAGATGTTGACACGAGGCCCACACAAGTTCATAAATCTCAACTGAAACTTGGTTACCCATTAGCTCAAATGCTACTTTTACAAAATAAAATAAAATAAAATAAAACAACAATTACTTTAAACAAGATGTTTCAAAATCTTCCTGGACTAACCAAGTTGCTAAGTAGCCAACATTGAGCGCTGTGTCTTCTAATTATATGTCTATGTGTTGAATGAAAAAAGTTCTACAAATGTCCCCTATAGCAGCAAGCACATGAAAAATGCAATCACCAAGTCGCATGCCCTCCCCTCACCTGTTTGGACCACGAGCCTGTAGTGTGTCCCGTGTAAAGCCCATCTCTGCTGATAGACTCTCTCATCCATCATCAGCCTTGTACCCCTCGCCCCCCTCCACCCCCTTCCATGTCCCCCCTCGATGTCCCCCTTCACTCCACTGCAGCTGCCGCCCACTCTCGTCCACACTGTGCCTGTGTAGTCTCACCATTCAAATGGACAGATCAGGTTTCAATGCAAAGGTCAGAGCTCATCCTGTCATTCATCGATTCCCCAAGGACCCCAAAGCTATGTGTAAAAATGTGTCAGTAACAGTAGATGTAAACACAAAAATACCTATGAAATTATTGGTACAAACAAAGCACATGCTTTGTATTTTTTTTTAAAACAATAAACTGTTCGATATCATGCCTCATTTATATTTTATAGGAAGCAAAGTGTGATTCCCTCTGCTATTAACAGATGAATATTTACCAATAATAGTTCCTCTGCCTTATATTCAGAAATATGCCACTATCTTTTACAATAATAATAATAATTGAGCTTTCAGCCTCTAACAACAATAGTAGAAAACAAATTTGTGTCATAATTGTAAGATAAAAACTTAAACCAGTAGAAATGAATGGTGTATTTAGTGACTTGGTTGAGTTTATTTCTACATTAGTACTAATCTTTTTCAAACATTCAAATTTGACATTCAAATATCACTGTGTTGTTGCAAGATTCTTCATTATATCATACTACATATGTTATCACATATGTATACTCCTCTTTTTTAATATATATTTTTTTCTTTTCCAGAGTTGCATGTTTGCATGAGGTCTCCAGCTGTGTTTGCACGACTCATATCTAACTCTAAGCAAACTCTCTTCTAAACAATATTTGCTCTGGTCTTTTGTTTCAACTTTGTCATCCATTTTTCTCTTCAGTTCAAACATTTTTTCTTTTTCCCCAACCACTTGTTTTTTCTTTCGGCTTCTATGGTCCTTCTCATGGTATTGTGGCCTTGTTTTGGGAGGTCAGGTGGCAGTAATAGAGTGGCCCTGTGTCCCGTGTGTGTGTGTGTTTTAGGGCTCCCAGTTCCTACAGCCATCTCAGTCTGGAGGAAGGACTAGCCGAGCAGCAGACCTCAGCACCACAGCAGAGCCCATGGAGGCCAAGGTGGGCTCGGGGAGGAGACTTCGGTCTGGTGCCCACCTTAAATACGCCTTTTATTTTCTCTTTTTCACATATCAACACTTTTCACTTTTTTCTGATGTGAAGTGATAGACTGCTGCCTTTACCTCAAGATCATTCCATGTCAGTGTGGGAATCCAATTACAAAAAGTTACAAATAGTGTAGCCTTGTCCTAAGCCTGGATAAATGGTGCACTGTAAGACTCCAAAGCTCCAAGATTAATAAAAAAATAAATAAAAAAAAAGGTCTTTCAGTAAAAATCTATAAATTATGAGATGTAATTACTGTGTTGACATCTTTTAGCTGCTCACTTTGAACCATCTTCAGAACTGTCTTAGTTTATTGTTTTAAAAAGAACCAAGACTTTGGCCATTCACACTGGCTATTGGTGTGGACAATCAGGCTTTCATTGAAACTAATATATTGACGTCATATTCCTTTCATATTTTTCAGGTTAATACTGACATAGTAGTTTTTATGTAACATCAGGTCATATTTTGACTTGAATGTATTCAAGTCAAAGTATTCAAGTATTCAAGTTCATTTCGTTGCGGTAGGTTGTTAGGTAGTGTATTCATCTTCCCTTTCTTAAACAGACTGCTCTTTATGTTGTTGTGGAGGGAAGTATTTTTCTTTCTCTGTTTTTTTCTGCCTTAACGTTTTTCTTTGAAGTACCAGACAAACTCACTTACTTTTATATACATAGACGCAGACTTGGCCAAGGTTCAGTTTGTTGATTCACACAGAGAAATTATAAATATATCAAATTCCTTACAAATTACTAACTTCAAACGCATGCTGAGTGAGTGTTGGAGTGCCCTCAGCGTTTTCCCTTCACCTCTATGATAACTGATGTATTTTGTGTTCTCCTCAGAAGACCTTATGTGCCTTTAGGGTCTTGTCATTAAACTGCGCCTGAAGCTTATCATTACTTGATACTACGAAAGTGCCTTCCAAACTTTGACATGGACAAAACTGAATAAAACATCAAGCATATCACAATATTGAAACTATTCTAATTTTACAGGAATACATCTTCAGACTTGAACCTGGCAAAGTGGATTCTGGGAAAGGAAAATGCCCCTATGACCCCAAACTCAACAGTGTCTCTGCTTTGATCAGTAAGTACACCTTCTTTACAGCATGTCTCACATATTTTAAAGCTGCACTATGTAACTTTTCTGGTGCAGGGATTCAAATATTCACTATTACTTTGATCATACTGTATATACAATAGTACACAGTGCACCTTTAATACAACTTTATCACATACAGTTATGATGGTCTGACTTTATGTAGCCTGAGGTCAAATTATTTTTCAATGTCATAAAACCTCTCTTCCATGATGTCAGAGTATAATCATTATTATTAAAATCCAGAACTTAAATGCCCCCGTGAATTATAAGATGAACATTATTTAGATACAGTATGTACTTTTGTAAAATTATAAGATATAAGATCATTTATAATTGTGGAACATGTAAAGACGTGAATGAACACAGTCTATTACTTTCTAGCAACATTTAATGGTTTCCTTAACTGACTGATCAAACTGTCTTTCACTAAACATAGGCTAATAGAACAAGGTAGAAAGGGTTTCAAAAATAGTTATCTGCACAGTGTTTATGAAATTGGGAGATTTCGACTTGTGTCTGATCATTTTTAGTTTTTCTAAAAAATATCTGAAAATTACTTGACAGTAGGGGTGTAACAATATCCAAGTCTCACGATACGATATTGTCACAGTATGAACCTCACGGTATCATATTTATTGCGAGATCATGTGAAAGTTCACGATATCCAAATCTCTCAGTATGATATTTTCATGGTATGATATTTAAAATGCCTTGACAAGACTTAATCCATAGTTATTTCTTCTTGTAGTCTACTCTGAAATGGAGCAAAGGATCATGGTCTATGTAGCCTTCTCTGTCTTTTTTTTTAGCTAATGCTGCACCATAACTCTTAATTTAAGCAAAGAGATTGTAATTCAATATATTGTGATGGTCCACGATATTATTGTGAGAACTTTGATGACACAATATCACGATATTTCGGTTATTTTAGCATCCCTAAAGGGGAACAATACAGGATACTTTTATGCTTGGGAATTTCAAAAGACAGTTAAGCACAAACCAAATTCCTTTACATTGTCTAATAATACACCTGAACCTTACCCATGTTTTTGTGCGGTTGTATTGTGAATGTCCTTGCTTCACTTGGTCGTCTGTTGTCAGCAGTTACAGGTGGTCCCACATGCTGAGAATTCACTTCATTCACAACAGCCCCTCTGAACTGTTTAAGAATGTGCATGTCACTTTAAGACCGCTAACCAGGGGAGCATATTTAACCTTTGTGTTGTTTGACTCTGGAGCAGGTGGATTTCCCCTGTTACAGCATTCAACAACATTTCAGTCACTATTGGCAAGAAGCACTTGTTTATTCAGATGCACAATGTAGTAAGATAGAAGTTCAGAAGTGGGGTTGAAATATAATCATTTCTGCACAAATCTAAATATTTACTAGGGCCCTCGAGTCACGTGAATGAAACTCATTGATATATTTGTTACTATTCAGTGCGATGGTGGCTAGTGGAGAGATACTGTGAAAGTAACTAAGAAATTCTGACCCTTGTGAAAGCTTTAGGTGCCTTGTCAAGTGAACACAAGCAGTTTGATTTCTACATTGAAGGAACAGTAGTGACACAAGAGCTGCTGTACCACAAATTGTTAAAGGTCCTATATTACACAAAAATAACGTGATTTAAGCCATATTATAATGTTGTTTCCTCATCAAAAACATACCCAGAGTTGTGTTTTGTTTCATTCACACAATTTTGAGTAATTCTCCATTATTAGTCTGTCCAGATCCCCAACGCTCAAAGTACCTACTGCCATCTACCTTTTATCCTTTTTTCAGTAGAGATAAAATTATCCAAATAATTCTAGTGAATGTGTATAGCTTGAAAACACAGTGGAGGACGCCCTGTATTACTACATGACATCACAAGGTGGAACAGAGTGTTTTCTGTTTGAGAGAAGACCACGGCCTAAATATACAGGGTTTGTTTTAAACATGTGTGAATGAAACAAAACACAACTCCAGTATGTTTTTGATGAGGCAACAGCATTATAACACAGACCAGAAAATAACACCAAATATGCCGTAAGGAAGTTCATACTGGCCAAAGTTTTCAGAATACACACATATTATTGCATGAGCTAGGTTGTCATAACACTGAACAATATGACAACTAATCACTGACAGATAGTTATATGTCATGTTTAATTTTTGTCACATTGTCAGCTGCTCTCCAAATCACCAAGCGTGATAATAAAATAACAATATAGCTATGACATAAAGTCAATGGGGAGTTTGTATGACTGATTTTTATGGCCTTTTACAAAAATTACAGTGATTGTTAGGTCATTAAATACCCACTGCTGTGTGTGCCGTCATTCAGATGTAGTCTTTGAGAGATGAGGCAACTTGAAACCAGTGCTTCAATCATACTGTATATATATGTTTCTTATTTTAACCTGTTAGAAAGATGACTTCACCTCCATGACAACCTCCTGTGTTTCTGTGTTTGTGCGAATGACAGATGGGGAGCTCTATGCCGGAGTCTACATCGATTTCATGGGAACGGACTCGGCCATCTTCCGCACACTGGGCAGGAAGACAGCCATGAGGACCGATCAGTATAATTCCAGATGGCTCAATGGTAAACTCATATTCCACTGTATCTCTTCTAGTATCTTAAAGGGGACATAATATGACTTAGTTATGGTGTTTAGTGTTATACTATTACTTATGGAGATCATGTGATTTTACATTGTGTTCATTGTAAACTGCTATATTGATCAAAAACTACAAACAAAAAGGGTCCCTCTTTATAGTCGCATTTCTTTTACACAATTTTATTTATTTTTTTTTTAGTTATGTGAGATTTTTTTTTTACATTTGTCTGTTGGAACTGGTGTCTGATTTTAAAAAAAGGACTCTGAGTGGAGATAGTGGGTAGGTGAAAACTGACATTTTCTAAGCTCTGACGCCTCAAATTCAGGACAAACATACACTCAGACATGTTTGAATCAATACAAATAAATCTGTGTGTAAGCTAAAGATGAGGGAAAACCTTTGTAACATGGTTAATCTCTTATAAAAGTACATTTTGCCTAATATGTCTGCTTTAAGTGAAACTATGCAGCAGTGTTCATACTTTGTAAGAACAAGATATGTTGATAATTCCATGCTGTTTCACATGACCCAGGGATCATTCGATACCAAAGCAGAAAATTGTTGATTGCGTGCGGCTGCAGGGTTGGACAGTGCGGTCACTAGTCCATAGCTAATTACTGCACGTCGATAATGACCCTGAGTGGAGCTTGTAATCGCAAATGAACCGTGGATGTCACAGCACTAAAAAGGCCAGTTGGCAGATGGGGAAAAGAACTAGATACTTTTAGCCCTAACGCGTTACTCATTGCTTTGTTGAAGGAGTAAGGCATTTTGTAAATCATGCATAACAAAATAATACTTCATATAAAGAGAAATGTATTTAGTTTCTTTTGGGGGTAATTTATATAGAGTATCAGTAATGGAATACAATTGCAGAAGAAGGAAAACTAATCAAGCAAGTTTTACAATGATCATTCATTTGCTGTCGTTTAAAGGAGCACTACGTAACTTTTCATGTGCCACTTTTTATGGAGTTTGCATTGCTTTGTCTAGACGAGAATGTTCCACTGTATGTCATTAAACACATCTAGATATCCATGGAAACAACAAACTGATGCTACGAGGCCAAGTTGTAAGTCAGAGCTGTGGAATGTAAGAATTCATGTTTTTTGAGTTATTTTTGTTTTTCTTTAATTCAATAAATGCAAGTTAGATATGTCATAACATCTCATGAAGACCAGCTGTAGTGTACTTCCTATTAAAGTTACAGAATGTTGCATAATTAAATGCTACATTATTTACTTATTTGACTCATTTATATGTACATAAATGAGTCAAAGTAAATAATGTAGCAAAAATTATCAAAAGGTGGTATCACATTTATAAACACGCTTTAGCTATATCTTGTTAGCTGATGCAACGTCATGTCACCCAATCAATCATACCAATCAGTGTCATCATTATCATTTTTATTTTTACCTTTGACCCTGTTGCCCCCGACAACGGTAGTCCCCTGGTGATGTAAGAACAAAATGGGGGACACCTGAGTCCTGCTAATCAGCTGTCCAATCAGTGCTACATCATACCCCTGTCCTTCCCCCACTCCTTCCCCTCTCTCCTCTCCACTCCCTCTCTCCTCCCCCTCTCTCCCTCTCTGTGTGGAACTCCTGGTTAGTCTTGATTCAGTTTGGCCCCCTTTGGGACCATGGCCGCCCACTGCTGTGCAATGTCCTAGTAAGCCAGTCAGCTGAAGCATGCTGTGATGCCATATTGGGTGACAGCATTAGAGGGAAAATAATGGGTCAAATCTAGTTCAGAGGATTGTGGTTGTTCTTTTTACATTGTTTCTGGTAGCTTCTTTCTCCCTATAAAAGATTTTTCAGCTCTCTTTTTGGCTTTGTCTTTAGGGGTGGCGGAAACAAATCATATTACATGACTAATATGAGCACTTTGTGTAGAGAATTTTAGAAAGATGCCCATTCTGATATCAGATAGATTTGTTCACGTGTGTAGATGTGTTACCTGGAATTTATACACTGCATGCGCAGCTGCTCCTGCAATGCCAGCCTCTGTATATTCTCATGTTTAAACAAAAACACTTTTATATTGCTCACATATTCATTGGATGGATTACATTTTAAAACAATACAATATTTGATAAGAGAGTTGCTGCTTTGCAGCATTAACAAGCCTTGGCTGTGGTGGTTGCATTAATGAGGCTACTCACCATTTAACTTTGTTGTCTGCACCATGCTTCTGTTCCTTCCAAGGTTGTTCTTGTAAAGTTGCTGTTTTATGTCGTAAAGTGTTTTATATTTATCCTCCATGGCTATAAACTTTCCGTAGTCCATTACAAGTCATTCTCTGAGCTCCTGGATACGATGCATGATGTTTATGTGACTGTAGTGGTTTTACAGATCTTATTTTGAAAGGGCATTGGAAGTTTATTTTGACACTACATGCTTATTTCCTGTCTTCCCCCTGCTTAAAAGCTTGGAAATGCTGATGTTAAAATATTTGAAGCCCAACCTAATTTGAGCGTCCAGTTAACATGAATAGCGATACCTGCGCATATGCTGCATTTACGCGCTGTTACTGCTTTGGTGTAAATAGGGGGTCACTTTTGGAATGTGATGTTAACGTTCCTGTGCCTGATTTTTTTTCCTTGTATGTGGAATATGTAAAATTTGTCTTGCCTCAATACAGGTATATTGAATAAATAGCTCTTGTGGTCACAATAACTCCGTTGTGCACTGTCTGCATGCAGTTAAGAAGTATTTTATTGTGCATGTTAAGCATGCCCAGAATGCATAAGATAAATCAGAAATAAGTTCAGACCACTGCAAACTGTTTAAAATGAACTACTTCTGTTTTTCACATTTTTAAGACAATAAAATGAGGCACAGTACAGTTTAAGGAACTTTCTTGTAATGTGCTGTATAATAATTTCCTATATATATATTTTTTTCTTTCAAACTATAACTTTAATTATCTTCATTACTCATTTTCTCCTCTGCTCAGATCCAACCTTTGTCCACGCTCACCTCATCCCTGACAGTGGAGAGAAAAACGACGACAAACTCTACTTCTTCTTCAGAGAGAAAGCCACAGAGATGGGCCAGAGTCCAATGACCCAGTCCAGGATCGGCCGCATCTGCCTGGTGTGTTCATATCTACATAATAGTTACTGCGTCTGTCATTCTTAAGGAGGTCCCCGTGATCATGTGTAATTGCTATACTTTACTCACAACAGACACAGGCATCATCCTTTATGTTTTGGCTCCACTGCTATGTTTGGATGTCGTCGTGCTATTTTGGTGCTTAAGATTAGGAGTTAGAGCATAGCAGAGCAGTGTCGCCACCTCTTTGCACAGAGGACGCAATTCTGTAGCTCTTTACATTGTGTTTCATTTTAGTCAATACCATACAATTAATCATTACTATCTGCATTTAAAACCATTCAAAACATTTATACACTGGCCTAAAATCCCCACTTCAGGTTATCTGAATTTAGGTATGCTCTTTTGTTTACTCAATTTGAATAGATAAATTACTTTATCACTTCGTATTTGTTCACATTTGTAACAAAATGGAAGTAGTAGATAATGTATTGTCCTTATAAAAAATGGTTTCCAGTGAGTAACATGACAGGACTTTTAACATTAAGAGGATGACCAGGTAAACAACGTATAAAAAACAATAGACAACAGGCTTAATGAGAAACCTACATTAAAACATAATATATTTCATTATATACAAAACATTACATACAAAACATATTACATTAATAGTTAATTAATGAATCTGCTTAGACTTAAATTTAGATCTCTTGTAGTTAAATATACAGTAGTTACTGTACTGTATACAACTTCATTCTTATTCATCGTAACAATTAATCCTTAAAAGTAGCCCTTAGTGGAATCATTTTGGTACTAGTTTTCACAACTGTCCTTTTTTTCTTATAGGTATTTTCAGGGTATGTGTCTGTTCCATTTGCATTTGTTTTGCCTTGAGGATATCCAACTTGAATCAACAGGGACCAAAGTATATTTTGTATGTAATGCTTTTATGCACATACCCTGGGTTTCCAACAATATGTCAGTTTAAAGGATGAACTAATATTGGCTTAGTGCGTATCACATGGCACTTTGGTTCAGACTCTTGAGGTTCCGTGGTTACTCTATTCCCACATCGTTTCTCGTCTATCAAATCTCTCCCAATCACCCACAGAACTGAATGCATTTCACAGTACATATGTTCAGACACGCCACATTTTTGTCCAATTGATTTTGACCCTTTATTAGAGTTATGTTCCTGCTCGTGAATCATTTTCTCATGTCCTGTCCTCCACCTCAGAAACACAGTAAGAATTGGCCGAGCGTTTGAGCATGTGGTCCAAACTGAGACAAAGCCGGGCACAAACTTAGCAGTCCCGTCCCAAAAACAGCATTCACCTTGGACAGTTGTTTGAGACAGCTGTGAGTGCGAAGTGGAATATTTATTATGAGTAACATAGATCAGCCAAAACATTATGATCACCTGTTTAGAATATATGTTGTAAATTACTGTGATGGACTGTGTAACTGCTCTTCTCTGCTCACTTGTAGGCCTGGGACTAGGCTACTGAAACTACTTTATGCCACTGACACATAGCAAGATTGTCCCAGTAAACCCCTTTTTTTAAATAATTTAACCTCCTTAGGATCCAATTTTCTGTTGAGCTTAAAGCCATGCTAGCACAAACATGCCAGGAGTTGTGTTTTGTTTCAAGACTGAAGTATAATGAGTCAGTTAAACTAATAAAAGAGTCATGCATTTACATTTGTTATGGGTCAACAACAACAAGTTTTATACATGATAAAACTCTATTTAAATGTAATATTGTACTGTTACGGAAATAATACCAACCAAATATTCATTGTTGTTTGTTAGGTATTGCAATACTTGCCATATTATTCATGCCAACAATGACAATGACAACAATCAGAGTCTTTGAAGTTGAATCATGGCACCATTTCCTGAAGCTATTGTGAAAACAGAATTGGAATTTTGTTTATTTACGCTGACAGAAAAGTCATTAAACTTTGTGCCTGTTTTTATTTCACAAGACTAGGTCATTTTCAGCTCTTAGAACAAAATGAGTATTTATTACCTAAGAAAGACCACAGGTTATGTTATGGCTAATCCTAGTATGTTTGTACAGAATGATGATGGTGGACACTGCTGCCTGGTGAACAAGTGGAGCACCTTCCTCAAAGCTCGTCTGATCTGCTCCGTGCCCGGCTCTGACGGCATCGAGACACACTTTGATGAACTGAGTGAGTGTCTGTTATGTTTGGTATATACATTTGGTTTATTTCAGGATATTGTGCTCCATTTTGATGTGAAGATAGTATGTTCACAAACAAGTTTTGTGGTTCTAATGCTTCAAATAGAGCTCATGTTACAGCCCACATATGCCCAACATCTGTAGAACAATGTAAAAAGTAATGGAGCAATCCAGTATTTGTTAGGTCACTTTTGCAAAATATATTTTTATTTCAATATTGTGAGAATATGTCTGAATGAAGTTTAAATTTAAAATTTAAAAACTCCATTGGTCCATACAAGTTGTACAAGAGAATTGCATAGACCAAATGGGATTCATTCTGAGCTGCTTAAACTGTGGTCTAACTTGACATGCACCATGCATAGGATAGGCCAGGTAGTACCCAGAAACCTACACAGACACAGAGAGCACATGCAGACTCCACACAAAAAAACTGGTCTAGTCTGGTGTTGAACTAAGTGCTTCCTCTACCATGTTCAAGACCTACCTGCTGAACTTCAGAAACAAGCCACAAATAAGAACTATGTACTAGTGAAGTAAAGTCTCACACTTAAATTCTTGATAGCTCATAATACCTCAAAATACCTCAAATAAAAAGTACTAGTCTTTCAGCTGTAAAATCTTAACACATTGTTTTACATGAATGTCTTAAAGTGATTGTAAAAGTAAAAGTTCTTACACACATTCTTGTACAGAAGAGCTGAGATTCTCCTGGCATCAGCTCAAACCTTGTAGATTATCCCACTGTAACATGAATGATAAGATTAAAAGAGGATTTATTCTTTGGGCCTTGAAATTACAAGAACTAGTGGAAAGAGCAGCAAATCTTTCAGCACACAGTGCACAGTCTATGAAAAGACTAAAATTAATCTTAGGGCAAAATAATTTCACTTTCCTCCTTCCATACAGTGTATATGGTCATGTATAATACCAGTGTTATGACAATTTAGAACAAAAACATAAAAAAATCACAGCCCCACTCTGTCTGCAACATTCTGTTGCCCTTTTTATTACATACATAGACTTATAGTGTGGTCAAAAAGGCTCACGCAGCAATTTAAAAAATAAGATGTAAATTCTACAAAAGTTGATTAGTTTCCGAATAGCTAAAATTCTTGTCCATGCTGAAGTATTAAACAGATTTGCTGAGGTTAGAATCCCCAACCACACAGCACACCATGTCTGCCTATGGATATAGTAATACCCACAAACTATTAGAACGAAGGAGAGAGCGAAAACAAGAGAGAGGAAGAGGGGGAGAGAGTGAGAAAAAGAGATCGAGAGAGAAAGAGAACAAGAAGGAGAGAGAGGAGGTGTCTGACAAGAAGAATAGCCATGACTGTGGATGCAATAACATTTTATTGCCTTTTTTAAAATTTAATTACAAAGTGAAACATTGCTCTTTTGTTAGATTATTTTTTAAGTGAAAAAATGTTTGTCCATAACTCTAAAGAACTAGGCTTTATTTGTTTTTAAAATGTTGCATGCTTTCTTCATTATTCTGTAATCCCAGTTGATATTAGGATTTGTTCTAGTTATTAGTTTGTGTTTGTGTGTTCTAGAGTGTGATGATTTCATATTCCCAGATGGGGGGGCTATAAAGAGTTTTCATTATTATTAACAATGTATTTTAATAAAAGAAAATATCCAAAGGTAAAATAAAAAATATTGAACCTTATCATTTATCAGTGACTCTAGACTCTAGACTCTAGAAATCAGCATTTAACAATATTAGTTTTAGCTGCCCCCATATGTATTTAATATTTTTGCCTTATAGAATACGGGGATGCCATCTTAAACCCAGCAATTGTTTTAAACCTGAGACTGTCCATTTCTTCTCTTCATATGTGTTGGTGCAGTCCAAGTTCAGTCATTTTGGTCAATTTGAGTAATTTAAAGGTCATATATTACACAAATGATTGATTCTTGTGAGCTTTAAGCCATGTTAGAATGTTGTTAACTCTTCAAAACATCTCCAAAGTTGTGTTTTGTTTTCTTCATGTTTGAGTTATTCTTTATTATTACTTTGTCTGCAACTCCAAAGCTCAAAATGTTCCGTTCCACGTCGTGATGTCATGTAGTGACAGTTAGTTTTCAAGTTAACAGCTACCTTTTACCTTACCTTTACCTTTTTTAGTTCAGATAGATGGATATTGTCAATTGCAGGACTGAAATGATCCAAATGATTTTAGTGAAGGTGTATGGAGTTTAAAAACACTGAAGCGCTTTCTGTATTACCACATGACATCACAAGGTGGAATAGAGTGTTTTGGGAAGAATTCAGGCTAAATATGCCGTTTGTGTGTTAAACATGTGTGAATGAAACAAAATGTGTGATGAGGAAAACAATATTATAACATACAGTAGATTAGAAAATAGCATAATATGGGCCCCTATTTGGTGCTAGGTGATTTTGAGATAGACTGTTTCAGCATTTTCATAACCTAAGTGAAACAATGGCACTGATAGTGTTGAAGTCCTGTTATCCATCCTCACGTTACAGCATCTGAGATTTTCCTAATATTTTTCAAGCCTTTATTTATATCTGCCTCTTTCGTCTGCTTTGTACTTGGTGAGCGACAGATAAAAGACTATAGACTGCGTTTGATCTGACACTTGGAAACAAAAGTTAGATTTGAGACTCCATTTTCCTGATTTATAACTCTTCTTTTATTGCTTTGTTGACAAAACGTCTGTCAAACTCACGGATCTTTGTGTTAGGAAACTTAGCTGGCTCTCACGTAAAGCATTGATTTATAGATTCAAGTAAACACCGTAAGTTCGTGCACTTCTTGTTTCTCTCAGTGCGTCATCTTTAAGGCCATGTGTGCAGTGTATGTGTTTTTCTCATTGACATTTGAGTCTGAGGTCTCTCCAGTCTCGTCTACCTCTTACTGTCAGAATCTTGTTTTTACAAATTACTTCCACAAACACGCCAGGTTACTTCAGAGAGTATAGTGTTGCGTGTCTGCTCATTGTAAGTGATATTGTTCTCCCATATGTTCTGACCTGTATTTGTTTAAAGGCAGTAGCAACAATGCTGTAATGTACATAAACCTTAAATCCTCCTAGTAAAAATGCACCAATGAATTGAAAATGGTATATATTAAAACATGGGGGTCCAACATCTGCTTGTCGCTATGGAAATTGCTTTACCTGGTATGTTCCACAGTATGGTGTAAATATAATAATGTATTTATCTTGCATGTAGTACATTGCAGGTGTTTTTATTGCTGAAAAAATACATTGAAATACATGCATTGTTACAGTACTTGGTCTGTTTTCTTTAGCATCCATGGTGATACATTAATTTAATACCATACTGTGGAACATTCCAGGCAAACCAATTACATCTCCATGGAAACAAGCAGAAAAGTTACATAGTGTGTCTTTAAGGACCTGTTCACCTGTGTGTTCAGTGCAATCCTTTTTATCCTGTCCAATCCTAACACATTTTTCTTTATTATTTACTCATGATCCTGAACTATTCTCCACTAAATCATTAAAGCGCAGACAGCTCGATTGTCTCAGCCTTGGCCCTAGAGTCTTTGGGACACACAGAGCTACATATGGCTCTTATTAAACCCATGCTTCACCAGAGGTTCCATTTCACATAATTTCACATGTATTCCCCGCTGAGTTCAGGGACTGTAGTTTTAAGCATCACTCGTATTTACATTGTGGGTCCCACTGAGGCCCTTGTAACCACTCGCTGCGCACTTCAATGTCACAGGAACATTTCCTCTTTGGGCTGAAAACAGGTGCATTCTGGGAAACTTGCTGAGGAGCTTTGAGCAGTTTGATAGATTCATATTTATGTTAGCCACCACTTTCTAGCCTCAGCGCCCACTACTAACCACAACACACAACTTTCTTGCTTTCTTTGGATTGAAATAGTCAAACTGAAGCAATTTACAACATAATAAAAGTATTGTACAACCCTACAGTATATCACATGGTTAAACTAGTATGTGTCATTGTACAAACCTACAGTGTGCCTGACCAGCCAGTCCTTTCTACATTCTGTTTGAACCCAGAATGGGCTAGAACCAGACAATAGAGCGTGAAAATCCTTCGTCCTAACTTGAGGCAATCCAACAGCTCTTCTCCAAAATTCTGTTAACAGTCAGAACAAAATATATAACTTCTTTTACCTGAGATAAATGATAGTTTGATGCTTTGATTGTTGATTCTTTAAAAATCCATGTTGTTTCTTAGTCGTTTATGTTGTTTTTTCCCCTTTTTTACATGTAAGCCCCCATGTTTGTTTTTGATTCGAAGTGATCATGCGTCTCTCTGATTGGCTAATCCATGTCAGTTACGCCCTGTGAAATCGGGGAGACAGGATACAGCTTTGTAAGGTTTTCTCAAAGGGTGTGGCTCTGGCTGGCCAGTGTATCAAATGATGAGACCTAACTGTGTTTTTGGTGTATCTTGTCAAACATTTTGGAAACTTATTGCCAGAATTTATTTTCTTTCATTTGTATTTGGCTATAAAAATGTATTCATGAGTTTCACCTCTACGCCATTTTGAGTACTTTTCACCGTTCACAAGAAATAATATTTACCATAGTGTTGAATCGTTATTTGCTATGACAACGGTTTTATTTTTTTATCGCTCATATTAAATCACTCTAAAAATCCATGGATAACAGATGAAGCCTGCACTAAACTTGTCACATCATATTAGCACTCATAAATTCTGTTTTAAACAATAGCCAAGTGTCCTTTACTGAGATGTGCAAGGTTGGCCATCCTTAACAATTTGGCCTGTCTATGGGTTTCAGAGTGATAAAATTTTAGTACCGTTGTCATAGCAATTAACGATTCAAAACAAAATAATATATCTATTGAATGAGGTTGAGTATTCAAAATGGCACCCATAAACAAGAAGTTTAAACCCATGAATGAATTCAAATTAAAGATGAGATTTCTAGATTTCTTCTTACAACAGTTTTGATGTTCAGCCTATATCAATTTTTTTTTTTTTTGTTGTTGTTGTCTTTTAGGGGACGTCTACATCCAACCAACTCAAGACACCAGGAACCCAGTCATCTATGGCGTGTTCTCCGTTTCTGGGTAAGTTTTCTGACATCTTCATCAAACTTTGTGGAAAAAATATCAAAGTACTGTATATATTTGGGTTTACCTCTGAATTTCTCATACCCTTGCCTCAACCTCAAAGTGACGTCTCTCTGTGATGTTGAAATGTTTTTGGCTTGTCAGATCCAAGCTACAGAGTCAAAGAAGTGCAAATGCAGTCTAGAGGGAGGTGCACACTTGGAGCAATGTTTGAGATAATGTTTAAGCTTGGATTAAATGTGAACTACAGCTGCTTATATATAGTTTTAGGACGAGTATGGTGTTTCAGATACATTTAACATCAGATGAATGCATTTCTACTATTACTTTGGTCAGTCCAGGAAGCTTTATTTGTTTTATCAAGTCATTCTCTATTGACAGGTTTATTCAAAAGTCTAATCCAGCTGTTGACTTGGGACTTCTCAGTGAAAAATGTTTATTGGCAAAGCAAGACTGGAACAAATGTGTGGGTTTGAGAGATATTAAGCATGAATACATTTAAAACTTCAATACCACTGTCATCTTTTCCATCTAAGTTTTAAATGATGATTCCATGCATTTAGGGGGGATTTAAAGGTGCACACTGTTGCTTTTCTACATTGAGATGTTATGGCATTGCCTCCAAAAAGCAATGCCATACTGCGGAACATATTTATTTTACATGTATTCAATTACATGTGTTTTTATTGCTACTAAAAGTATTCTTCTCTGACCTGTAACTTGCCTGGTGGCGTCATCTGCTTGTCTCTAGTTAAATGTCATATTGTAGAACATATCAGGCAGTAACAGTAACATTGACAAATACTTTATTGATCCCATGGGAAATTCGATGGAGACAAATCTAATACTTACATAGTGCACCTTTAAGTTAATCAAGCTGTTTATCTTCAATGGAAATGTAACATAATATTAATTAAAGTTGAGTATATATTTCATGTAAAACAGTTTCTCCAGCACGAATTCTGTCCTTTTTTTGCATGTGAGAAGTAGATGTAGTGTTCATTTGTCCATCGTCTGGTTGGGCATCAGTTAGAAAGCAGCTGAAAGCGTTAATGACAGGGCCGTGACAGGAGCAGGCGAGTACGCTCACTGCACATGTGGGTGTGTGTGTGTCTCTATGTCAGACAGCTAGACTCTAGTTTGGGAGCGCTGGTGTTGACATGCATTTCCTATAAGAGGCAGGCTGAATACTATATAATGAGTAGGAAGTGGAGTCATAGTAATTATCCCCGTGCATTTCTCCTGCAGGGCTGTGTTCAAAGGATCTGCAGTCTGTGTCTACTCCATGGCTGATATCCGAATGGTTTTTAACGGACCTTTCGCGCACAAGGAGGGACCCAACTACCAGTGGGTGGCTTATAGTGGCAAGATCCCCTACCCTCGACCAGGCACTGTGAGTACAGATACACAGCTGTAGGGTTTCATATGAGGGGGACAAGAGGGTACATGTTTGCCCACCTTTTGATGGAGCGCAACTGCAGGGGGCCAAAGTCAAGTACAAAATGATTCAGGTGAATGCATTATTAAATAGTGCAACATTAATCTAATTCTGTGGGTCTAATCACCAGTTATATCTATGTCTCTGTTATGAATTATTTATTATCCTTCAGACATAATTTACGATGCAGTGAACAGAGCAACAAAACTCACTGGTCCATAGACAAAATATAAAATTATAGACACCTATATAGATAACCATAGAAAAATAGCAATAAAGCAGCCTGTTATAATTTATTTGTTAAAGGGACAATGCATAATAAAAACAAGAACATTCAAAAACACTACATCTACGTACCAAGTGCTATAGTCAAGGCTGTACAATTTTATATAGGCTTACCTACATAATTTTTTGTTATTCTCAAATTTGATTCCTTTTTCCCACTTGCTTCACAGTGTCCTGGAGGCACTTTCACCCCCAACATGAAATCCACAAAGGATTATCCAGACGAGGTGATCAACTTCATGAGAAACCACCCCACCATGCACAATATGGTTTACCCAGTGCACAAGCGCCCCCTGGTGGTCCGAACTAACGTCGACTATGAGTTCACCACAATCGCAGTGGACCAGGTCACAGCTGCAGACGGCAACTATGAGGTGCTCTTCTTGGGAACAGGTCAGTGAAAAAAGTATATATATATTGCAAAGTATGAGAATACAGTATTAGGAATAGAACTAGTACTGTTATCATACAGAGGAAGTTAAAAGCATATAGGGCCAATTAAAAGTACATTAATTAATAGTACTTGGTTTTGATAAATTTCTAGGAGTGAAAAATATTGTGTTTTTTGTAGTTTTTCAAGTTTGACATTTGTTTATTTTCATTGGCAATAAAATTAAATGTCTGAAAATGATTGTGCTACCAGCTCAAATAACAACATTCATTTTTGTTTGAAGTTTTTTGATCATGAAGGAATGAGTTTATGACTTGGCTGAACTTTATTTGACATTTCTTCTGCAAAAGAAATCTTGAAAATCTTTTAAATATCTAGTATTTGAATATACAATTACCCATGCATCATTTATAGTCATGATATGATGTTGATATTGAAATTGTGTTTGTGTTGTAGACCGAGGAACAGTCCAAAAGGTGATAGTTCTCCCCAGAGACGACCTGCTGACGGAGGAGCTGGTGCTGGAGGAGGTCGAAGTCTTCAAGGTCTGACATTTTAATTCACTTCATTCATGTGTAACTATTGCACACTTTAATTTGCATTCTTGTCCATCTTTACAGGTCCCTACTCCTATCACCACAATGAAGATTTCCTCCAAACGGGTAAATATTTTGTCATCTCTCTAAAGCAATAATATAATATATAATAATATCTCCTAATTATTATCCCATGTGCCATGTTTTTAGCAACAGCTGTACGTGAGCTCGGTGCTGGGCGTGACCCACCTGGCGCTGCATCGCTGTGATGTGTATGGAGAGGCCTGTGCCGACTGCTGTTTGGCCCGAGACCCCTATTGCGCCTGGGACGGCAAGTCCTGCTCACGCTACTCTGCCTCCCAGAAGAGGTCAGTCTGCAGCACAGAACACTTTACATGTAGTCATGCCTACTATTTGTACAGGTTTCTCATTATAAAAGTTCACTTTTATTCATAATTTAAAATGTATTTGTTCTGGGTAATAGTTAGATTAACGCTCAAGTGTTTGCACACAGACATGTTGGACAGTTTGAAAAACCCAAATTAACATTATCTGTTTAATGTTAATTTGTGCTCTTCGAAAAAACAGAGCTAGTGATTAGCTTTTGTGTTTTATAACTTTTTTAATTGTTTTATAAATTATTGTCAAACATAAAAGAACAATTATCTGACTTTAAGCACTTAGTGCTTATTGAGCACAAATGTTCACGACTGCATAATAGATTTTTGCTAATGCTTCTTGCCATCCTGATATTGCAAATTAGCATTTCTGAGCTAGTTTGTATTAATGTTAATGCATGCATATGCCAAAGTTCATACTAAGCAGTTTTCTCTGACCCTCCTCTAGACGGAGTCGTCGGCAGGATGTAAAATATGGTAACCCAATCCGCCAGTGCAGAGGCTACAACTCCAATGGTAAGTGCATAAAACTGGAAAAAGTCTGTTATAATATATACTTTCTGTTATCTAATTTGAATTATGTTACTTGATCCACAGCCAATAAGAACACACTGGAGTCGGTGCAGTACGGGGTGGAGGGCAGCACCACATTTCTGGAGTGTCAGGCTCGCTCTCCTCACATGTCTCTGAAATGGCACTTGCAGAAAGAGAACAGTGACAGGAAGAAAGAGGTCAGCCTATGTTTTTACTGGTGTGCTATGAGCTGGGGTTCAGGTAGTGAGGAATCAGGTCAGAGAGAATCCTTTTAGGTTTAAACCCACTGGATTTCAGCCTTGAAAATGGCAACTCAAATGAGAGACTCAAAATTTGTGTGAGGCTGAATTCAGCTTTCTGACTGAATAATCATCTCAACTCAAACACCAAATGTCAACATCAACACCTTGGCCATCATCTACAGTTTTTTGTCATCAAGGATAAATATATACATAAACTATTTCTACCTATCCTCACTTTAAATTGTAATATCAATAAAATTAATGGTTGTATATAGATTGCATCCAAGATCCAAGACCAGAAAACATTTTCAAATGTTTAAAAGTGATGATCATTCCTAATGTAATCATACATCTATTATGTTGTCTTTTGTGTGTGTAGATTCGCTCTGAGGGCCGTATCCTGAAGACCGAACACGGGCTCCTGATCCGCTCCCTGCAGGCGTCTGACAGTGGCATCTACCAGTGCACCTCCACCGAGAAGAACTTCAAACACACCCTGGTCAAACTGCAGCTCGTGGTCTTGTCTGGCCGCACCGTCAACAACGTCCTGGTGGAGACCGGCAGCCCCGCCCTGCCCCCCCTCCAGTCCAGCGCATGGACCCCCTCTGCTGGACAGTACAAGGACCTCCTCACCATCCTCAGCCAGCCAGAAATGGGACTCATCAATCAGTACTGTCAAGATTACTGGCAACTGGGAGACAGTGGACTCAGTGAAAGTCCCGTCATCAAAGCTAAAGGTTTGAAGGAGTTTAAGGAGCAAAGGAAGCCACGTAACCGCAGGCATCATGACGAGGAGACTACTGCAGTACCTCTCACATGAGGAGACTGTTACTGAGTATTTTCAAATATCAACACTGCTACCCCCACCCACACAAGGGACGAACTTGAGCGACAAAGTGATGGACAAGAAAGACTGAAACCAAAAGCAAACAGCACAAACACATATTTATTGTATGCTGTAAAAAGTAAATCTTTGTTATCTAGAGAGATGTTTTGTGAATAGGTACTTGTGCAAATATGGTTGTTATATATTAGTGTTACTGTGTATTATGTTGAAAAATGTTCATGTTTGATGTTAATGGGACAAAGCTATAGTACATCGGAACGGACTGTATAAGAAAAGGTGGAGTTTTCTGACTGCTGGCAGTATTCAGTCTTTTAAGCTGGAGCCATGTCATTTTTTGTGGTGAATTTCCGAGACTTCCTTAAAAAAACACTTTCTACACTCAACGCTGCACTTCAATGGACATTTATAGATGCCTGGATGTCGCAGCTTTGACAACACGGACAGACATACCGGAAGCTCATTGGCTGACAGTCCAGTAGCCCCGCCCGTGAGCGATCACATGACTATCTTCCAATCTCCAATGCTGTTTTGTTTATATGTGAATAAGGCATCTTGTATCCCTGTGACTGTCGTGATAAGCTGTTTTGGAAAAGGGTCTTATGATAACACAATAGGAATTTCATTACCTTTGTCTTTTTAGGGATTAGCAACTCCGACAGGCAGCTAAATGTGATATTTTCAAAAATTTAAAGACGCACCTTCTGTTCTTAAAATCTGGATTAATACTCAACAGTTTTAGAAGATTTTTGGGTAACATTTCATAATTGCTATACTTTAAATAGTCTTTATAAAGCATGAATGATAGACTTAAATGAACAAATAGTTAATTAAGAAAGGCCTAGTTTTAATTAATGCCCAGACTCCTTGATCAAGTATCACTATTAAGAATCTATCTGTTCAATTTGCATGCCTTTCTCCATGCTTTATTAAGACTAATTAAGGTGCAGTTATTATAAAGTGGTATCGATTTTTTTTAAGATCATTCATTCAAAGTTTGCATTCCTATCCATAAAATAAAAGGCCATTTTAAGAGTGCTAGACGTCACATATGTTTTTAGCACTAAAGCTCAAAAAGCTCACTAAATTATTGTTACAAGCACAACCACTAAAAAGCTAAGGAGAAATGTAGCCAGTTGTTACTTTACTTTGTGCATGGCATGTACAGTGTATGTGAATGGTACTTGTCTAATGTTGCTGTGGCTGTTCGTGAATGTCTTATTTCATTGTGGTACAACAATCACCTTTTATGGTCAAAAATGTGGAGAGGGTGGATTTCATGTCAATGCTTTTCTTTCTCTGTACGTCTCTTTCACAAGCATTATTTTTGGTTTCCATTTGAGGTGAAACGACGTATCTGAACATGCACAGTGGATGTTATTGTACTTGTAAATTGATTATCTTTTCTTCCTTCATAAATGTTGACAACTAATAAATTAAAGCTCTATATTTTATAATAATATGGGTTTTCTGGTGATGACAATTCTAATGATATAACTAATCTCGCAAGGGTAAAAATGCTTTGTAGATATTTGAGTCAGGCATCTTCAAGTTTAGGGGAGCAAATTCATGTCAGAACGAGTTGTTCTTCTGCCCTCTGCAGCTTACGTACATTAGTATCCAGTTCAACATATATGCTTGGTCCTCAGAACTACAAATCCTACTTAAACTTTACTCCATTACTGATACTGACCCCTTGTGGTTTATTGTGGTATTTCTGATCCTATACAGATAAAACCTGAACTAGCAATTATTTAGTCAATAGGGCAACAAAATATCAGTGTTATAAATGCTTTCTTGCCTCATTGCTATGAAACTTTTCTGGTGGAGAGACTGCTGCTCATCGCTTGTCTCCCTGGAGATCTTATTGCTGTATACCTAGGTGTGACTGCTGTATACCTATACCTAGAATGTTCCACAATATGACATTTATGTATCCCTATGAAGACAAGCAAGCCATGCCACCAGGCCAAGTTACCAGTAGGTCTATACCTGTAACAAAATGAATGTAAGATCCCACCAGACTGTAAAACCTTAGTGCATCAAGTAGCCATACTCTATTTATTTTGCCAATAAAATAACTAATGCTAATAAACATTTTAAAACTAACTGCCTACCTACAGTATATGCATAATTAAAAGTGAGTGGATTAGGATCCTTAGCAGGTCCAGATTGAGGTCAGTGAGATATGTCAGGTGAAAGTGCAAATCTCTTTAAGCACTTCAGAGCTGAACATTATCCATCTGAAATAAAAGGCTCTGAGTCTGATGAATCTGTTCCACTGGAGTTTGACCTTATTGCCTCCATTTAGCACAGGGACAGTACTATAAATAGAAAATATTCTTATCTATAAATTGGCAAGTTTAAATTCATTAACTTTTTTTATGTTCAGAGCAAAAGATAATATGAAAGCATAATTTATGTATACAATTGAAGCCCTGCTCAGCAATGATGGATCTAAGCCTTAGATACATAATTACATACAACTGTAGAAAATTAAGAACACTATGGATATTTTTTTTAAACATTTCATTCAGAAATGTCTTACAACTGCACCAGAGGAAACACCCTCACCTGATTTGGTTGGGGCCCTGTGCAGAGATTAGGCTTAGAGCCACCGTGCATCTTCCGCTGAGCGCAGCAGTCTCCCAAAGGTGAGCCCCTTCCTGCACAGGCCTGTCTCACTTCCCTTGTGTCCTTGGTCTCCATTGGTCCTGTGGGTCAGGTGGACACAGGATCCCCCAAATCCTCTCCTAAGTTCAGCTGCTACTCTCCACTGGTCAATCGGTGTCTGCAGCCCCCTCTGGCACATTGTAGCCTGCCTCCAGTTTACTTTGTCTTTGAGTTTTTTTGGAGCAAGGGCCTAAAGCGGGGGACGCAGGATGGGTGCTGGAGCGAGCGCCGAAGAGAAACGCTCCCGGGAGCTGGAGAAGAAACTCAAGGAAGATGCAGACAAGGATGCCAGGACGGTCAAACTGCTGCTGCTAGGTAACACCAGCCAAATATGTCAATTAACACAAGATATAGGTCTAATAAGCAATTGGAAAAGAAGAGGAATACAAACTATCTAAAATACTTTAAATGACACTGGCACAGTATGTTGCATTTGCCCTCAGTAATTTGGGAGATTGAAACACATATACTTCTATTTTGCTGTACTGCATTATACCACTGAAAGGTCCTATAAGTACGACATGGCTGAATTGTTTAAAGTTGGAAAAAGTACTCAAATGTGACAGACTGGATAAAAGCTGGTTTTGTTTGAACAGGTTTCACTCTCCTTGTTCAAACAGAGGCATTAATCCATGTTAATCCTGAACCAACAGAGCATCAATACAAAGAGATTATGACCGAAGGACAGACCTAATACCTCACCTCAAAATGTTCATTGAATATCAGACAAACACAACACCCAATCATTTTATGCTAATATGGATTTTGTTATAATCATAATAGATCTAGAAAATGAAATGTGCTTTGTCATCACTTGTCAATAATTAGGTCATAGAAAGCACCTCAGACGAAGTTTTCTATTTTGGTCATAACAAATTTCCGATGGCTTATACATTTAGTTAGTTACTTTTTATCCATATATTCTGCAGTGTTATTTTTTCCCCAAATTGAGTAGAGCAGCAATATCTCAAACTGAATCATTAAACATATTATATTTTAGGTGCCGGAGAGTCGGGCAAAAGCACAATTGTCAAACAGATGAAGTAAGTTTCTGTTCTCTTTTTCCCCATTTATTTACAGTTTTAAATTCCCAGTCTAAATATTTATTGACTATTATTCCTCTGACAGAATTATCCACAAAGATGGTTACTCACTGGAGGAGTGTCTGGAGTTCATCACTATCATCTACAGTAACACGCTGCAGTCCATCATGGCCATTGTCAAAGCCATGAACACACTCAACATCAACTATGGACACCAGGACCAGGCGGTAAACAGGCACAGAATCACCAAGACATGCACAATAGGTTAAACCCTCCAGCTAAAATAGTCCTGACCAAGCCTAGCTCAAGATCTAGAAATGAGTCCCACTGCTCCAGACAGGTTGCCTCAGTTGAACTGAAGTATGGGTCAAATGCAGAGGACACGTTTCTTTACATGGACAATAAAGTATCCAGTGATGTATCATGGGTTAGGTCTGACTGGAGATTAGATTAACTAGATGATATTATATGCCCTTACAATTGTCTATATCCAGGTCCAATGGAATTCCTGCCTCATTCACTACAGTGGTAATTTGGCAAAAATTAAAAAGCAAGATGACCAAACTCATGACCAACACCTTTTGTATTTATAGAAACAACACTTTGAGCTCTGTGGGTAGAAGTTGCATCTTCTCAAACCAAGATACAGCATGTTGTTACATCAAGTAATTTTAACTTTTATATGACTTTTTGCAATGTAGGCTTACTCATTTTATATAAACACATTTTACCAACATCCATGTGCCTTGATCTGGAATATTAGTTCTACAGTGGTCACGCATATATGTATATAAGTAATTATATGCCAATTGACTTAGTGTGCTGATGATTTGGGGGAAAAAACAACTGCATTTATATCTCCTTGTCTTGTACATCTACCTTTAAGATAAACCTAACTTTATTCTTACATTTTCATACATGTACGTGTAGGATGATGCGAGGAAGCTGATGCACTTGGCAGACACCATCGAGGAGGGCACGATGCCAAAGGAGCTGTCCGACATCATCCTGCGTTTGTGGAAAGACTCTGGGATCCAGGCGTGCTTCGACCGTGCCTCTGAGTACCAGCTCAATGACTCTGCTGGATAGTAAGGAGAATCATTTATGAATATATTACTTCTGAGAACAGGAGCAGCTCAGTGGGGGGGACTTGAAGGGGCACTAGCCTCCCCTAAACTAGCCAATGCACCCCCCCCAGGCCCCCCCAAAGGATTTCTGCCCCATTTTCATAGGTCATTGAATCTCAACTAAAAATGATCAATTGGCAACCACAAAGTGTTCAAAATAAGACTATTATATATTAGGTTTTATAAATCACTACAGGGGTTAACATTTAAAATTAAAATATCAAAGCAAACATGATAGGGGTGCACTTACATCCATAAAAGGCTCTAAATTAATATGTTAAGTGTGCACCCCCATTAAAGAACTTAGCTCCTACTACCAAAAATGAAAAGATACTGGGAGGTGGAGCTATTTATATGTTTAAAGCAGGACTAAACACTAAATGAACTACTAAACTAAGTACATTATGTTGTAATGGCATTGTTTACAGTTTCAAGTAATTTTTTGCTGTGTAAAAGTGAGTGTGTGCTGCCTCCAGTGGCCAGAAAAAAAAAAAAGGAATGGAATGGCCAGCAATGTGCTTGAGGAGGATACCTAAATTTGGGCCACCATTGAAAATAATTTACTGCCATTTAAATGGAAAACTTCACCTTTATCTTGTATTCAGCTATTTGAACGATTTGGAGCGACTGATTCAGCCCGGCTATGTGCCCACTGAACAGGACGTACTGCGATCTCGAGTCAAGACCACTGGTATCATTGAGACCCAGTTCTCCTTCAAAGACCTTAACTTCAGGTATAAACAATGAAAGTGCATGTGACAGGTTAGACTACAGAATTCTTTAACACATAGTTAATATCATTATATTTAGGTCATTTTATATTTAGGTCAGTCTATGCTCAGGGTTTTACTAAAAATCATTATGAGTCAGGTAATTTCCTGTTATAGGAACCCTACAATAAACAGCGGGGGAAATGGTTAATTTACACATTACTTATTATCTGATTGTCTTATATGTTTGATAAATATATAAGACATGTCTTTATTTTCTGAAAGTTTAGTTTAGTTTTGAACAGAGATTTGCATATGCTGACATTAATAGGGTGAGTTTCTTTTTTAAAACTCCTCTACTTCTTGTATATGTCAGCTTTTCTTCACAAACTTCCCTCATATCCTGAGTTGTCAGTTACACATTATATGTCCTGTCTGCGCAGGATGTTTGACGTGGGAGGACAGAGGTCAGAGAGGAAGAAGTGGATCCATTGTTTTGAAGGAGTGACCTGCATCATCTTCATCGCAGCTCTGAGCGCCTACGACATGGTGCTGGTGGAGGATGACGAAGTGGTGAGAACGCATTTTATCACAACCCCTTTATGTATAGTATTATCATAATATTACATCTGCAATACTATGCCACCTGCTCCATCACTTTGCAAAAAGAATGGTCCACAGTTTAGTAAAGCTGTTATAAAGTTATCTTCTAGCTGCATGGAGAACTATTAGTATATTGCATCTAAGAACAGGGGCAGCTTTCACATTCAGTCTCGAATAAAAAAGTTCAAATAGCAACCACAGAGTGTTCAAAATGAGACAACAATAAAACAATAATTTCATATTAGGTTTTATAAATCACTGCATAAGATAAGCAGGTGACAGAGGTTACAGATAAGAGGTTACAGATCTGAAGAGAGACGACCTCGCTCATAGTAAGAAAGCATGATCTTCAAGGTATTTTTGAGCAATAAAAATACCTGTAATTAAATAAATGGAAGATAGATTTTAATACTATCCATTGTTTATTGTTGATTATTGTTTCTCTCTTGGCACAAACTCGAAATAAAAACGAATCAATCAATCAATCAATCAATCAATTGGTTTCAAAATGGTGAGAAATTAGAATCAGATTATTATCAGATTTTTTTAGTTATAAGATTATGTAAATCATAATTTTTTTCTTTAATCATGGTCCCTCTGATCACGTACATCACTTTTTTGTTTTGTTTTTTTATTGATTGATTGATTTGATTGGGTGCATCAGTGCATGTTAATGGAAAGACAGCACGAATGTAAACACGCCGGGTTGCAGCCAAAGGCTAATTTCCATCCTTTGTCCCAAAGAATTGGAGCTTTTTTTTTTACATTTACTCCTCCTCCTAACGGTGGTTTTACAGGAACCCATGTACATGAAGGAATAATTTAAGCACATTTATATTAAATAGCATGGAAACAAATGGACAGTGTGGCCTCCACTAGAAAAGTTACACAGTGCACCTTTAATATCCTACGAATCTGTTTTAGAACCGGATGCACGAGAGCCTGCACTTGTTCAACAGCATCTGTAACCACCGCTACTTCGCCACCACCTCCATCGTACTGTTCCTCAACAAGAAGGATGTGTTTGTGGAGAAAATCAAGAAGGCCCACCTGAGCATGTGCTTCCCTGAGTACGACGGTGAGTGCACATTAAATAGGAAAGAATGTGGATTGTTCAAATGGAATTCACTGTGGAACTTTAAACCCACCATCTGAACATTTTATCAGTACTGTAGATGGCAGATGTGAAACCTGTTCCCCCTTCCCCTGGCCTTTGTTTAAGTTCACCTGTGAACTCCAGTCTTCTTCTATTGGGCCAAAGCAGGCATACTATTAGACAGCACTGAGATAGATAGCATCTAGTGGTGATATGTGAGAATACAGCACGGTCGGATCAGACAATATAAATACTAATGGTAGCTTTAAATACATTTGGTAAAAGGTTGGCTGGCTGTTATGCAACTAAGACAGGAATCCCACAGAGGGCACCATGCATTTTTATGTGCTCTGTGCACAAGTGTAAAAGCAACCATAATGTGTTGCATTTTAGCATTGCATTTGGTTTCCTAAAATAGGGGTGTCCAAACATGACGGCCAAATGCTGCCCTTGGACCAAGTTTTGTCGGCCCTCAGGCCTCCTCCTTAAATAGCCCCAATATCATAAGCATTTTATACTGTTTCAATATGCAGCCCTCCATGAGAAACGTTTGTCTTAAATGATATGACTGGGTTTTGAGATTTGACTTTCAACTGTGTGCCATACTATATCATGTTTTTTTTTTCTTTACAGGCCCTAACACTTACGAGGACGCTGGTAACTACATAAAGATGCAGTTTTTAGACCTGAACATGCGCAGAGATGTCAAAGAGATCTACTCTCACATGACCTGCGCCACTGACACAGAGAACGTCAAGTTTGTGTTCGACGCTGTCACTGATATCATCATCAAAGAAAACCTCAAGGACTGTGGGCTCTTCTAATCGCCTACTGCAGGAAAAACAGGTACTAAAGAGCATAGTTAAAGGGACACTGTAACTTTTCTAATGGGGTCCGCCACGTTTGTCTTAGTGGACAATGTTATTGCTTTGCTATTTTTGCCCCTTTAATTATTTAGAATTTTATTTCTTTTGGCTCTTTGTTATTATACTGTAATGCCTGAGTTGCTGTGTTTGGATCAGTAAGTTTGTCTAAGGAATGTTCTATAATATGCTATTAAACAAAACTAGATTTATTTAAACTAAATAAACACTAGCTATTCTTATTGCTCAAAAAAACATATGTCTTGACTGTGAGCAGAGTCACACAGATCTGACCTATAACTTTGCTTAGGCACCACCTCTATGGAGATAGATACGTTGCTGCCATGCTGTTGAACATTTCAGACAAAGCAATAATATCTCCATGGACAAAAGCAGGTGACCCTCCACAAGAAAAGTTACATTGTGCACTTTTAAAACACAGACATAATGAAGTGATCCCAATGAGTTAACACTATACTTCTTGCAGGTTTCTTCTGCCATCTCCAGGCCTCCTCTTCGACTGTGGACCCGATGTCAAGCTTTAATTGTCAACTAAAACAGCAACACAAAAGTTGATTGTTAGTTGGTCATTTTATTGGAGGCCTATGTTATTAGTTGAAATCTCAGGACTAAATATGTTTTCTAACATCTGAATAAATAATAAAGTTGAAGTCGATTTATGTTAAAATAAGGTCTCATCGCCTGCAGACGCACTTCACTCAGTGTAAGAAGAATGTATGTGTAAATAAAACTATAGTAATGCTTCTATGTACAGTGGGTAAGAGGATAGAGGTCATAGATGTTTCCATGTTTTTGGGGACATTACATTAACTTGCATTCATTTCCTGGAGACTAATGTTGACCTTAACCTAAACCCTAATCTTAACCAATTTTAAACACATATCTTAACTATGAAGCATATTGTTAATCTATTTATAAAGGGTTTAAGTTATGGGAACATGACTTTTGTCCCCATTAAGGAGGCAGGTCCCAATGAATTGAGATTCAGATTTTAGTCCCCAAAAAGTAATGACAGAACCTGTCACGTGATGAAAATTCAAACATATTTGGTATTTTGGAACTACTTTTTTAATTCAACTATTACATTATATGATTTGTGTAAACCTATATTTAAACATGAAGCTTGTATAGTACTTTGTTGTTTGAATAAAAGGCAACACAGATGTGGGTCTTGTTCAGAATTTGTTTTATTAATACAAATTTTAGCCCTATTTCAATAAAACTAATGTTGCACAGATTTAAGAAAACCTGAGACATTTTTAAATCAAGACTTAAGACAATGGTTTTCCATAGCTAAATGAAACTATATTGTGTAGAACGGGTAGGATCTGTAGAAAGAACTATTAACCAAATGTAATCAACCTGACAAGAAACAATTTTTGACATTCAGAGTACCTCAAGTCAAAGCAGTCATTTCAATCAGACCAAAAATATATATGGTCATTTTGGCAATAAAGAAGAGTTAGATTTGGTCTGCCCTGAGTATACATGAAAAAAGATTGTGCAAAACTGAAGAGAAAATCTGAGAGCAAATCCAAAAAGGAAATTTCAGATTACAGATTAGTTTGTTTTGTTAACTTAAAGAAGTCTGTGTATTAACTGACACGACACATCGAACAACATTGTGTGCAACATCAATGGCTTTTAACAAAAATTAAAAAAATAAAAAAAAGTTTGAAGGCACTTTAAAATACAGCAAATAAAGTAAGAGCTGTTTGCTTCTTCTGCAGCGCTACATCAACAAACTGCAATATTTTGGGAACATCTCTCTCTGTATTTTTATAGACCGGTATTATTGTGGTCCTCTGTCACACTGTCACAGAAATCTGCAAAGTTTTTTTTAACTACCAGTGGTATTTTTACCCCTTTTTTTTTCATCATAAGTACTCATATTTGTTTTGAAACAGTTGGACCATGTGTATCCCTGCAGTGAATCTCACCCATCTGAACTCAGGGAGATTTAACAGTGACCAGACTCACATCTGTATGTGAAGTATTGGAGAAGTATGCATTCTGGATCCCAGGCAATATTTTATTCACATAGTGTTAGTGATTGTAGATAAATTAGTGATTGAATGTAGATAAAAAGGAAAATCTAGTAGAAGGATCTATTGGGCATTTTGGGTTATTGATCATAATAGATCAATAAAAATAAGAAAAATCCATAATATTAAATTTGTTGAAGCGCAGCTATATGATAAGAAGCAAGATGCCTACATGCCTATAGCCTAAAAACATTACTGGCTATTAACGAATTACCAAGTTAAAATGGTAGAAAAAAAGAAATCCAAACCAATACATTTCTACTGAGACACTGACAGTACAATACAACCTGGGTTATGGAAATGGTGCATAGGCCTTGTCCAGTTTATTGCAGCCCTTTTTCTATAACACAATGGTTCTCAAACTGTGGTCCAGGGACCGCTGGCGGTACTCACATTGTCACATTGATGATTTAGTTTTTAGAGACAGTGCTTAATGCCAGTTTAATCCTGGTTTAGTACTGGTTTACACCTAGTTTACACTTTTCTTTAGTCTTGATTTAAATCTGTTTTAGACCCAGTTTAGACCGAGTTTAGACCTGGTTTAGATCTGGTTTAGACTTGGTTTAGACGTGGTTTAAACTTGGTTTAGATGTGGTTTAGACCTGGCTTAGACTTGGTTTAGATGTGGTTTAGACCTGGTTTAAACCTGGTAAAACTTAAGTTATACTTAAATAATACATTATTAAAAGTCAATTCTATGCACAATTTGGTTTTGGAATCCCCAGTTTATGCACTTTTGTTTTTGAAGAGACACTAGGCACCCGTTGAGAACAGTTTTCACTGAATTCACACGTCACTGGTCGGTGATGTATCTAATAAAGTGGCCACTAAATGTTTAATGTTGCTTATTGGCACTGTTTCCATTGTTCAAAAATAATAATGATACATTCACACAAAATACAAATGTAATAAAAAGTCTTTCACTCATTCACCCATTGACCTGCAGCAAAATTAAATACTCAAACACACACTCAAATCTAAATAGTTTCTCAGGTATTCCTATTGCCTGGCCAGCCAGCAATTAGTCTGGTCCTCTTTTGGGGCGAAGTTTATGCAATGTAAATTCCAATAAGTAAACTTTACTAAACTAAAACCAATACTAAACCTACAGCTCTGATGGTTTAGCAGGACTGTTATTGAAAGGAAGACAACTTACTAAAATTGGGAGGTATACAAATTTAAAGTTCATGTAACTTTCCTGGTGGGGGTCCCTGCATCTCCATGGAGCGGTTATTGCATTAATTCAATAAGAAGTACTTTAATTGAGAAATTTAAAAAATACTTAAAAAAAAAAAAATATCATCATCTGCATGTCTCCATTGAGTTGGAGACTTGTAATGCCATACTGTAGAACATTCCAAACAAAGCAATATGATTAGTTTGAAGAAAAGCAGGTGGAAGATCACCCACAGAAAAGTTACACAGCTCATCTTTAAAGACCTACTTCGCCCCAAAAAGTGTTAAGGTTTGGATGACAAGGCCAGGACTTGATAATATTTCTTGAGTGAATCACAAGCAGCAGACCAGGTACAGAATGTTGTCACAGTTCCCTTCTAACCTTGTTCTATTATTTTTGTTCTTTTCTGAGGTGAGGTGATTTATGGTTTTTAAAACAACCCCACCATGTGGTCAATCTGCCTCATGTACACACTCTTCAAAGGAAGGGCATAGCGTCGCTCCTCTGGTATTCTGTCACACTGTGGAAAAAAGAAAACGATTAAATAAACTCAAAACATATGGTGACTCGACAAGGTTATAGCACTAATTCCTGGTTTAATAATAATAATATAAATGCTTCTTATTTAGATCCAAACTGCACAACTTTGTATTTTTGCAGTTAATCTGAAATGTGCATAGATGTGTATTATAATACCATAGGTGATGAAGTATCTCACACGTAGTGGAAAAAGGACAGTAAAATTAAACAAAATGTCATAATCATGACTTTGTGCACCAGTTTGAAAGATTATGCTGCAGATGACTTATTTTAAAACCAGCTGCAGATTTTTATTAATTTAATTTTAAACAATACTAGTGTTGTTCCAATACAAATTTTTTTTTGGACCCAATACCGATATCAGTTCCATACCAGTCCCAGTGGGAAGTTTTGTTAGTACAAGAGGAAAAAATTAATCTTCTAAAAGCCTATTTTTAAAGAAAATCTGCAAGAATAAATTAGATTTTAAGGACTGGTATTAGTTAAATGTATAATGGTCTTGACCATAAGTAGAGCTGATTAAAGCATTTTTATTTTTCTACTTCATCACTTTGTACCACAGTGCACAGATTAAAACAACAGGAAACAGAGCACTATAAATAATTTTAGTTATTTAGTAAGTTCAGCATCCACACCAAAAGCTAAATGGAGATATAAAAGAGGACACACAAATGTCTTTTCTGTCATTTTTAGCATGTTTATGTGTTTACAGAGCCTCCACAGTCTGCTCTGGGCGTGTATGAGACTTACGTTGCTGGTGTTGCTGTGCTGCCATGTGACCGGCCCTGTCTCGCTCAGGGCTCCATCTTCACAGGGCCCCAGGTCGCTCCACTGTCTCTCCCTGAAACGCTTGTCGATGGGCACCACGTGTCCCTCTGTGGTGAAGATGTATTTATTATCAGACCTATGCAGGGGGTTCTCCTCATCAAACAGCTGCAAGCACAAAAACAAACCATTATTCCACATAAATGAATATATCGGTGAAGAGAAAATTTTAATATGCTATGAATATAACTTAAAATGCACTAGATAGTGTTATTTCAAAGCAGAATAATTGATTTTTTTTTTTTTTATCTTAGCGCCTGGTCAACTGGTCATATAATAGTTTGGTTATTGATCTGTTCTAAAACAATTCATAAACAATAAAATAATTTCAATACATCCAGTGACAAGTAACATTTGATCTGTATTGCTACACAGTTTATCAGCTGTTGGCAAACGGGAACATTATGCATGATGGTCAAATGCAGTAGGTCTGTGCAATTCATCTAAGAATTGTAATTGTAATTGCTCCCTAAGCATAATTAAAGTAAATGAGAGGGAAACTCAATGTATTACAACGTACCAGATAAAGGTATTTGCACGTTTCACTGAGAAAGAAGCTCTCCATCCGATCTTCTTTTGATTTGTCAACAACGTGGTGAAGAGTGGCATACCCACACCTGCAAAATAGAGAACCTGCTAATAATATTTAAAAAATATGTAAGGATTATTTTCAGTCTTAAAATAGACATACCTGACTTTGGCATTTTTCTCAAGGCTCTGAAGAATATCCATACCAACATGTAAATAAAAAGGATTTTTGGTTGCCTGTAAGACACAAAGTTTGAGGTGAGTGACATAACAGTATAAAACTTGATTTGTCCACGCAAGAAGCTGCCTCTGTAGAGAATCTAGAGATCGATAAATAGTCAGACAATTGGTCATAAATTTGATTTGTTCACCCCTTGATATCCATCCAAAGCTAAATACATTTCAAAAACACACATCCCAAATGACCACTAAAATCTTCATGCTCTTATGATACCTGATAGAGCAGGTAGGTGGACTCAACCAGTTCAGGCCTCAGGGGGTAGAAGAGCACGTCAGGCGCCTGCAGCTGCCAGTTGTACCTCTCTGGTAGGGCCCCAAAGCGCTTCCATATGGCATAGTAGAATGCATGCAGACAAATGGCATTATCCACATCTCCATTCAACACCTATGGCAACAAGGAGAAAAAAAAAAACACACAGGTCAGAGCTGCCAATAAATATCAGGCATAAACTCGTACAAGTAAAAAGATATTTTTAATAAACATAACACACTGATGTTTATCAAACACAATGCACAAACACAATTAATAATAAGTGAGATTTTATGTTTAAAATCATATGGATTTCCAAAAATCTAACCTGCAGTCCCGGGAAAAAGGCCTGGAGGGAATCGATCCAAGTGTTCATGATTTCACCGTTGAACATGTTGACGTTAACATATAGAGGCGGGTCTCCCTCTCCCTCATTACACGACTCACGACTGGGGATAAAAACACACACAATGAAGTTAACTGGTTTTCTTTTTTGTTCATTTATTTGAAGCAAGTGAAATTAGTATATTGGAGAAACATTGAGGAAGAAGAAATTTGGTGGGTAGAATTTGGGAAATGGAATTAGGGGAAGTATAATTTGACTATACTATAACTGTCAAGAGAAGTTAGCAATTAAGAATTTCTTTGCATTGCTTTTATTAATTAGTAACTTTGTATTGCTTAATTCTATGATCCCAGAGGACCATTGCCATAGCTTAAACCATGAATTGTTGTGTACACAGTGAAAACAACACTGTGCACAGCAATTCATGAGTGTCAAGGTATGGCAATGGTCCTATGTAACTGGAGCATTAAGCAATACAAGCCATAATACAACATCTTTTGAAATGGGAAAGGTCAAAAAATCAATTATAGTTTGAATAGTTTTAGTGAGGAAAAAACAAATTAATACAATTTCATTGTATAACATTTTGACATGAGCATCTTATCTAATCTATGACTCTCTTGTTCAAACACATGATATTTAGGTCAGTTGAGTGGGACTCACCCTCTCCTCATATGGTTCTGGATGCTCTCATAAGCAGACTGGAACATCCTGTAGTCCTCCTTTTCCCCAAAAAGGATGTATGACTTCAGTAAATACTCATAGAAGGAGTCCATCCCTGCTCCAAGGCCGCTCTGCTTCCCAACCCACTGTCCTGTCTGGATATTCACTACATTACCTGCAAGAGAACAAACACGTAAAAATGTTCAGCTTCAGGTCTATGAATACGTAAACACAAAATTACTAAAATGACAGTAAAAGCAACCAAATAAATACATATACCAACCAATAAAATGCAAGAAGTGCAAGTACTTCAAAGCAGTGGACCTGATATCTCGCAATGGAAAACAAATCATGCCCAGATCTGGACTAAAACTCAAAGGTCATATAGTTCTCAATTGTTTTAACAACAAAATATGTCAATATTCCAAGGAATATACTAAATTACAAACAATTACAGTAAAATACAAATAGCCTACAATAAAACAGTTTTTTTGTTTGTTTGTTTTTTTACGGCCACAATTTAACAATAAGCTTTTATAATTCAAGGCTACCATGCACCCAAATAGGCACAAAATTGGATCAACATTAACACATACCTCACTCTTTTTAGGAAAAGGATTTCAGTGCTGCTTTAGTTCATATATCAAAGTGGAAAAGACAAAAAATGACTAAATCTATATTTATTAAATTACTCACAATATTAGTGAGCATGTTCATTAGTCTTGTGTTTTCACACAACACAATATTAATGGAGATTATGATATTTGCATTGGTTTCACATCACTGCGTGTACAGTATGTACCTAACAAACCAGTTTCGTTGCTCCGTAGCTTCCACAGAGCTCTGACAGCTCGTCTGGCAACCCACTCAAATGTCGAATCTCCAATAAGTCGACTCAAAATCCCAAACTCCACCAGCAAAGAGCCAGCCCCAGCAGTGCAGGTCTCATTAATGCTGTCAGGGGGGACTCCAGTCTTCAAGTTCACCTGCATTTAACACACAAATAAAACCAAAATCTGTCAGAGTTACATAAAAAAGCATCATAATGTTTAGCATGTAAAGCATGATAAACTCAAGGCCAGTTGTACTTTTTCTCAAAAGATCTTGTTAAACATTGATTATGTACATTTTGTGCAAACATGGAAGCCTGTGTTGGACCAAAAAAGTGTTGGTGCAGTCACAATGAATATTTAACATATACATTTTTCAACACATTTATACCCAGATAGACAGGTGTTTTTTTCTTGTAAGTAATCTCCCTTTCTGAAATTCAACATCTGTTTTTGATCATCTTTTTAAAAAAAATGCATGCTCCTTATCCCTTATATTCTTTATACTTTGTTTTTTAAATGGACATAATATAGTACTGTAAATACATTTAATCTATACACTTTGTTAATACATCTTAAATTGTCTTTGTTAAACTAAACAAAATGTCAATGAATTTTCACACAATTTGCAGAAAATTGTATGTACTACTCACCCTGGGATAAGGAATGCCAGTGTTTGTGTTCTCAAAGGCTGGGAGCAGACGTACAGCCAAGTCATGAGCCAAATGCAGTAGTTCATTATTATAGTCCTCAAAGCCCACCTCTCCAAATGGGTGCTTGGGGTCGGTCAGGAGGATGTGTGCCGAGATCAGGCTGCCTAAAATCCTTTAGGTGAAGGGGAAATAGTTATTAAATGTTACGTATATACTTTCAGTATAGAGAGTAAATGTACCTGATGTTTGCTTCAAATACTTGAACCGTCGAGTCCTTGTCAAATGACACTGTATCTATCACCAGCTTCACAGCTTTTTGGAACTCTGAAACATTGCCAAGGACCTAGGAAAAAAACAGAACAAATACCATGTATAAATAGCCTGACAATAATATAATATATAATATAATGACATACATACAAATATATTTCTGTGCCATTTGTTTTAATTGTTACAAAGCAGGTGTGACACATTAATATTACATCATAGATGTTCAGATGAACCTTCTTACCAAAAGAGTGTCAAGGGTGTCTATCAATGTGAGTGAATAATTCCCCAAAACATCATTAATGTTGATGTTTGACCTGAAATGAAAAAACATACAGTGAACCAAAAACCACACAAAAAATATAAAAGCGTTTTACCACATAAACGAATAAAAAATATGATATTAAGGTGATTTGAAGAGGGTGAAAACATTTCTTGTGTGTGTAATAATTGGGATAACATGGCTGACATATAAAAATAGTTTTGCATACAGTCTGGGTATCATCCATATGTTGTGAATTGTCCAGTGAGGTGTGAATGTTCACGTGCAACATTTGGAACAGAGCTGGCACCACAAACTAACCATTACATGAAAAACATGGGCAGGGCTGATGTGGGCACAGATCAGTAGTGTCTGCAGAGTTTGACTGTCTCAGCCTATGCAAATAGCCACAGTTAGAGAAGAGTCCAGGTGCCCCAGGACAGTGACTCACGGGTTCAGCACGTCAGGTCCCCTGCCTTCACAGTCTATGGGGTTGAGCTCGTCCTTGGGAAAAGCATATTTCATGTAATTGTCATATCCGAAATAGAACATGTCTCTGGCCATGTCCTTCATCTTTGTCTTGAGAGAGTTCGGGAACGAGCTGTATCTGCGGACGTACTCGTCCTGTCTGCCCTGGAACAGTCCCAGGTAGGACCGTGGCGGTTTGGGCTGCTGTCCCGCCTGAGCGCAGGTACTTGCCGTCTCTTCATATTTCTTCCCTTGTATTTGTTGAGACCAAGTCTTACCTTTGGACTCAACATCTTTTTCTTCACGAAATAATAAGTCCAGTTTGTGCAAATTAAAAGTTAGATGAAAGTTAAATCCGAAACTGACGCCTGGTCCCAGTCCAAACGTTAGCCACAGCAAACAGCTGAGAGACAGTCTCAAAACGACTAGCCCCACAACTAATGACCTCCATTGCATCTTTGCCCCGGGACGATGTTAAAACACATTCTTTTCCTCCACACGCCGAGTGAGGGGTTTGTGAAAATCTCGCTTTATTAGATGTAACTTGATTCAAAGCTTGAGCTGGGTAGTAGCGGTTCCTCTTTACACGCTTCCTGTCAACAAATGAGACCCTCCCTGCTCTGAATTCTGATTGGTTCGCACAGGGTGACGTCAGTTTAGTTGAGTAAAATACGCACAGCTATTGGACAACGATCTGTCAATCATTTTAATGTTTCATCGTTTACCTGACGTGTCTCACAGGTCCATTGAACTCATCTACCAATAAGCAATGGCCACAAAGATGATTCACTCAAATGATTCTAACGAAAAATATAACTATTTATAAATACTGTAAGTCCTTTCCGTTACTGTATGCAAAATCAGTTTCAATGTAAGTGCATTTTGAAGTTTATTGTACCCCCTTTACTTAGAGTAACTAATGCACTGTAGTATTAACTATACCAAAGCGTCTGATTCTGAATAAAATGTAATAAATGTACAAAAAAATAATAATTTAAAGAAATGGAATCTTAACATTTCTATAAACTCTTTTTGCCACATTATTGTCACTAAAATCATAAGTCAAAAGACTCAACACGAATAGTAATGTCGAAACTGAACAATAAAGCACAGTTGGACGATGACTAAATTAAAACATTTGCCTTTAATTTTTGTATATATTGAGTTGGTGAATGACATAGCCCAGACAGCAGGCCCCTTTGCTTCAAGAGGTGAGAGATACCGCACAAGGCACTTCATATTCTGCCACTCTTTAAGCTCAGAGGCAGCACAAAAGACATCTTCACATGAAGGCTAAAGAACAGAACCAACCATCCAATGCAATACAGCTTACTACTAGTACATTCAAACTTTTAAATAGTTTCATACAGTATATTCACACGCATCAATCATAAAAATCATACTAGCTGTATTTTTTGTACAATCTTCATAAACTGACCTCTCTTAATGCAATCGCGTCTAAAATTAAAACAGCTTTATTAAGCAGTTATCAAAGGAAAATTTACATAATAATATAGATATGACATTTCTTGGCATCAGCTGTATGCAGAAACCTAATTTAATTGTCACAGGCCTTTCATGATTTTCTGTACCCTTAGTGTCACAAACTATCAAATATTTCAACCAGGAAATGCCTAAGCTGTTCAGAAGCTAACCTCTAGGTAATACCATTTTACAGTATATTACAATGCCGATCATAACACACCATTGTTCCTTCAGTAATGCACTCTTGAGCCTTGTTGCAGAAAAACAAAGCTAAAATAGAAAAGAATGTAAATGGCAAGTATAACAGTGCCGCACGTGGTTTCAGAAACATGACTGTACATAATTGCAGTGATAAATGTGGCTTGACAGAGAAAACATTAGGAAACAATTAAGTGCTTTCAGCTCCTCCTGGATTTTGAGTGCTGGATGAGCCACTGAAGAGTAATATCTGAATAAAAAAGATAAAATACAAACATTATATCAGGGTAATGCATGGCTACACTGTTTCATGCATTAGTGATTACAATATTCCACTTACCTATGTTGTCTTTTTCTTTGCAGGAAATTGAGTAGCAGCAAATCTCTCTGTCTTGAATAGCTGACAGATTCCTACAACACCAAAAAAAAAAAACCTTAAATGATAATTTTGCATTTTCTAGAAATGTGGCAGTATGTGAGCAATATCTATTCAGTCCTAAAACTAAGGAGAAATAAACAGGACAGGCCCTCCTTGAAAAAGAGATCATCTCAAGGGGCTAATATTATACATAAATACATAAAAGATGTGACTATGTAATAGTTTTGGTCAATTTATACTATACAAACAAAATTTCCACTGAACTGAATGACACTGTATTGGATGTAATTTAACCAGATAAAGTTACCTAGCAGTGCTATTGGTTGTTGCTCATACTTACATTTTTTCAATAAGCTGCTTTTCATCTAATGCATTTGGAAGATCCCTTTTGTTGCCAAGTACCAAAACCTTTAAACAAATGTTAAAATACAGCATTACTTAAAAAACCCACAAAAATACAATAAAATATTTTATTTGTGAACTTACAGGAATTCCTTGCAACTGAGGTTTGTCTAATAAATTATGAAGCTCATTCCGTGACGCCTCTACCTTTTCTCTGTCTGCTGCGTCAACCATGTACCTAATAGCAACATACGATCTGAAATGTTTGCTAATTGCACAATGTAGATACTTAATGACTTTATCAAACTAATAAACTTACACAATTGCATTGACTCCCCGACAGTATCGTTCCCACATGCTCCTGAACCTTGGCTGCCCTCCTATATCCCATATCTGAAAGAAGAATCACAGCATAATACAATTACACCACAACCACTTAAATAATGAGTACAAACTAAGTGATTAAAAAGTATGAGCCAATAATATTGCGATAAATGTACCTTGATGGTCACATTTCCTTTGGTGACTTTTCTCATGTTGAATCCAACTGTTGGGATCATGTCTTCACTGAAGTGGCCAGACTAAAAACAGACAGGAAATATGTTTTGTTACCAAGAAGAACTGCATGAATGTATTACACAGCACAGTACAGTATAAAAGTACACACATAAAATACCCAGGGAGAAATATACCATTGGTAAACATTATGGTGACCTGAAATAGTCAATCTTAGTTCTTACTTATATTATTACTTACATTACTTATATTACTTAATTTTTTTTTCTCTTTTGTTATTATAATATATTGTGATGTGTGAGCTACTGTTTTCAAATAATTTCCCTTGTGGATCAATAAAGTTTGTATAAGTCTAAGTTATCAAAACAAGCTAAACAAAAATGGTTACAACACATATGAAGTGAAAAGGAGTCTTAGATGATAATATTTAGTACTACATAATCTCCACAAAGATTTGTCGGAATACTACAAACCTTTAAAATATTGTGTATATGTATAATGCAGCTACATCCTACTGAAATGCCCAGATTGAAAACAGACAGAGAAAAAAAATACTAGAAATGCACAGCTCAGCAAGTCTTTTAAGTGGACACAAATTGTCTACATTTCTTAACCAAATGATCAAAAGAAAACATCTTAATCATTAAAGATATGTGAAGTGAATATAAAATGCCTTGAATGATGATCTTTAGTGCTACTATAATCTCAAAGCAGGTTTTATATAGGTATATATATATATATATATATATATATATATATATACACACATACACACACACACACACACATACACACACACACACACACACATATATATACTGCTTTGATTCTGTCATATCTGAGTTTAGTAACACTTTTGATGTGGCTTACTTATACTCCTGCAGCACATGACTTCAGAGTCACCTGACAAAGCTAAGTGGAAATGAGTGCAATGGTCTTATGACTGAGAGGAAGAGGAGGAACCACCATGCACTGCTACAACTCATTCACCCAAAACCAGCTACACAGGCATACTGTGCACACACACTCCTCCAGCCACAGGAATGAAGCTATACAACTGGTTTGAAGAGGGATTTCCTGTAAAAGTACATTAGGTGTATTGGAAACTACTGTTTTCAATTGTTATAGAAAGGACTGAAAGTATTCTTCATTTTCATTATTACTTTACGAGAGATATGACTAGCAATATATTTATAATAAGATAATCGGCAGATTATTACTACCAAGGATGAGCCCAAATTAGAACATAACCTAACATTTGATAGCCCTTGCTTTGAACAATAAAAATTTACTAAATCAAAATAAGGTTACAATATGGATGGCTGCTGTTGAAATAATTTACAGAAATGTGTGTTTCTTCTTTCATTTTTATGCATTTATATAACGTAAGAGGTTTGTTGTCCAAGTAGTTAATACATTTGCTGGCAATCGCCACACATTCAACTATGAAATGCTCAAGGAATTGCAAGTAGAAGTGCAAGTGACTATTGCAAATATCAATTTTGGGTAATCTCTAGCCAACCAGAGTGAAGCGGATGCAAAGCAATCTAACCACAGGCTGTCTCAAGTTAAACGAGGTGACAGAATTAAGTGTGAGACTAATTTGCCAACGTTTACAAGTCTGAAATACTCTCTTAAGTACAGCCAATACTTGTGTACAATAGTTAAAACTATACAACATATTGTGAATAGACAAAATACGATACGCAGTCTTAACACAAAGTGGCTATCGCTGTCGAACCCGAGGTCATTATCCTGAAAGTACAGTAGAAGAAGCGTCTTAAATTGAAAATATAGTGAAATGCTAACTCTTTTTAGCATGCTATTACAGTCATAACACAGTCACGCCTGACTCACATCATAGCTTTGGCGCAGGTGGGAAAAGATAGGAACACAACATTGCACAATCACGGGTTGTGTTTGTCTATTCGGCGATTCACAAGTGGGGCCATTATCTTTTAGTCAAATCAATCTGTCAAACTGTAGAACACAAGTATGATTTTTAACATAATGTTATTATGCTATTACTGAAGCTAGAAGTATTAGCATTTAGCAAGGTGGCTAGCGGCTAGAGACTTACAGCAATCACGTTTACAAATGTTGTTTTCCCCGAGTACTGGAGGCCGACCAGGGTCAGCTCCATCTCTTCCTTCCAAAACAAGGACTTGAACCAGTCCAGAAGCCGGTTTATTAGCGCCAGCATCTTGCTATCGGTGCTCTCTTCGCCTGGTGCCTGTTGTGTTTCTGCAGCCCTGTCAGGAGCGGTCAGATGTGGTGGCGTTTTTTTCCAGCGGAGAGTGAGGAAGGGAAGTGGGACTACGGTCATGTGATCAGCCCATCCACATGTTAGACAGCGAACATACCGGGCAATAAGGGAACTACAGCTGTAATTGTCAAAATAAAGTAAAGTATGTAAAGGTATTACAAAAACAACTGAGCCTTGGTTAACACTGCCTTGAGATTGTACGTTTTTTTTTTTTTGTTTTTTTTTTTCATATTCTCAGGACAAGAATGTTATGGCTCAGAACCTGCAGAATTCACTCACTGAGCTCCAGAAGGTGTACTAGTACTGTTTAATTACTGCTAACTATGCGTCCTTCCTTTGGTTGTCCTGTGCATTAATTTAGGCCCTAGTCCCTCGTCCTATTTATTTAGAGAATGTCCCACCTGAGCCACATGAATAGTATGAGATTTACAGATTGACTTATGCGTTAAAACAAGGTAAAAAATTTATTATTTTTTAACATATTTACAACCCTGAATGCCAGTAGGCCTACACCTTAAAAGTCTTAATTTCTTGGCGAGAAAATCTCACTTTTTATATAATTCATGTGGCAACAATGAAAAAGTGTGACATTCATTCATACAGGTTAAGTGGGACAAATACAAAGCTCTCGATGACTGTGAGGGACAACCACAAGAGGTCACTCTAGGTTCACTACCTGCCTACCTTTTTCTTATGGGGAGCGGGGTGAATGCAACTAATCTGCAGTGTCCAGGTAGACAGATACAGTGCCCAGACATTATCTTGTCTTTAGTGACTAAATAAAAATGTAATACATCAAAGTAAGTCACACAAAACTACAGAATGTCCATGTTTAATATGAGAAAAGTCCGAAATGCTCCATGAGATGGAGCAGAAAGAAGAGATCTTCAGGGCAAAAATGAAAGAGGCTGAAGATGCAGACAAAAGGATGGAGAAGGAGAGGGCCCTATGGAGGAAAGAAAAACATAGCCTTTTGGAAAATCTCAACCACAACTCACCTTCAAAAGAGCCATGTGCATGCATGGAAGACTATGTCACGAAATTAGTGGAAGAATACAACACATATAAACGTGATGTTGATAATGAAGTGGTTATGAGGGAGAAGTCCTGGATTGAGATGAAGACAAATTGTACTTTAAGGTGAAATATCTTGAATCACTTGTCTTAAATCTGCAGGATGCTGAAAAAGAGATGGAGACTAAGAGGGAAAGATTGGTCATTGAACGTGAAGCACTGCATACAAAAGAAAGACCAAAGAAATGTTCTAAAGGCATTCAGACCACCAAACCTCAGGTGGTTTCAATAGAAACCCAAGTGGAGGATGTTAATGAAAAAGAACGCATTGAGGATTGGCAGAAGAAAGAGCAAGCCTGGAAAGCCGAGAAAGAGGAACTTCTTACCCAGATTAAGGCCATGAAGTCTTTGGAGGTTGAGCCAATTTCCTCAATGCAGGCTGAATCCACTAGGGTCAGATTGGGGAACTGTGTGGAACAAGAGTCCAAGTTCATGTTATTTAAGAAAGAAGCAATGTGGGAGAAAGAAAAACTGAGCATGCTGAGTCAAATCAGACGGCTGTCTCAACGGAACCAAGTGCTTGAGAATACAATAAAAGATCAGTATCAGCAATGGCAGGAAAGACAACAAGTTTATTTAGATAATGAGATAACCTTTATAAATAAGGAAGCTGAACTCCTCAGAGAAATTGCCAAGCTGAATACTGAACTAAACACTAAGACAGAGGAGGCAACTAAATTCGTAGAAGGCAAGGCAAGGCAAGGCAAGTTTATTTGTATAGCACAATTCGTACACAAAGTAATTCAAAGTGCTTTACAGAATAAGAAATACATTAAAATCATAATAAAAACAAATCAAAACATAAATAATCATGAAGATTAAAATTAAAAAAAAGAGAGACATAAATTGGAGAGAAGAGTGCGGAATGAAAACCTTTCAGTTATATGCACAGTTAAACAGAAATGTTTTGAGTCTGGATTTAAACAGCGTCACAGAAAAGGCCTGTCTCACATGTTCAGGAAGACTGTTCCAGGTTTTAGCTGCATAAACCTGAAACGCTGACTCCCCTTGTTTAGTTCTGACTCTGGGCACCAGCAGGAGGCCGGTCCCTGAGGTCCTCAGAGTGCGAGATGGTTCATATGACACTAACATGTCACAGATGTACTTTGGTGCTCGGCCATGGAGAGACTTGTACACAAGCAGAGCTGCTTTAAAGTCTATTCTCTGAGGCACAGGAAGCCAGTGCAGAGACCTGAGCACAGGACTTATGTGCTCGTACTTCCTAGTTCGAGTAAGGACCCGAGCTGCAGCATTCTGGATGTTCTGCAGCGTCTCACAGCTCGTTTGGAGAGACCAGTGAGCAGACCATTACAGTAGTCTAACCTACTGGAGACAAATGCATGGATAAGTTTCTCCAAGTCTGATTTAGACAGTAAACCTTTGATTTTTGCTATGTTTTTTAGATGGTAAAAGGCTGCAGATGTTATTGATTTTATGTGACTGTTAAAGTTCAAGTCTGAGTCCATTATTACCCCTAGATTTCTTGCCTGATTTGAAGGTTTTAGAGAGAGAGACTGGAGGTGACTGCTGACACTGTCCCTTTGTTTCTGTGGACCAAACACTATGACTTCAGTCTTGTCAGAGTTTAGCTGGAGAAAGTTGTTTTGCATCCACACACTGATCTGTTGGATGCAGTGACCAAGTGACTCCACTGGTCCATAGTCTCCTGCTGCCAGAGAGAGACGTAGATCTGAGTGTCATCTGCATAATTGTGGTACGACACGTTATTGCTGCTTATTAACTGGCCTAATGGCAGCATGTAGAGATTGAACAACAGGGGGCCCAGGATTGACCCCTGAGGCACCCCGCAGGTCAGGGCCATGTCATCTGAGACACAGTTTCCAATTTCAACAAAATACTTCCTGTCTTCTAGATAGGACTTGAACCAGTTTATTACAGTACCAGAGATGCCCACCCAGTCCTCTAGTCTCTGTAAGAGGATCCCATGATCGACAGTGTCAAAAGCAGCACTCAGATCTAACAGGATCAAGACTGAGACTTTGCCTGCATCAGTGTTCAGGCGGATGTCATTTGTCACCTTGATAAGAGCAGTCTCAGTGCTGTGGTGGGCTCTAAAACCTGACTGGAAAACATCAAAGGAGTTGTTCATTTGGAGAAAGTTCGTAAGCTGTTGGTAAACAGCTTTTTCAAGGACTTTGCCAAAAAACGGCAGATTTGAGATGGGTCTGAAATTGTTCAGTACTGTGGCATCAAGACTGCTCTTCTTTAGGAGAGGCTTAATGACCGCAGTTTTCAACGCATTTGGGAATGTTCCAGATTGAAGTGACATGTTAACTATGTGAGTGAGTGGTGAAAGTAAACTGTTGAGGACGGACTTTAGAAATCTAGTGGGTAACATGTCCAGGCAGCAAGTAGATGAACTCAGACTGATAACGATCTCTAAAACAGTTTTTGTCAGTTACAGGTGCAAAGTGATTCAGCTCTAAGTGTCTCTGTGGCTGCATGCTTGTTATTTGTGTTGTGGAATTGATGGCATTTTTGATGCCCTGAACTTTGTCATTAAAGAAAACTGCAAACTCATTACATTTAGATGTGGAAATTAGTTCTAGTGGCAGTGGAGCTGGAGGGTTTGTTAATCTGTTCACTGTTGCAAACAGGACACGAGAGTTGTTACTGCAATTACCAATAATGTCCGAAAAATACTTCTCTCTTGTTTTACTCAAAGTGTAGTTGTACATATGCATTGTTCCTCTGTAAATCTCATAATGAACCTGGAGGTTTGACTTGCGCCATTTCCGCTCAGCCTTCCGGCACTCCCTTTTCTGTGCTCTGACTGAGTCATCATTCCTCCACGGAGCTTTTTGCCTATCTTTAACCACTTTAACCTTTATCGGAGCGATGGCATCCAGAACATTCAAAACACTCAAAGTCACAGAGTTCAACACATCATCAACATTAGAACATGAGGCAATTTCAAAATGTATCATTTCCATGAACAGTGCACCTGTGTTATCATTTATGTGTCTCCTTCGAACAACTGTAGGAGCAGCCGGTGGTTTGGGAATAACAGACAGGTCAAAGAAGACACAGAAATGATCAGACAGAGCAACATCAACCACACTGACATTTGAAATATTTACACCCTTTGTAATGAGCAGGTCCAGAGTGTGCCCTCTGTTGTGAGTGGGCTCACTGACATGCTGAGTCAGACCAAAAGTTTCAAGGACAACACTAAGCTCTTTGGCATTTTTGTCACACACATTATCCACATGTACATTAAAATCACCTGTAATGACTAAACCATCAAAGTCTGTGCAAACAACTGAAAGCATCTCAGTAAAATCATCAATAAAACTTTGACAGTGCTGAGGAGGTTTGTATATGACTATGTAGAGTATGGACGGTGATTGTTTTAGCTCCATTTTGAAGGAAACATACTCAAATGATGAAAACACCCCAAATGACAACCTGTGTGTAACCAAATGATCTCTAAAAAATGCACACACTCCTCCACCCTTTTTATTTGCTCGTGTTTCAGATTCAAATTTGAAGTTGGGAGGGGTTGATTCCACTAGCACTGCATGACCTGTGTTTTTGTCAAGCCATGTTTCAGTTAAAAACATAAAGTCAAGATTAAAAGAAGAAATAAAATCATGAATTAGAAATGATTTGTTACATAAAGATCTGACATTGAGCACAGCAAGTTTCTGATTAGTTTCAGTAGGACTGGATGTTATCTTCTTACAGGGAACGTGAACTAAATTTCTCTGATTAGACAGTCTAACTGTCCTTCTTTTAATCTGTCTACGTGTTGTAACTGGAGCTATAGCTCCATCGCAGGGCCCCAGCCTTATATTACCTTTATCATGACTGTATGTCCTGGGACAGCAGAGGCCCTGTGCGTCCTAGCTCTTGGTGATAACAGCTCTGGGGAAAGGCGGGGGAGGGCGAGCAGGGGAGAGTTTGGGTAAGTGACCAGGTGAGGGACCAGGTGAGGGCCGAGGAGGTGGCCGAGGAGGTGGAATACGGGGAGGTTTGGGTGAGGGGCCTGGTAAGGACCGAGGAGGTGGAGTAGGGGGAGGTTTGGGTGAAAAATTAGAGGGAGAGCTGAGAGAGTCTCTGGTGGTGAAACAGGCACAGTTTTGTATGGGGGAGAGTTCAACATAACCCTTGACCGTGCTATGTTAGGTGTGAGAGGAACCATCTTGATTCCCGATCTGATGAGGCTTTCTAGATGGTTGGGCAGTGCCATGGGTGAAGGTGGGGAGGAGAAGGACAGTGAAGAGTCCGTTGATGGAGTAGATGTAGCAAGGGGGACTCCAGGCTGGTCTGTGGGCAGCGGAGGTGATGGGTGTGCTGGTGGCGCTGGGGGAGGTGGTGGTGGTGTTGCTGACTCATTCTCTGGGGGGAGGTGGTGCTGCTGACTTGTTCTCTGGGGGAGGGGGAGGTGGTTCTGCTGACTTGTTCTCTGGGGGAGGGGGAGGTGGTTCTGACTTGTTCTCTGGGGGAGGGGGAGGTGATGATGCTGCTGAGTTGTTGTCTGTGGTAGTGGTTGTGGTTGTGGCAGTGGTGGTGCTGTCAATGGTGCTGACTTGTTGGCTGGTTCTCTGTTAGGTGCAGCAGGGATGCTTCTCCCATTTCTCTTTTCTCTCACTGGATGCACAGGACCCTGTCCAGGCCGGTGCCTCAGAGCGTGGAGGAGGTTTTCCGTCAACACTCTCACTCCACCTCTGCTTAGGTGTGGGCCATTTCCCTCGAACAGGTCCTTCCGTTTCCAAAAAAGATCAAAGTTCTCAATGTAGTGCAATCCTCTGGCCGTGCACACATTCAGCAGCCACGTGTTCAGCTGAAACAGTCGGGTAAATTTGTTCCTGTTCCTTAGGTCTATGTTGGGAAGAGGTCCACTGATAAATGTCTTAACCTCCACTTTATTAAGCTCCTCGAATAATTTTGTGAAATCCCTTTTCAAGACTTCACTCTGTTCCATTCTGATGTCCACTGCACCCACATGCACAATCAGCTGTTTGACCCCTTGGTGTGTTGACAAAACTTTTGGCAGGAGTTTTGTTATCTCAGAAACAGTGTACGTCGGGTAGCAGCATGTTAGGATTCTTCTGTGACTCACACCACTGATAGCCCCGTCTCCTAGCAGCAACGTATCTCTGACCTTGACGTTTGGCACAGATTCCCGGTATGCCTGCACTCTTTTGGCAACTTTATTGTTCTTGTTTTGTGATGACAGTACATTATCCCTTTGTACATTAACATCAGTCTGTGACAGTGGTGAAAATCAGTTTGTTAGCTTTATTGTGGGTGATATAACGATATTAGCATTGTCTTTTATCACTCGCTGCGCTGGCTTAGCATTTTGGTCTGTACCAAGTTTTGGAAAAGACACAGTATCACTCAGGTTTAAGTTGAAAGAATTTCCACCCTCTTCTCTAGAAGTAACTGTAGGTTGCTCACCACTGGAAGTCACTGGTAGCGTCTGATGAAGTCCTTTTTCAGTTTCTAAAGCAAATATCCGTGCTTGTAGCTCATAAATTTCTTGTTGATAGTTCCGACAGCGCTCACAGATAGAATTCCCTTGGTTTCTTCTCCCCGACATGTTGCTGGCTCATCAGATGATTTGTTAAAAAAATGTAAAAATGTTTAAAAGTATTAATTTACTTAAAAGGAAATCAAAAATAGCCGTTGTTGGAGGAGGCAAACTGATTAAAAAGCAAAAACAGCAGGAGCAAGCAAGGATAGCGTCCGCACTCTTCAGAAGCAGGAAGCACTACTCCTGAAGACCTGAAAAAAACACCAGTAGCAGTTCCACCATGCCCTAAGCCGAAGATAGTGTGCAAGAGAGTCCAAACTGGGACCCCAGACTCCAAAGGGAATCTAGTCTTCATCCTGATTGAAGAGACTCATCTTAAAGGTTGTATAGAGGATTTTCCAAGGAACGAGAAATCCAGCGACTGTCCTTTTTCAAATGTTGCGCATGCGTGAAACCACCCCCCCTCCCCCACAGCTCCCTACGTAGAAACGCCTCCTCCCTCCTCCTCCTTACGCCAGAAACAAGTTTGTTTACAGCCGGTGCGCTGCACATGACTTGTAAACAACTAACTACAGTGTTGGTTAGGCAAGACGGAGAAGAGCGGAGCGGGGAGCGAGGAGAGGAGAGAGGAGAAGGGAGCGGTGCACGGAGATTCCGTGACCGGAGAAGTGAGGAGCAGGGGGAAGAGCGGGACTGGCAGCGGGGAGAGGAGCAGGAAGGGGTGCAGAGAAGGTTGCGCGGAGATTCCGTGCGAATGAACTAGCTACAACATGCAGCAGCAAGCAGACTCTTTCTTTGCCTTGAAAATTACGTTTTCAGACATAGGATATCGCTTTCGTGTCCTGAAAAATGTTTGTCTAGCTCTTGGAAATAAAGTACGTTTTCATAATAAGCAGAAGTGACCTGTCCAGGAGTAATTTGGCGACCAATGCGTCAGTCTTTATACCCTTCGTCTGCTTCAGTCGCACCATCGCTGGAATGAATCTACAAGAATCACCTTAGTTTGGCATCGCTGCTTTTCCCCTTGTCTACTTCTTTCAGCTACCTCAAAAACGGACTTTCTTTTGCGGCTAACTGCTCCTGGATTCTTGTCTGCCATTGCAACAAATTTTGTGCTAACTGCGAGGAAGATATAGGTCAAAAAAGCCGCTAAGAACTGTTGCGTTTAAACAGCGTCTGTGCGTCTGTGGACTGCGTGACAGGCGTACGTAAACCACGTAACGGCAGCGCGCAGGCAAGTCAGTTACGCTAGAAACGTAGGGAGATTGATCAACAGCCTGTCAGCTAACAGATAACGAGGCAGTGTCGTTATCTATTGGCAAATGTTAGCACCATGTCCAGAGTTGATGAATTTTTATTCTCTTTTTTTTGGTCATCATAATTACAAGGCTACTGCACCTCTATAATGCTATCATTGACAATTTGAGAAAAAAAAATCCTCCATACAACCTTTAAGGACAAAATCAGTCTACTCAAAGATTTGACAGAGAAATGTAGAATAATAGAAAAGCTGAAGCAACAACAATCACAGCTTGTTGACAATATTAGAAAATGGGAGGAAAAATATAAAAGTTCCTGTGAGAAAATGAATTCTGAATTGAAACAGCAGCAGGAGGTTTGGCAACAAGAGAAACTCAAACTGGAAAATGAAAGCTCCCAAAAGAATCACAAAATTGAGAAGTTGCAAAACAGAATCCTAAAGGTTCAAGAGAATTTCAAAACAGAACGGCAAAATTACATTGAGAAAATAGATCGCAAGTCAAAAGAACAAGAGATTTGGGCCAAAGAGAAACTCGAATTTGAAAAAGATCGATCCAAAACTAGTCTCAAAATTGAAAAGCAACAAAAAGAAATTGAGAAGTTGCTAAATGAAATCTCTGAGGTGCAGGAGAATTTTGCAACAGAGCTGAAAAATAATTTTGACAAAATGTATAAAAAATTTAAAGAGCAACAAGAGTTTTGAGCCAAAAAGAAACTAGAACTTGAAAAAGACCAGTCAAAAAGTCATCACAAAATCAAGGAGCAACAAATTGACATTAAAAATCTTCAAAATGACAATGAGAAGTTGCAAAACAAAATCCAAGCTCACAAAAATCTGTTATGTGTAATACAGGATCAGTAAACTGATAAAAGCACCTCAGTGATGAACAAGTCGTCAAATCAACAACTGTGATATCTTCGAGAATAGCCCTGTTTTTATATTTTTTATTTTTTCAAAAGCCCTGAATAGTCCATTTTAGTTCAAATGAACTAAAAACTCAGTCCACCACTCTCTTGGATCTTCCTTCAGAGCAGAGTGGCTAACGTATATAAAGTCATGTTCATGTTTTCTTCCAAATCTTTACAGTTTGTTTTCAGGGGTTGCAGTCTCCTCCATTGACAATGGACAGACCTCAGTAGTGGTGACCATAAGAGGTTTACCTAAAAACAAGAATTAAAGAACACAAGTTAGGTGTAAATCATTAACTATGTTTACTTGCAAATTTCTAGAGATTTCTAGAGATGTCAGATTATTACATGCAAATCAGAAAATCCGATGTGAGTAATCTGAAGGACTGAAAAGGACTCCAGTCGGATTTTGCAGTTTATATGTCTTGTCAATAATAAAACTTTTTAATTTTAATCTGATTGGGAGTGCACATGTAACCACAGAACTGTCAAAGCAAAAATACAATAATCTTTGGTCAATAAATTATTGACCAAATCATGTAATTATCATGTAAAAATGTAATTTTTGTTCCAGTTAATTGTACAAAAACGTACAGCAATAGTGATACCAGTAGCACTAATTGAAGCAATAACAGGCATAGAGACTTAGATTCAATATTCAGTATACTCTTTAACTCTACAGGCTCTGTATGTCAAAATACTTACAATGTTTAATCTTTTTTATGCACTTGGCTAAGTGATAAGATAAAACAGCTATAATGGTGATGAGGACTAAGACAAATCCAGCAATGACAACCATAAATATCTTCTGCATATCTGTAACTTAGAAAATAAATCAGCAATCAGAATACTTAAATAAATCATAAAAGCAGTCAGAATACTTTTCAACTGCATTACTTCCTTACGGATATTTACCTTGTGACTGGCATATTGCATCGTGGGTTTTGTTACCAGCAAACACTTCATCAAGTCCGTGGGCGCTGCACCTGTTAGTGGGTAAGGACTGAGTCTACTTTTGTGGTTTGTAAATTGACATAAAAACAGGAAATCTGAATTACTCACTGTGTTATTGGCATGCAGATGTTTTTCTTTTCATCATAGTATTGATGATCCAGACATATAGGTTCACATTCATATTTGAATTTATCATTGGTAGAAACATCTGTAAACATCAATTCAATCATTAGAAATGCATTTTAGCATTGTAGTATTTCTAAGTATTTTTTAGTTTATAAACAAAATTAAAGAAATGTCAAGGCCTCTAAACTATATAAGATACATATAGAATATATATAGGTTAGAGGCCCTAAAAAGGTTATATGTAGGTTAGAGGCTAAAATCAAGGCAGCACAGAGAGGCAATCCAACTGTCTGAGGCCAAGAAAAGTGCAATAAAAAAGCAAGTACCCAAGAGGTACAGCCAGATGCCCATACCTTTTGCACTTGATCCTGCCAAACTAAGACAGTGAAGCCAGACACATAAACCACCTGTTCCCAACACAACCTGCAAAAGTGTACACTCAGTGGCAGGGTAATAATCCCAGAGCAAACCCACCAAGGCTGGAGACTGAACGGTACTGGTAAGGTACCTGATCCACACCTAATGTCTAAAGAAACTCACTGCACTCCATGAGCACCCAGCAGCACAAATGAACCAGCTGCTAAGGGATGGGACTCACCCTAAATGATCCTGAAGGATCCCTCAAAAGGGTACAGTCCCAATCAACTATCAGCCAATAACCTGTCTCTTCACAACATGGGAGCTTATGTCAGGCATCATTGCGGCTAAGATAAGTGGGCACATTGATCAATACATGAACACAGCACAAAAGGGAATTAGCAAAGACACCAGGGGAGTCAAACAGCAACTCCTGGTTGATCGAACAGTTGTCTGTAACTGCAGAGCCTGCCAGACCAAAATGTGCACTGCCTGGATTGATTACAAGAAAGTCTACGACTCAATGCCACACACATGGATTACTGAGTACCTGGAGCTGTACAACAGAGTCAACAGGACTCTAAGGGCATTCATTGTAAACTTGATGTGGTTGTGTCCATCAGATGTGGCATATACTAAGGAAACGGGTTGTCCCCACTGCTGTTCTGGACTCCATCACCCAACTCATCAACATCACTGGCTATGCATTACCCTCAGGAATGGGGCCACTATCAGTCACCTCCTCTACAGGGATGACATCAAGATGTATGATAAGAGTGAGCCAGACATCAACTTACTGATCCACACCACCAGGATCTACAGCACATACATTGGAATGTTATTCGGGTTTGAAAAGTGTTGTCGGGTGGTGTAAAGAGAGGGAAAGTAATCCCACAGTAGGGGTCTCACTCCCATAGGGAACAATAGCAGACAATGAGGACAGTTATGCTTTGGTATGCCACAAGCAAATGGCAGCCTCAAAGTGGCAAAAAGGAAAGTGGCTACAACCAAATACCTACAATGAGTGAGGCAAGTCTGAAGAAGTCAGCTTAATGGGAAGAACAAGGCCCAGGCAATAAACAGCTACACCCTGCCAGACATAAACTGGCCAAAGGCACAGATGCAGAATACACCTGTTAAGACAGGAAAGCTTTTGACCATGCATGGAGGGTTCTATCCCAAATCCAGCATCCTGAGCCTATTAGTGAGCCAAGTGAGTGTGAGAGCTACTGTCCAGGATGAACCATCCAAGCTCCATAAGTACATCAAGGATAAGGCCCCGACAGATGATGTGCTCAGAGACTTAATACTTAACCCTGGCTGCACAGGAGCCGGCTGAGCACCAGAGCAGTAGAGGCCCAGATCCACACTAGACAAGCCCAAAGGTGAATGCTGTGCAAAGAGGCCCCTGACATGCTCCAGCTCATAACTGCAGGGTTCAAGATGCTGGGAGGGAAAGCAGACCCTAAGGTCCAGGTGGGAAACATCTCCAAAGGTGGAGAATGACTGAACCAAGATCCTGTGGAATTTCCAGATTCAGACTGACAAGATGGTGATGGCAAACCAACCAGTGATGGATAAGCAACAGAACAAAGCTGTGGTGGTGGACATTGCAATACCAATTGATGGGAACATCAGGAAAAAGGCACATGAGAAACTAAAGAAAAACAGGGGGTTCAAAGGAGAGCTGGAGAAAGCCTGGAAGGTGAAGGCATCAGTTGTGCCCGTGGTCAGCGTTGGAGCATTCAGGGCAGTAACTCCCAAACTGGAGGAGTGGCTCCAGCAGATCCCAGGAAAACCATCAGAATCGTCATCCAGAAAAGTACAGTATTAGGAACCTCAAGCGTCCAGGCCTCTGGTGGTTTTCAAATGTACATTTCTTCTGAGAGATTTGGAAGATTGTTCCACAGTACGGTCAGTATGGTATAACTCTAGCTACTTTTTTGTTTTGTTTTTAATCAGGGTTGTTTGCATTGTTACAAAATTCCTTGAAAAAGATAAATTCCTGTAACTTACCCTGGTTGTATCACCTGCATATTCTCATGGAGATGGGAAAGTTTACGCCCATATTGTGGAACATTCCAGGCAAAGCAATACAATTTCCATGGGGAAAGAGAGGTCTGTTTTATATAGTGCACCTTTAAATTTAGGAGCAACTGTCATTTTTTCTTGTTTATGTATCTTTGATAGCATGAAAAAAATAAAACTTTCTTAAACTTACTGTAAGTAAACAATAAGTCACACCCACACCAAAACAGACTGCATCCTTGAACCATAACTACAATAATGAATTCCAGGTCATTTGTAAAAACAACATTTTAAGATTAAGATTAACTATAAGATTAAAAAAATGTACAGTATCTTTGTAGGTACATAATAAAAATATATGTTTTGTATAGCTTGGAAATTTTACCTGTTGTTTTGGGTTTTTCCCACCTGCTGCATTTGACTTTCTCACAAGAAGAGCACAGTTTGTCAGAACACAGGAAACCAATGCCACACGAACATATAGCATTTGTGGTTGGAGTACATTTCTGACCATATTCTGTGAAGACATTACAGACACACTTCTTGTTAAATTACGACTTGGTTAATATGAAAATAAGTTCAAGTCAATAATAGTGTTACCATGTTCACATGAGCTGCACTTCTCACATCGGTCAAACAAAGTAGGGCTATCAGAATAGGTGCCTGAAGGACATTTATTGCAGATGGTTTGGTTGGTTTTGGAGCACACACTAACCAAATATTCACCTATTGGAATACATAACAATTCATACATTAAAGTCATAAAAACAAAGCAACAAAATGAAGTGATTTCAAGGCAACTGTATTTTTTTTGATGTTTAAGTCACATTAACTGCATACATTTTGAAATGGTCACAATGTCACTGTGAATAATAATTAAAGGTGGACTATGTAACCTTTCTGGTGGATGGTGTGCCACTTATTTGTTTCCTGTTGCTTTACCAGAATTGCTTTACGGTAACACATTCAATTTTTCCTCCATATAGACAAACAGGTGACATCGCTAAGCAACCTTTTTTAAGTAAGAATGCATGTTATTGAAAGTATTAACACCAGTAACTGAACAAATAATAATAACACTAGATATATTAATTTAATGCCATACTGTGCAACATTCCTGGAAAAATAAGAACATCTCCATGTGTCAAACAGCTGGCAGACCCTTCACCAGAAAAGTTACATAGTACATCTTTACATTGTGTTATTTCTTCTAGCTGCTAGGTCAGACTTGGTCAGATTATATAGGTATAATTTTGATGATCATTTTCATTTGAGTAATTTTGGCGACATTGTACAAATTTTGAATAGTTATTCAAAACTGTCTCATTTCAAAATAAGAGCATAATATGAATGACATACTGTAGTACTTACCCGCAGGGCACCTGTTGCAGCAGTGTCCATTGATTTCCTTCTGTTGCTCACTGCAGGTCAAGATAAGTCCCGTTAGTGTGAGTACAGAAAGGAGCTGGAAGAAGAACGCTTTCATTGTGGCCAGTGCTGAACTCGCCTCTCACAGTTTTATGCGTGCTGCAGCTTTATGTGACGTAGGGCTGTGGTTTAGGATAGCGCTTTTTATTTAGGAAGTGGGAGTACAAAAGAACTCAAGTATACATACATAGATACATAGATACATAGATACATAGATGCATTGATACATAGACAGACAGGCAGACAGACAGACAAACAGACAGACAGACAGACAGACAGACAGACAGACAGATAGACAGATAGACAGATAGACAGATAGATAGATAGATAGATAGATAGATAGATAGATAGATAGATAGATAGATAGATAGATAGATAGATAGATAGATAGATAGATAGATAGATAGACAGGTGCCATACAGTGAAACATTCCAGGCAAGCTAAAAACATGGAAACAAATAGGTATTAACCAGAAAAGTTAATATAATTACTATGAAAATGCCAATCTAAATAATTTTGTCTCTAAATATATAATGCTCATTCACATTATTGCATTGGGATGTTATAAATGCTGCAAACAACAGATATCTAGCTTTGTATTAGTTTATTGTGATCTCTTCTACAGTTACAATGAAATAGCTGAAGAGTAGCAGATGAATGACTCATTTGATGATTTACAGTAAGCGTGTTTTGAACATGATGATATTATTGTGGTGAGTCAAGTGGTTCCTAGAAGATATTGGAAATATTATTACATATTAAAGCAGCATTTCAAATAGTAAATGAGAAATCTAGTAAAATTAAAATAAAATAAAAATAAATGTTTGTTAAATAAATATCTTATAATAAATGAAACAAAAGATGAATCAATTGTCAGGCTAAAACTAAAAAGTCTCAATATGTCAAATTCTGACTTTTATTTTAATTTGGTGCGGGCTTTTTCCTATCAACCTGAAAACAAACATGAAACTACATAGCTCAAAATCTGCAGATTAGTCCCTATGCTCATGACATTTTGCACTGAGCTTTAACCTTCATAGTTTTACCTCTAGTATATGTGGTAAACTCCTTAATGACGATTATAATGATGTCACAAACAGTGTAACGTCAGCAGTTACACTTCTCTTAACCACCATCCCACACACACACATACTCAGACTTCGTGTGGTCGTGTGGGAGACAGATGTTAAGCTGATGATGCAGTATTTGAATATAGTGGGTACGTGTTTGCATACTCTTGATGGCAGTGGTAAAGAGAAAGTGATTATGTTGAAATTCATCAGAAGTACAATATTTACTATTTTATTATATTTATTATATTTATAATAATAATTTATTTATATTTTATATTATTATATCCCCTCCTTAAACTGCTACCTACCTACCTGAGCTATGTTGTTGGGGGATTTATGCTCCTGGTAGGGTCACCCAAGGCAAACAGGTCCTTGGGGACAGGTTAGCCGAAGAGCCGCTCAGAAGCACCTTATGAGCAGAACAAGAACTAGGCCAGTAATGTCACTTGGACTGGCATCACCGGGGCCTCCCCCTGAAGCCAGACCTGGGGTCGCCACTATATATATATATATATATATATATATATATATATATATATATATATATATATATATATATATATATATATATATATATATATATATATATATATATATATATATATATATATATATATATATATATATATATAGGTCCTTTACAAGTCTTATAAGCTACTTTATCCACTTTTATCCACTACTGTAGCAATGATGTAGTCCTATATAGCCCTGATTCAGCCCTAGTCCATAGAACTATCAACTATCAAGCCTGATTTAAAACCTGTGGTACTTGGAAAGACAAACATTTTGTCATGTGGTACTTAGGTGGAAAAGAGGAAAATGAATGAATACAGATTAGCTATTTCAGAAAATATAGTAGGTTAATAATGGAGTCTTGTATCTGTACTTCCTAATTATGAACTCAAATGGAATAGGCCCCACATCAAAATGGGAACAAAGTACTAGATATATGGGTAATGTATTAAGCCTGCCTTAATACAAAGAATGCCTGATCTCATCAACTCTCGGAAGGTGAACAGGGTCGGGCCTGGATAGTGTTAGAAGACTGCTGGGAGTTCCAGTTGCCACAGTGGGGTGCCATGTGACTCTAGTGCATACTGGCATTCTGTCACTCACCTTACCTAGTATTGAGACTTTGCAGCTAATGTCTTCAACATTCCCTTGGGGTGTGAGGCTAACTGTAAGAACTGCTCTATCAAAGGCCTGTTAGATTTTAATCTGAGTTTCATTTTAACAACAATAACAATCTAACCATAAAGAACTGACTTAATAGAAACTACAATAGTTGATTTTGGGCTGTAAAACAAATCCATCTCAAAGAACATTACAGTCACAAGCTTGCCAGCATCAACCAACAGTTCTTCAGCAGTCACCCTCATCTTGAAAATCAAACATCTACAACAGGACCATGAACAGTCATATTGATCACAGGCTCCTGAAAATGTGCTGGTTAAATCCATTTTGTATTTTTTCTTGCATTTTCACATAATCTAAACACTTTTTTTCTTGGTAATGTACACATTGTGTCAACATGGTAACTGCTAAACACTCCATCAGATACAGATACATGTGGAAGACCTCCAGTGTGATGTCATCACACAGTATCAATGGATGTGTTGTGCGACTCCTGGCGGTGGTCAGAGGTGCTGCTGGTGCAGATTGGCAGCCTCGCTTCCATCAGTCTACCCACGGGCTGCTGTGGCTTACCACCATATTGGGTGTCTTGAGAGGAGTATGCATTTATTGAATATGAATGAAACTCAAATAATACAATAAGAACCTTCTCTAACTGCTGTGGGGAAAATTTGCAGTGAACTATGAAACTTCATGGTACTGACGTCACTGTTTCCAAATGTGCACTCAACTCAAAACATGACAGGAAATATGTGAGTGAAGGAATATTTGTTTAAAAGGGAAGTCCCTGAACAACAATCAAATATAGAAGTTTTGTTCACAGTCAGGCCACCCCCAAGGCAAGAACATCAATATCAGCATAATATAAGTAAAGGTTTAATTCTCAGTAAAATGTCACTTGCCCTGGTATCAAAATTTAGAAAAAGCAGCAAGACAGAAACATGCCATCACAAATGCATAACATTTCTTAAAGATAAGTAAATATGACATAAAATATAAAATAAAACATACAATTTTCCCAAAAATAAAACAGCATAAAAATTTCACAGTTCATAAAATTTTGTTGGTAGGTTACAATGCTGGCTCTCTATCAAAACACAGAAGGATTCACTCAAGATGTCCAATCAAACAAAGGTCAATATAACTCTTGATACCGCTCCATAATAACTACACCTTAATTAACCTTAAAAACTCATGAACAAAGATTTAAAGAATGTAGTTTATTAACAATGATTTAAGCTTAATTAAGAGGTCAGGAGTTATGGTTGAGGTATTAGTTACTAAGCCTGGATCATTCTTTAAAAACTATTTATTCAGTATGGATTAAGTCTTTGTTCATGCTTTATTAAGGCTAACTAAAAGTGTGTTTGTCTGACACTGTTCAAGACTTAAAGAGTTTTTGTTCTGTTCCTTTCACGGTTCCTCTTGGTTTTGTTTCAGAGAGTCATGGCTGCCGTCTCCACTTTCCTCCACTGGGATTCGAAACGAGTTATCTCTTGCTGTAATATAATTTTTATATTAAGGCTTTTTAATGTCTTTTTGTTCATAAGTAAATGAAATGATTTGTGTACATACGTTGCTCTGGTCTCCTCTTTAGGCGTGATAATATAATGTGTTTGCTGATTAAAGCTGTCAGTATCAGTATTGCAACAATCACAAACACAAGGCCCACACCTGCAAAAATATAAACAAATGCTGAACAAACAGAAATAAAAGATACACTATGTAACTTTTCTGATGGAGAGTCTGCCGCATGCTTGTCATTGTGAAAATTGTATTATTTGGCTGGAATGTTCCATTGTATAGCATTAAAATTACTGATTTATTTATTCCATACTGATGTTTTTATTGCAAAACATATCTTGAAAAACATGTATTCTATCAGTAGGTTTGCCGCTCCACAGACCTGGCATGTAACAAGGCCTGATGGCATTTGGCGATAGATACCATACTGTGAAACAAGCACATCACTACCATAAAACATATATATTTTATTGCACCTATAATCCTATAACCTATATCTTGCTTATAGTTTTCACAAAATTATATTTAAAAAAAAAAAAAAAAAAAAAAAAAAGATCTTGAATTAAGATTACAAGAATTACAAGATACAAGAATTATATGAGCCTAATTAATGAACTATTAGCAAATGATTTATTTTTACTATTGTTGTGATATTTTACCAATCCTGGAGAATTGTGAATCACTCGTCCTTTCTTTAGTTGTGACTGGAAGCCCCTTATGATCAGTGGTGGTAGTGATATTGGTTATAGTAGGTTCTTGAGTTGTAGCCCCCCCTTGTGTCCATAGGGAGGCCACAGTGGTCAGGTCATGTATAGTTGCTGTAGTTGATATTTGGTTTTTTTTTTTTCTTTTTCACACACTCTGTAAAAATGAAAACAGTTTGTCAGTGGAGGCCATTTAAAAGTGATTATTATGCTGATTATTATTATTGTTGTTGTTTTTGTTGTGTAATAATAATAATAATAATAATAATAATAATAATAATAATAATAATAATAATAATAATAATGATAATAAACACAAAATTCTAGCTGAATGCAGCACTGATGGTATGTGGAACGCACTCTTATCTCACTGAAAGGTGGTCCCATATCTTGACTGGTTGTGGAGTGAATCTGAGTGAATTGGGGTTAAATGCAGTGCTTGATCCAATCCTTCTCATCCCCTTTACCTTTCAATATCTGAGCATTCTAATTAGTTAATCAGCAAACACCAAATGGATATAAATGTTTTCATGCTGTTGGAGAATTTCACATCTCACTGCACTACTTGCATTTGTGTTTGTGACAAATAAACTAAACTAACTAACTAACTAACTAAGCTTTAATGGATGGTGCAGATACTTCGCAATTTCTTCTCTGTCAGTTCAAAAGTAGGACTGTAATTTGAAACGCAAGTGTTTAAGAAATTGTCTAAACTGTGTCAAAAGCAAGTCTGAATTTATTAGTCTTAAAGTATATGTATGTATTTATTTGCGGAATAATATATGAATGAAAAATATATATTAACAAAAGGGAATAGACTGAAAAACCTTTCTCATCACAATTTAGTTAGAGTATTAGCAGTTATATTATTGTGAAGGCCTGTGTCCCAGCTAATTTAACATTACTCAAGTCACAAATATCAAAAGCCAAACAATTCATCTTATGTCAAGCCAGAATCAGAGTTATCAAAGTTTAATAGTATCATGAATAATGAGCTTAAATAGCAAAAACAAGCACATAAAAAACAAAGAACATACCATTACTTTGTTGAGTAAACTCAGGGCGACATTTACAAGTGGATGAGTCATCTTCTTGGGCAACAAAATTGCTTTTACATTTGCATATGGTGTTTTCTTCTGATGTGCAGTTTCTCAAAATAGAACTCCCCTTGCCTAGAACAAGAATCAATAAAAAGGTGTCCACATGTGTCATTTCAGAAACAATATATGCAAATAAGGACTTACTTTCATGACATTTTCGACACGCTTCACAAGACTGGGACGTGGTTTTCTCAGGTTGGTAGAAACCATTTGGGCAAGGAACACATGTTCCGCCATATAGCATTTGGCCTATAAAATGACAAACATAAACCAGATTTATATTTGTAGATTACAAGTATTTATTAGAGAGAGTGTTGGAAAGTCCATAATTATCATTGTAAATACTTATACATATAAAAAAAAAACATCAGTTGATCTCAGTGTGGTCTTAGGTGTGACTGATGGTATCTGGCTTAGATCGTTTTTTTTCGTTTTGCAGTATCACTGTATTCATATTAGGGGTGTCAAATTATCGCGTTAATTGCGATTAATTAATTACAGTCATATTTAGCGCGTTATGTTTTTTAATCGCGTTAATCTCATTTTTAATCTCTAACTTTAGTGTTTCTGTATGCGAGTTGCTTTATTATAAAAACTGTTTTTACGTGTTGTTGGGACAACAACACACACACACACAAAATACATTTATACATTTTTTTATTTCGGTAATTCCACTCATTGCCGGAAAGCCACACAAAACGCGCGCAGTAACAGCGTAAGTAAACGTCATGTTAACGTTGGCAGCGTCAGTCGCACAATGGACGAGGTCGAAGAGCCAGTAGAACAGAGGCAGCAGTGCACAGGTAAAAACACATTCGTGTCTTGGAAATTATTCTCCCGACGTGAAATATAAAAGAAAATAACAAATATAATATCGCCTGAAAACAACCTGCATAGGCTCATGATGTCTGCACTACTGTCCTATAGTGACCTGCCACATGAGGGGACACACACACAAACACACACAAACACACACACAAACACACACCTTCATCATCGTCATTAACCTGAGAACGCGCGGACCACGTTTCCTTCCGTAGACACTGCGCGGACACCGACGTGCTCCCGTGAGCCGCGTGTGGATCGTGTTTTCTCGCGTACGCTGCGTAAAACCGCGCTTCCTCCTGTGCGCCTCTAAACCAGAACTAACACCAAGACTAAAACCAGGACTAAACCAGGTCTAAACCAGGACTAAACCAGAACTAAAACCAGAACTAAAACCAGGTCTAAACCAGGACTAAACCAGAACTAAAACCAGAACTAAAACCAGGTCTAAACCAGGTCTAAACCAGGACTAAACCAGAACTAAAACCAGAACTAAAACCAGGTCTAAACCAGCTCTAAACCAGGACTAAACCGGGACTAACACCAGGACTAACACCAGGACTAAAACACCAGGACTAAACCAGGTCTAAACCAGGACTAAACCAGAACTAAACCAGAACTAACACCAGGACTAAAACCAGGATTAATCCATTCCAGGACTAAACTAGGACTAAAGTAGGTCTAAACCAGGTCTAAACAAGGACTAAAACAGAACTAAAACCAGGTCTAAACCAGGTCTAAACCAGGACTAAACCAGAACTAAAACCAGAACTAAAACCAGGTCTAAACCAGGTCTAAACCAGGACTAAACCAGAACTAAAACCAGAACTAAAACCAGGTCTAAACCAGGTCTAAACCAGGACTAAACCAGAACTAAAACCAGAACTAAAACCAGGTCTAAACCAGCTCTAAACCAGGACTAAACCGGGACTAACACCAGGACTAACACCAGGACTAAAACACCAGGACTAAACCAGGTCTAAACCAGGACTAAACCAGAACTAAACCAGAACTAACACCAGGACTAAAACCAGGATTAATCCATTCCAGGACTAAAGTAGGTCTAAACCAGGTCTAAACAAGGACTAAAACAGAACTAAAACCAGGTCTAAACCAGGTCTAAACCAGGACTAAACCAGAACTAAAACCAGAACTAAAACCAGGTCTAAACCAGGTCTAAACCAGGACTAAACCAGAACTAAAACCAGAACTAAAACCAGGTCTAAACCAGGTCTAAACCAGGACTAAACCAGAACTAAAACCAGAACTAAAACCAGGTCTAAACCAGCTCTAAACCAGGACTAAACCGGGACTAACACCAGGACTAACACCAGGACTAAAACACCAGGACTAAACCAGGTCTAAACCAGGACTAAACCAGAACTAAACCAGAACTAACACCAGGACTAAAACCAGGATTAATCCATTCCAGGACTAAACTAGGACTAAAGTAGGTCTAAACCAGGTCTAAACAAGGACTAAAACCAGTGATCTCATATATAAAGCATTTCTCTATCAATAATATTTTTAATATGGTTAAGGAAAGACTGGACTTTTTATTGTCTTTAAGTAGACAAAAGTTATTATGTTCAGATTTCCTCGTCTTTGCTACTTTACAACAAACAGTTTCTTATTCATGGAGACTTGGGCTCAACAGCCAAATTGGAGAGATTTGTTAAACAATAAATGACTTTATAAAGTCACTTTTTTAAATCTATATTAGTCTTTTGATCTGCCACAATAATGTAATAATGAATTTAAATGAAAATACCTCAAATTGAAGGCTTTTCTCAGCAATTTTTAGGTGAGATTAAAATGAGATTAATTAGATTAATTAATTACAGATCATAATTAATTAATCTCTCAATTTTTTTAATCGCATGACAGCACTAATTCATATATTCACATACTTAAACATTAACAACTTTATAGCGGAGGATACACTTCCAGCTTGTCTCCACTTTTTTTTTTTAGCCTTAAATGTTCTATGGTTTGACATTAAATGGAAATTCAACTTCCTCGAGACAAGCAAAGGCCTGTGGTGTCACCAGAGCAGTTAATAAATGTGATCTTATTATTGAGGAGCATTCATACTAAGAGCACCCGCTCATAGTAAGAATGTCCATGTTGTGGACCCCAGGCAGAAAAGTGACATAATGTTTAATATCAGGTAACAATTGCGAGCGAGAAGTGAAAATTTTATGGAATTTTACATGACAAGTACCAATATCAAGTCATAATTACTTTTTAATTGCATTAGAAAATAATAATAATATTGTTACAATGCCCCAACACTTACACTGCTTACTGCATAGCTGAATGTATTTTAATGTCTTTACAACAATGGTAATATAGAGGTTTAAATACCACTGTTTCAGTAATGTTTAGTTAAATAAACTTACCTTTTCCGCAAGAAACAGCATCTGAATTTCTTGTTAGTGCATAAAGGATACAACTTAATGTGACAAACTTGAGAAACCACATGTTCAGTGTTCAAACAGCACAGGCAGCTGATGCTTCCTGTATGAACACCAAAGTGTTCATACCTCAGCCCTGTAATGTATTTAGATGTGTGACGTAATGATCTATTCTCAGTTCTTTAATTGCTTATCATAGATCTGATTCACCCTGGAAACATCTAAAGGAACAAGCAAAAACCACAAATGCACCGCAGTGAACAATGGAAATACAACTGAACTGTCAAAAACAACAGAAAACAGTTTTGTGCTATTGTGTGTATTGTTGTGTCATTTGTGATTGTTTGAAATATATAGTACTAAAACTCCATGTATGCAAGTGTGAATAAAAATAGCTAAATAAAGAAATAATTCACAGCAATGGTGTTTCCTTTCATATAAGGTGGGTGGTGTTTTCCCCTTATTTAAAACTTACTGAGCAAAAGGTAAAATATTTGATTAATGTTTGTTTATTTATAACATTAAATATTCCAATTCAGTCATTACTTTAGCTGTAAAAAATCCTGTGTCACACATTATAACTGAGTCTGTATTATTATGCCAAATTAATATAAAAATCCCTGCTTAAGATGATAACAATGTTTAATATTTTGTAATTCAATTCTTTGTTTGTTTTTTGTACATACAATAATCATGGAAATAATGGCTGTATGAATCTTATACTAATGGGTAAAATCTATACTGCTAAATCAGTATTCATTTAATATAGTCTGAACTGTCTTGGTTTTACACTGGAAAAAGCCAGTGGTGAGATCTTTCGGAAAGTGTGCACCTCTATTTTGTTTTATCTCTCTGCAGTCTGGTGCTCTGCAGGTGGAAACAGCCCTATATTCTGATTATTGTACAAGATAGAAGGGCAAGGCGGATGTAAAAAAAACACCTCCACTTGAGTTTCACAAATGTTTTGAGAAGTTAAAGGTTCAAAGAGCATAGGTCACTGCAAACTAACAGTCTACTGCATTTTTTTTTTTTCCCATCGTCTTTAGAAATAAATGTCTAGGCTGATAATTTCTCTATAAGTTATTTGTATATCATGGAGTAAAGATTGGCATAAACTGACACAAAAAGAGCGCACGCAGCTGCAGAAGAACAACGAGGCCTTCCCTAGTTCCAGTTCTGATTTATTAAAGTTTTAACTGTAAAAAATGAAGTGAAATCTGAATTTTTAGGCAGAGTTTCAGTCAGACCTAGTTTTCTCAAATACTTTATAAGATATCCAAAATCTCCTTTGTATCTTATATGACAACAACAAGAAGAAAGAAAGAAATTTAAAACCTGCTCTTTTCATGTTTCTGTTTTGAATGTCCCAAAAATTGGGACATAAAATGCCTTATTTCTATGTGAAAACACTTACGTGAGTAAACTGCAAAAGAAGCTTCATATTGACATCTCAGAATTAATGTTTTTCCTATTTACAAAAGAGCTACAAAATGATTATATATGTGTGTGTGTGTGTATATATATATATATATGTATATATGTGTGTATATATATATATATATATATATATATATATATATATATATATATATATATATATATATATATATATATATATATATATATATATATATATATATATATATATATATATATATATATATATGCCATTTACCTCAATCAATATGCCCTAAAAGTAGATGCCTGATGAAATCCAGATGATGTCATAATTTAGTTTTACTTGAATCCTGAAATCCTGATTCAGTTCAGACTTAGTTTGGTTTTATTAAAGTCCATCTTTAGTTCCAAATTTCGTCCACATTCTGATGTGGTGTGCAAATCCAGAATCAAGATCAGTTTAACATGTATCAGTTGTATGTGGTTTAATCCTGGTTTAGTCCTAGTTTGGTGCACACCTCTCAAAGAAGAAGTTAGGCAGTTAGACAAGTGAATACATTTGCTCAAGTTACGGTGTTATACATAACACAACATAATTGACATATAATAATAACTGCAAATGCCTTACAGCAATTTTATGCAAATGTGAAAGGAAATTAGTCATCAGATTTAAAAACAGCCTTAGTTGCCGTGTGGATGTTAATCCAGACAGTGGTTTTTGAAGGAAGTGGGTGAGGTACAACAGTTACCTCACAGAATACAGAAGCTGCTTCCACGTCACTTTTACCGTTAGTACACTAATATTCAGTATATTCAATTGCAAGTATGATCACAAAACTGAAATAACTGTAATACATTGAGTCTCTGCAGTATCAATAGTTTCTGTAATTCTAGGACTACATTGTTATATTGTTTCTCATAAAAGAAGTAATTGGATTGATATCTGACAGATTTTGTTAAATTAGTTTGAAACTTTGCACATTGGAAAATAAGAAATAATAATAATGACAAAAGAAAGATTAGAAATATAAGTGGATTTAATAAGCATTCCGTGATCATATGTTCACACTTGTACCTCATCAAAGGTAACAGGTAGATGCACATTCAATATTAAAGAACAGAAAACAAATAATGGATCTTCCTTTAGGCACACCTCAGTACAAAGAAGTATTATAAAATTACATAAAGCAGGGTTGTATCAAATTAAACCCAATCAATGTAAAAATATCATAAAATTTATTAGGAAAGTGCCCTGCTTTGTATTGGTTGATCAGAGATAGCTGAGTGTTTTTACCAGTGAGAACCAAACCCAAAAAGGAAGCAATCTAATAATCATTGCCCCAATTCTGAAGAAGAAAAACTGGTTCTTAAACAAACGGATATCATGGTTGAGATGTAATGCAGAGATAAACACAAATGCCTATGGGCGACGCTCCTGCAGCTCTGATGTCACAGTAATTACCTCTCTTGATAAGCGAGGGAGAGTCAAGATTTACCCAAAGGAAAACAAGAATCAGAAAGGCAGTATTTTTACCTGTGTGGTTGTGTTTGTATATGTCCTAAAATAGCTTCAGTGTTTTACACATGCACAGGAAAGCCCTGCCCCCTTCATCTTAGTGTGAGGAAAATTCAGCCAGAAAACTCCAACTGTGCTAGTTCTCTACACTATGATGAATCACTGTAGCAGTGATCCATCATTGTAGTTCAGACTGTGAATACAAACACACATTACCAAGTTGTAGAAAACATAATTAATGTAGTTCAGTTTCAAAAGTGAAAACTGTATATGTTGATTCAACACATTTAAGTAAGATGTATTTCAAGATAGATTTTTATTGGACTGATTTTATGATTTACAGTATATATATATATATATATATATATATATATATATATATATATATATATATATATATATATATATATATATATATATATATATAGTATATATATATATATATGTATATATATATATATATATATATATATGTGTGTGTGTGTGTGTGTGTGTATTATATCTATAATACAGTATATGTGTAATTACTTTGTACCACATTATTCACTTTCCCATAATGTTTTAATTGATTGGTGTTCAATTGCAATATTGCAATTACTACAACTATGATTAAAAAGGTATTCAGCCAAAGCCATTAAGTATTCGTATACAGGCTTACATCAGTGGCACTTCAGCATCTTTGGTCTATTTGAAATGTCTTTTTACTATAAAATATACTATACAGTATATCTATATCTACATTTTCGTTGATCAGTGCATTCTTGATCCCTCCCTCCTCTCAGAGTCTTTCATGTTGTACCTCGTCCCTCACACTGGGTGGACAAACTGGTACACCAGTCTCTGGGACACATCTGGTTTGCGGATGATGCCCTTCTTGTAGTACTGGCGGATGGAGCGGCTCAGCTTGTCATAGTTCATGGCAGGTCTGTTCTTCCGGAGGCCCCAGAGTCTGGCCACATGAGCCGAGTCTTCTATTTTGAAAATACCTGGTGAACGGTAATCACATTATATTACAGAACATTATAACACCATTTTGACCTGAAAAATATATGTTATAACAATTTGGTTGTAGTACCTTTTTCTTTATTTAGCCAGCGGATACAGCGTCCATAGTTGTGTGGTTTTAGAAGAAGTTCTTTTAGAAACTGCCACAGATGAATGGGCTGTCCTGAGGAGGAAGAGTCTGCCTCAGACCACAGCCCCACAGTCACTGTAGGAGAGAAGTGAGAATTATATTTCACCATGTCATGTTAAAGAAAGATTAATACTGTGTAGAGCTTCCAAGTTACATATGTAAGATTATATAATAATTATTAATATTACTGGTTTATTAACATTACATTAATAAAAATACATTGTATTTTATTCAGCATGTATGTCACTGCTACCATCTCAGAAATTTCATCTACTTAAACAGAAGGAATAGAGATACATACCTTTGGTGTCTGCCACTGTGCATCTTTCCTTCATCCAGGCAGCTGTATGCAAAATAGATAATTACAATATAATTAGAGATATTGCAATATAATTACTGTGCCCAAATGTAAAGGTTAATCATAATACAGGTGTTCCATACCTGACTTCCAGATATCCAAATGAGCATGTAGTGTGTCTCCACAGTGGGGGGATCGCTGTCGAAACTCCTCTTCGCTCATGTCGCAGAGGTCTTTCCCTGACAGCTCCTGGAAAACCTTCCCTACGTTAGGCAACCTGTAGAGATGCTCTGTCCACAGTAGCCACTTCTGGACATGACTGGAATTCCACTCAAAGGGGTCTGTTAGAGAAAAGGAAATATAAACCATGAGAGTTCTTCCAGCTGCACTATGACTAGGATTAGGGTTATTAGAGTAATTAAGACTATATGGTGTTTGAAAAGCAACCCATGCCTACATGGGTTGTATGCGTTTATGACATAGAGAGGTGCACAATGCCAATTGCTTTCTCTGTTGACTTTAGCAGCAACGGGGACCTCACCCTTAAGACTTGTGTACACATCTATTGGCAGAGCCATCACTGTTATAGAGCGGCAGAACGCATGCAAAGGTCAGGATTACGCAGATCCTGGTGCTGACAAATATGGCTGTCATCAGGAGAATAAGACTGAAGAGAACAGTTACATTTTTTAATACTCTCATCAAGATTAATTCATTTGCTTGTTCTTGACCACATGAAACCTATTTTTTGTCTACTCCCCTATATCTGTAACTTAATAAAATAATAATAAATAATAAATCAAATAATAATACAATCATGCATAAAATAAATGGTTTGATATTGTCAAAGATATATGCGTTTATAAAATTTGTCTGTCTCTGTGCTGACTGGACTAGAAAAGGATGAAGATTACCTGGTGGAATGTTGAGAAGTTTGCAGGCCGTTTCAATGTCTTTGAGCACCTCGCCCACCACCATACTCTGCACTTGCTCCAGTGAGCGGTCCTCCTCTTGCTCCTCCATGCCACAGGGGGACAGTCCCTGCTCCTGGCTGTCAATGATGGGACACTGTTCGGGCTCGTCTCTCAGCTCCAGCAGAGTCATGGGCGAAGCTGAGGTCGGAGATGCTTCTGACACTTTGTCCAGACACTGAGTGTCCTGTGTGAGTAGCATGTCGAAGCAGGACAGGTACAGACTGGGGACATTGGTATGCTCCACACTGTTCATATTGACTTTGGTCTTGTCCAAGTCCCACCTGGTACGATCCAACTGAGTGAGGGAGTCGTCTGTCAATGCCATTCGGGGTCGATACAGTGAGACGTCTGCTAAACTTCTGGCAGAATTTGACATAACTGCCACCTAAGAAAAAGACGTACATGTATCAAGATGTTCTTTTTGAGTTCACTACTCCATGACTGGGTGTGAAGTCAAAACAGCAATGACTAAAACTGAGTGACTGTGGCTTGCTTCTCCTCTAGAATGCCAAAGCCTAAAAGAGATACTTGAGCAATGACCCTTAAGAAAGTTACACACAAAGTTGCACACCAAGAGTTTAAAGGCAAAATGAATCTGCCTCAATCTCTTATTTAAGGGTCATTTCCCCAGAATAGCTCAACTCTCCGGGGAAGGTGACTTGTATTGGGAGCCTGAACCAGCTTGGCCACCTGCATGCTCTTTCAACGTAGTGAGGCCGCAGCCTTCTGTCTCCACTGTCAGCTGGGGGCTTTTTAATCAAATTCAAGTTAGATAATGTAGAACGATCTGTGTTTAAATGTCAAGGATATGGTAAGTGCTGCTTTATAGACGTTTATGGGAGTGCAACAAGTGTTGTAATCTCAGGGCAAACTGGCAGTGTGTGTTCCTGCCACAGATGGGATATGGGAAGGCACACGGCTAAATAACACTGGGTTATCAGCAACAGACAGTAAAAGTGATTTTAGACTCACAAAACACATGTTCAAGATGAACAACTACAGATAAAAAAATTAAAGTTATTGCCTTCAGTAGAGAAAGTGATAAAGAGTCAACCCAATACTTAATGCAATATGATGCACTAAGTAAAATTATAAGTAAAATAATCTAAGTGGAGTGTATGGCAAGTTTGAATAAGTTGTCTGACTTGCTTCTTACAAAGATTTCACTTCTAGTCTTTGCCTTTACCCCCCACTGCAAAACCTCTTCCAATGCGCTTTTATCTCCAAGTTTCTCGTAACCGCGGACCACACTTTCTTTGACTCCACCAGGAGTCAGATGAAAAGCCAGTGGTATCCCGGCCCAGTTGTGGTGTGTCAACTCCACTGTGTAACAGCTTGCACTAAGCCCATTAGTAAGGCAAATTTAGCCATATTACCCTTTTCCAAAAGGAAGAGGGGGCATAAGAAAGAGACACAAACACACCCACCCCACAGAGAAGGATTAGGGAAGTGACTGATCTCTAAATGAGTTTGGTCAAGACGATGATATTCATTTTAGCGGTATTAGAGCTGCACCATTTACTCAGCAGAGTCAGCATTTGACAACAATGGGAAAAGCAGTCTGGGAAACATGTTTCATTCTCATTTAACTCCAGGATTATTTGATCAGAGATGGTTTCATATCAAGGATAACTCGAACAAATTAATACATTACAATTATCACGATTAACTGATGAAGGGAAACAATTTCTCTCAATGTGAAACAAAAGTTAATATTTCAGGTATGAAATGACAATAGATGGCCTGAGTCTAGCAAACAGTGTGTAAAGTAACAGAGCAGTCACTACACCTGTGCACCCTACAGCCATATTAGTCATTAGACAATAGTCATGTGCATGCCTAATAGAAAAATTATTGACATTGACATTGAAACAAATATTTTGCAATGATTACATAAGATTAATATTATGAGATAGGCTAATAGATTTAGCATGCTTTATATTTTGTTTTTATTAAATGTGTTTGCTTTAAGTAACTGAATTTCGCCATTTATCATTATTGCTGTGTCAGTTGTGTCAGAAGCTAGATGAGTGTTTACTAGGTTAAGTTAATAAGTAGTGATAACCCAAAAGTTTGGCACATCACAACTTCAATCCAACATAGAAAGGTCATGTGGGGCTTTGGAGAGAGGTTCCACACTCAGAGTGACTAGTGCCTTCAGAAAGCTGTGTTTGAGAAGTGTGCACATCCAGGCGTGACTGTTTACCAGTGTTAACAGAAGATTATTATTTTTCCCTTCTTATTGTTACCCGTGGGAATAAGGGTGTCAGCACAAAACCCCCATGCTAAAATGAAATGAGCACAATATTATAAATTAAAGGGTTTGTTCAATTTGCATAGGGTTTGGTTTGTTGGCTTCTGCCCCAAAAGTTCTACATTTCAGGTTTTTAAAAAAATGGCAGTTTGACGAAAAGAAATCGTAATATTACATTTACAGCTGGATGAAACTGAAGCTTGTCTTCTTCTTCTTCTTTTTTTTATTTTTTTTATTATGTTGTTTACTGAAAGGTTTGTCAGAAAAACATGTTCAAACATTTTTTTCATGAAATGGTAAATTATTGATTTCCAAAAAAAAAACCCCAAAAAAACATTAATAAAAATAAAAATAAAAAAACAAAAAAAAGCATTGTTTTTGTTTTGTGCTACATAAACTGAATGATTGTCTTATATTTGTGCAAAATTACAACTCTGACAAGTAATTTTTCAGTTTAGTGACAGAGTAATAAAATGGTTAAATGTTAACTATTCAAAAATGATTTTGTGACAACATCTAGATTTGGTAAAGCAGTAATTTAGTTAATTTAGTAATTTTATTTTCAGCAATAGCCATTATATCTAAATATCATCATAAGATTATGTTTGAATCCCCATGCAATGACCCACAACACAAACAAGGACTATAAAAAGTGTGTGACTCTTACCAGTGAGGGGATGCTCTCGTGGGAAGGTGAAGACGTTTGATCCAGTGTGACACTCCACCAGTGTCCAACACAAAATGCACTTGTGCTGATGTCTCTCTGTAAGAGCTGGGATTGGGGCCCTCCCAGACTCCCTGGAGGAAAATCCAACAGCTTATGCACACAGCCTAAAGCACAACTGCAAACTGATCTCCAAGTGAAAGCACCTGTTGGAGGTGTGTTCAAGGCAGCAGCAGCAGCACTGTGGCTGGGTAAAGGAATTTCAGCACCATCCATCCACTGCAATTTGTATTTATAGGGCTCTAGTGTTTACTTATGCACATCAGGCATGATGGTGTTGCAGTTAAAACCTCCCTCCTTGGACAGGCAGTTTGACTCAGCAGCATGTAAGTGGCTTTTGTGGGACATATAACAAAGTTTGATTGGCAGAATGTTATGCATACATCACTTAATTTATTTTTTATTTTTTAAATAAATAAATAAATTCAAAACGGCAACATCAGAGTGGAATATCAAACGTGAATATTGCTGTAAGAACAAAAAAGGAAAACTCCCCTGATTCTCATACAAAGGTAAGTAAGGTCTTGAACCATAATCTTCTGCAAAATTGTTGAAATTAACCAAATAGCAAATAGGCTACCCATAGATCAATTTAGACACAAACTATATAACATATTTGATAAAAAACTATAGAAAGGTGCTGTAGGGCTGTTTCGTGCCTTTGTTGCATGCAAATTAAGCTATACAATTGTACAAACTCCCTTGCAATCAAAGACAGTAAGCTTTAATTTATATTTATATCATTAACTACCTGCTGTGAGCATCAATTAAAATGTTTTTATTTATATTTTGAGGTTTTTTTATTTGCGTTCTTAACTAAACCAAAAAATTTGCATATAGTATCTTGTCTTTGCTCTTTAGTGGCTTTGTCATGACTGAAAGACCGTAAACTTAAAGAAGGGAACAGAGAAGTTGAGAACACAAAGTTTCTATAGATCAAACTTGTGAGCGATGATGGTGCAGTTCACTTGATAAACAGACAACCCCTTAAAAGCATCTTCAGTAAATATTAAGAGCCTTCTGTGTTCTTTTCGTTTAGTGGATGCTTCACTTTGTGACTCAGAGAACTCATCATTGCAAACCTGAGAAACTGACAGGAAGATTCATGTGAGATGCTATTGGGAAAGTTGATGCAAAGATACTTTGTCAACAGTCCATAACTGTTCACAAGATACTGAGGAATCATTCAATTACTTCCTTATTGGAATCGTAACAGTTACATTTTGGATCATTTTGGTTTTCTTTCCTCATGATGGACTTTTGTATTAACTAATGTATTGTTAACACTGGCGTTAGACTAAAGAAATTATGGAGACTATATATATATATATATATATATATATATATATATATATATATATATATATATATATATATATATATATATATATATATATATATATATATATATATGTGTGTGTGTGTGTGTGTGTGTATAAAGGAAATACAGAATTCCTAAAAGGTTGTTTTGTTTCTTTTTGTGCAGATACAGCACTGAGGAAACTGTTGTGATCCATTTGAGAAGATTTTCACCACGCTGGTCTAGTGGTGATTTTCCCTGCCCATCTACGTAATAGGTAGGTATTTTTTCATTCATTAAAAACGGTTGGCACTTTACACCTACCAACTGGGGCACACAAGAGCAGTCACAGGTGAAAAAACTGGCCCATTCACAATCTACACCTGATCTACGTTTCCTTTTACTGGTGCACCTGTGTGTTTGACCGTGCCAGCAGTTTGTCAGGGATCCAGATCTGGGGGTAGTTTGGTCTGTTTGATATGTATTAGCTCACGTGTCAACTGAACATATGCAAATGTGTTCTATACTCATGGTTGCATTGTGTTCACAATAAATTAATCTAACTTTATTAAATACCAGTGACACAAGGTTTTAGCTGAGGATGCAAATTTTAGGAAGGAGATTATGTTAGTTTACGCAACATGACTTGACTTGACCAGTCTCAGCCCTCTTCCGCTGGGGGACCTAATAGTTTTTAACCAGTTGTTCTCTTTGTCTTTGTCTTTCTTTTACAGAAAAGTGTAAAAAAAAAAAAAAAAAGAAGAAAAAAAAGCTAGACCATGTTCTTCATCTTGGATATCAAACTAGTTTTATAACAGCAGCAGCATCATCATTTCTTTTTCCCAGCAGCCAACCAACTCTGTGTCAGTGGTAATCACCTGAAAAATAAGCAGGGCCATTGACGCTCCTGTTGTTAAAAGATACATTTTTCCTTTACAAATAATGTCATAGAATTGATTTTTAAAATGTCACATAAATCAATGATACTTATCGTTGGATGGGTTTTGAGGGCAACATTTTAAACACATGCAGATGGTGAGCAATACATTTTACCAAAGTGTAATTCTTTTCTCTATGACTGTTAATTGTGAGTTTAGTTTGGGGTGGTTCAGTAGATTTGAGTCACAATACAAGCATTGTAATTTCAACACTCTGACACACTGCCCTCCAGGCAAACATCTCCCTTGTGCAAATTTAACTCAGATCTGGGCATAAATCTTTCAGATTTATAGTTACACTAGTGGATATAAGATGCTCTGCTTTAAAAATGTACTGTATATTTTGATTTTAATCATAAATGTACTTGACGGATGCATAGTGACCTGACATGATCTGACAATACTGAGAACATTTGATCAAGAATAAAACCCATGGTATATTATATTACACATTATGTCAGCATCCTGTTGAAGTGCCACTGTATCAAATGAATTAGATGAGAACGTGATCTTTTATAATACTTGGCTAAACACTGGGTGCCATGAGAATCCAGATTGATAAAAACTGTGGCTATATTGTTAAATTAGCATTGCCTCAAGCACAAATTTTCATTAATATAATTCAAAGCCAAAACAAAGCATTTTCTGAGCAATGGTGTGCACTAAAATGCTAGACTAAGAAACATTAGTCCCCCTCTTTGAGCTAAAGAAAGACAGGACAGTTTTAAAACACAACATAACACTATTGACTCAAGTGGAGCAAGAGATGACAGATATGATAGGCGCTTCACAGTCAGAATCCATGGGGCAAAGTCAATATTTGTTCTGCTCTGGCACTGTCAGCGGAGGCGCCCATATGTGCCCCACCACACTGTTAATGTACGTGGGCATTGTATCCGTATTTTTACAGCAAGTTTATTTGTAGAGCACAATTCTTTCACAAAGTGATTCAAAGTAATTCAATAAAGGGAAACAATAGCACTTGCAGGTGTCCCCACCCCCACCCTCTGGTGTCCCCACCCCCACTCTCGTTCTTATGTATCATCTGTATAAAGTAATGACATGGTATTCGTACTTAGCCAGTGGTGCTTGACTTATAATATGTGGGATGTAATTCATAAGTCATTAAGTAATAATGCATTAAACATAATGATGGCAGTAACGTCAAAGGAAGAGGACCAGTTATTTATTGAAATTTGTAGCATTTGTACAGCATATCCTTATTACATCAAAATTTTGTAATAATTAAATTTTTTAATTTCTAATATATCAATGTTAACAGCACCAGGCCTGTCAGTCACTAGACTTAGAATGGGAAGTAGATATATTCATGGTTGTTTATTTAATCGGAGTGTAGATATTAGTCAGACAAGGTGGAGGTACTTCTTTGGAAAAGTGAAAATCATTTCCATCACTAAACCAACACACAACTATTTACTGTCATATTTCTCATTAAAGAAAAATTATATTATTGGCATTTATGTAAACTGAATACTAGGGTGTCAAGGGCATGTAAGACAAATCATTAATTGATTCATGAAGTCAAACAATGCAAAAATTTCTTTTTTTCATTCTTAATTAATCATGAAAAAATATTCATCATACACTAGTACAGGAAACACTTTCTCTGTAGATAAAGGTGCTATCAATTTCAGCACTCAAATGATGATTCATTTCCGTTTATTTATAACATCACAAACATTCAACACAAATAATGTACCCAGCATCACATACATTTTCCTCAATCAACTCAGTCTCACTCAAACCACCAAACTCGTGCCAAGTAAAAAGTAACTTGCATGAATGAAGGGACATTGCAAAACACACAATGAGCTGTCTATGAGTTGATATGAATAATTCCTAAAAAAAAAAAAAAAAACTAAAAAAAAATATAGACAACACAATTAGATCCAAATGTAAATGTTTCTAATATTGTGATCTCTGTCTTTTACAAAATGCCAGAATGTTGCCAATGCTACTTTATTTTCAACATAAAACACAAAAACAAATCCAACAATGGGATTGGAAAAGCAACCACCCAGGGGTCTGCACACAGCAAGTGTTTGCAATTAAAAAAAACAACTAAATAAAAAGCTGTGGAAATATACATTCAATACACATTCAGCCTTTCAAAATGCTGGTATTACAAACTCAGCACCTTTACTCATTGAAGCCACACCTGCACTAAGCAAACAGCAGTAACAGAGCATCGGTGCTACTCATCCAACCTCAAATTGTCAGACAAATCTTATTATTATTAAGTAGTTAACATGATGTTAATTAACGTTTGGGTAGGACATTCTATTTTAGCGCCACCTCCTGCAAAATAAACTTTTGTCCAGTTGACAAATTTTATTTCTCCTTTGCCCTGGATTCTACCTGGATGACTGGGGAATTTTACACACATCTTATAAATCAAAATTGAAATCACTTTCCAAAAAACCCAGAAAAATGTATACACCCTAGTATTCAGTTTAGATTTATGTATTCACAATTTATGTAGTTATACAGAGACTCAAATTTTATAGTCATCAGATAAACTCACGAATCAGGAATACTGTCATATTAAAATGCACTTACAACAGTTCAGTCTCACTCTCAGCTACCACATTTTCAGTGATTAACTGATTAACAGATCTAAATGTGAATTGTTTTACAACATTAGAACAAAAATAAACAACACATTTGAATTTCCAATGTATACATTTTAGTTATTTGCTTCTCTGTTAAGAAGGATGGAAAAAATTGAATTTTCTAACCAAAATTGTATTTGAGCTCCACTAAAAGTATCATTTATGATGAAATATGTAATATATCCGTAGATGAAGTCAAAAACTGTAGTGTCCAGTAAAATCTAAAAATATGGATTTTTCTTTTGTCAAGAATGCTTAATGTCTGCCATAATCTCTTCTTAAATAAATAAATAAATAAATAAATATTATATAATATGTTTTAGATTTATAAAATGCTTCACCCCCTGTCTGTTTGCAGATTTTGAGGCAATAAACAGAAATGAAATAGAATAAATGGAAAAAACGGAGGTTTAATGTCATACTGAGAGATATTCCAGGCAAAGCAGTGCCATCTCCACAGAGAAAAATAGTTGCACCCGTCTCCACCTGTAGTTGTTAGACCCATGGTCTCCACCAGAAAAGTTATAGGTTCCTTTAAATTACTGTTGGCGGCGCTATCAACTCAGATACATTAGCGTCAGCCACAAAGAAGAATCTCTCACGACATGCCGTAAATCGACTCTACGAGTGAAACCGATACCGATGTTGTTTTGCTTGTTGTTTAAACCAGAAACTCTCTATTTACTTGAGTCCAGTAAGTGCAACGCTAACCCTGACGTTGGGACTGTACCTTTTTTTTAACAGAATAAACTCATAAATTGGATATAATCTGCATATTATTCAGAGTTTCCTTTGTATCATAGAAGGTCTCTGTTGCAGCGGGTTTGTCCGGTGAGTCTGTCCCGTCAAAGCGATGCTGGTCACCGTCTTCTGTGCGCCCAGGGACCGTCCCGAGACCATCTTTTCCCTTGACGTGTCCCCTGAGCTGGAGCTCAGAGACTTCGTGGCACTTTGTGAAATAGAGTCGGGCATCCCAGCGGCAGAGATCCAGGTGAGGAGCAGCCACAGAGCTAACAAAGCTAATCTAGCCTTTTAGCTCCTGCTAGCATGAATCGGGTTGTTTTGATCGATTTAAAACTGGATGCAGCAGTGACAGTTGTGTGCAATGAGAGTACATCTGAGTCTTATCAAAATTATGGTTTATAATTATTATGATACTTTATTATTACACTTCATTTTGTTAGACAGAATTAACTTTTCACAGAATCAGACTGAGCTTTCGCTTTCTTTTTGTAAAATAAAACTAGAAAAACAAATACATAAATATTTAGAGCTATATTGCAAAACTGCTGCTTTTGTTGTCACAAACTATGTGCCTTGTATGTTATGTGTAATCTTGCTATTAAAATATACAATTACATATTTTCAGATAGTCTATGTAGAACAGCAATTAAAAGACCCCACCCGTGCCTTGGGGAACTATGGAGTAAAGGATGGAGATGTGGTGGAGCTCAGACAAGCTGAGCGACGACCGCCACCCACGCAACCAGCCTTTCCAGGTATAATGCAGTCTTTAGGTTAATATTACATGCTTCTTAATATTCAAGGAAGCAGACCTTACACCTCTGAATAAAGATAAATTATACATAAAAGGGAATCATTCATCTTCAAAAATATTTCATTTGGCTCTTGTGTAATTTTCATTAGGTAACATCTGATATTACTTCAACAGGATGCTGATACTTTACCACTAGAAAAACTGGGCTTCACCTAATGCTAAGAATATACTACTGTGAAGCCTGCTAGATTTGGTAAATGAGATTAGCCTTAGTCATAGACATGTGACACTCTAGCTCTTAGTGACACAATCAAGGAATTGAGTTGGTGAATCAGAGTAGGTTATGATATAGTATTAGTATTTCTGTGCCATACTGACCCCAACATATTTTCCTACAGTATATACCCTAACATGCTGTTTGTGCCTGTAGGTTTGCCCCACATTGACTTCCGCTCCATCACCGTCCCGGGCACCTCGGGCTCAAATAGCCAGCGTAATGCGCCTGTGAGGCCTCCACAACAGCCACAGCGCAGTGCACAGCCTTCCACACCCATGGCCTTCCGCGGCTCCTCTTCTCAGGGGCTGGACGACCCTGCCTTACTCCAGCAGATGCTGTTAGCCAGTCCACACGAGCTGTCCCTGCTCAAAGAGAGGAACCCTCCACTTGCAGAGGCTCTGCTCAGTGGAGATCTAGGTGAGGGTTATGCATACTTGCATAATCTAGACACTTTTAACCACTCCTCCATCATTCAATCTCTGTCATGCTATGACTGACAAAGCTCTGTTTTTAAACTCAGTTGGCCTTTGTTATCATGAAATGTTTTGTTTTTGTTTTTTGTTTTTTTCAGAAAGATTTACAAAGGTATATTTGGAGCAACAGCAGGATAGAGCCAGAAGAGAACAAGAACGAATCAGACTTCTCACAGCAGATCCATTTGATTTAGAAGCTCAGGCTAAAATTGAGGAGGACATTAGGTATGTTTTTTAGTCATCAGTGCCATAAAAATAACCTGTTATGTTTTTTCTTTTGTTTTGTGTACATAAATATTTGTGTTTTTCATATCAGACAGAACAATGTAGAAGAAAATATGACAATTGCAATGGAGGAGGCTCCAGAAAGTTTTGGTCAAGTAGTAATGCTTTACATCAACTGTAAAGTCAATGGACATCCGGTAAAAGCCTTTGTTGACTCAGGTAATAAAATTAATGCTGCTTCCGCAGTAGCTCAAATGCATGTTGTATTCAGTAATTTAATCACTGTCTTTGACTGCAGGAGCTCAGATGACCATCATGAGCCAAGCCTGCGCCGAGCGCTGTAACATCATGCGGCTGGTGGACCGGCGCTGGGCTGGCATCGCCAAAGGAGTGGGTACCCAGAAAATCATCGGCAGGGTCCATCTGGGTAAATTTAACTTTGGTGGTTGAATAATTCATTAAACTGGAATTACCAAGTTGTAATTCTCTTTTAAATATTATGTCCTGAACATAGTATTAAATTTCTTCCACTCAGTGGCAAAGCATACCTCTGAGACCTAGGCGTTCACAAACTGACGTACACTATCTGTAAAGATTCCTAAGTGAATCCAGTGTACAGCCTCTACCAGCCCCAGCAGGTGTGCAGCTGTCTGCTTTTACAGATGATTTCTTTTTTGTCTAAGTTACTAAGAAAATAAGACATAATCCAGCCTATCATGTATTGTTGATATTCCTGGATGTTTTGATGTGTTTGTAGTAATTAATTATAGGTCCTATTTGAATGTGTCATTTACCACCCATAGACTGTGTATATAAATCGACATAGCTAACACACCACCGCATTCCAAATAGAAAGTTTGCCAGGAGCCAGTGAGGCACTTCTGGCTCCTTCTGATCATGGGTTATTGACTTTACATTGGAATATTGTCAACACTCTCTCTGTAACTGCTGCGTTCAGCCTTGTCATTTTTGTCTTAAAATGTTTGTATTAATCTGCTCGATATTATCTTGGTGTTTTTATTTTGCTATTTGTTCTGTCAAAAAAAATCCTATTCCTAATATGGAGCGGGGCTACAAATTCACCCTTGTAACCGCTAGCATCGCAAGGTTCATTGGAGCTGAACACTATGAGCGACATTACACTTAGTCCATTTCGCTATACAGTCTATGTTAGCACCATAGTCATGGAGTTAACACCCCAATTGCATTGACATAGTGTTACTAATTATATATTTTGGCACCTGTTTAGCTCAGGTCCAGATTGAGGGAGACTTTTTGCCTTGTTCTTTCTCCATTCTGGAGGATCAGCCAATGGATATGCTTCTGGGTTTGGACATGCTCAAGAGACATCAGGTATCCCATAGTCCCTTGTTAAGTATAAAGTAACTAAAGATATATACTTTGAAATGTTGAGGTTTGTTTTTCCCTTTTTTGTTTTTACAGTGTTCCATTGACTTGAAAAAGAATGTGCTTCTAATAGGCACCACCGGCACAGAGACTCGGTTCCTGGCGGAGGCTGAATTGCCGGAGTGTGCCCGTCTGGCGTACGGAGCAGAGGGTCGAGAGGAGGCCCGTCCAGAGGAGATTGCAGACCGGGAACTGGCCGAGGCGCTGCAGCGGTCCATACAGGAGAGCGGTGAGGAGCTATTCTGAACTTTAGCTACTTTTCCCTCTGCTTTTTCAGTTTAGTTATAATGACATCTGCATGAAGCTTTTTACTCTGTTTTATTTATGCACATCATGGTTTCTGTAGAAAATGTAAAGATGGGGCATCATAGTGTGTAAAAATGTATATTTAGAAGTAATTAATTTCTATTGGATAGGGGCTCTGAGTTAGTAGTTGTGTTAGTGACGGTAGTTCCATGATTTCATCCCTCTGCACACCAATAAAAGTGTAGTAAATTGTTCTTTGCCCATGAGCTTATAGTATATACAATATTTGAATTATCACTGTTCAGTGTATCGACTTAGAACAATTAAAATAAAAATTATACATTACATAGCAGTGATGCTTTATAAATTACATACAAGTATGACATTTTAATGGTTCAGAATAATTTAATTTTTTTGTTTTGTATTCAGTGTGCACTATGTAACTTTTCTAGTGGGGAGGTTCACGGCCACTTGTCTTTGTGGAGATGTTATTGGTTTGAATGTTCCACAGTATGGGAATAAACCATCTAGGTTGCATTTATTAAATCACTATTGTTTTTTGTTGTTAAAAAATGCCTCAAATAACTTGTGAGTGGGGTCACATCTCCACAGATCTGACCTGCTACATGGCCTGTAAGTTTAATGCCATATTATGTAACATTTCTTGTGAAGCAAAAAACAACTCCACAGAAATGAGGGGGCACAATTCAACTGAAAAGTTATAGTGCACCTTTACATCTGCCATAGTCAAACATTACTTAAATACACCGTTCTAGCATTGATATTCAGCTTAGTAATTGACAATAAATAATTTCCATGTACTTCCATATATTTCTGTCAGTTGTTGAGGCTGACTCTTTTCACCTCAGTGTGTGAAAAGGCTGACAGTGTTGCATGCCGTGTGACCGCTAACTCTCTCGTCCTTTGCATGATGTGTGTGGTGTGTGCCTAACCTGAGCAGGACAGCACTGATGCACTGGAGGCAGCAGGAGAGGGCCCTACCAACAAGGTACTGCAAAAAACAACCAACATACGACCAGTGCTAAGGCCATTGCTGTTTATTTCTTTCATTTTCAGTTTATTTTGCTGCTGTTTCAATTATTGATGTTTGATGTTTGTAGTTTTACTTTCTGTTTGCTCAGTAGTTTAGATAGATCTTACTTGATTTATATTGCCCCTGAAACAAAATAGCCATGTTTTAGCTCTATGGGTGAGTAGGCATGGTAACCAGCACTTGGAACAAAAAAAACATACATTTTAAACTGTAGTTATACTATTTATTATACTATTTAAACCTGAATGTTTATTGCAGCTGCATCTATTTAGGTAACAATTTGTGCTTTTCCGATACTAAAATATTAAATCATACTCTCAAATGTGGAGTCTTAAATATCCATAAATTTTGAATCTGAACATTTCTACTACTTGTGACCAGGCCCTTGAACCTGCTCCATTACAACAAAAACTTGCATTTTTAAAAATTGTATCTGTTCCCCATCTACCTTTAATATAACTTGCATATACATGTGTGCTATTAAGTGATAGTAGCTCAATGTGTAACATAACACCAAAAAATGCCCTTCTGAAGATGACAGCTGCACAATGCAAAACAAAAACCTTTTAAAGCTCATAAAGGCCAGTCAGTATAAAGCTAACAGGTTCAGGGGCAATACATTGATATAGCACTATTTTGATTGAATTGATTTCATAACTATGGGCATTAATATTAAATAAATGTTTTTTAAATTAGATTAGGGGTGGGCAATATGCCAAATAATTAATAATCAAATTTTCTTGGAGCCAGATTTCAATTTTAATTTTAATCATGACTTGAAGAGGTAAAAAATTTAATCAAGTGAAGTGATGAAGTAATTTTCTTCTTCAGAAAGTTCTCACTAACCAATAGATGGAGTGAGTGGTGAAAAGTGTCAATATACAGCTGTATTAAACAGAAATTACAATTACAATTCGAATTTTTACATTGTCACAGGAATCGGATAAAAATTTTATTTTTATCGTCATATTGCCCAGCCCTAAATCAGATGGATAACAACTTATTCTAGCAGTCTAATTGATTTCTATCTTCTCATAGACACTGCAGATGGACAAACTACCTCACCCCAGCTCCCAACTCCAGTCTCATTACCCAAAACGTTAAACCAAATGTCGTCCACTTATCCAGAGAAAACCCCAAGTCCAACTCCTGGATCATCATCTATGGTCCCTGTAGAGTCAACCTTATCAACAGGTCAAAACCAGGATTTAGACCAACCTGGACCATCTCAGAGCCATACTGCCCCACTGTCCCATCAGATTGACTCCAGTTCCCCTACAGCTAGTCCAAATACTACAGATGCCCTCCCCACATCTCCCATGTCTACAGAGGTGGAAGAAGGATTGGTAGCAGATCAGGTATCAATTGATGATGTAAAAAGCACTACAAATCCAGAGCTTGATTTGTCTCCTGTGCAGCCAATGGAGCAGGAGACTCTAAGTGCAGATGCACCACACCAGCCTGACTCTGTAGAAATGGCGCCCCCTTCTGTCAGTGAAGGGAGTGTGCCTGAACCAGAGCATCGCACTCGCACCGATAGTATCCCATCATTGGCCGCAGCTTTGAAGGAGCTACACGAGCTGATTGTGTCAAATAAGTCAAGTGAAAACCGTAGCGCCTCGACTTCTCCACCCCCAAACCCTCCTGTACCGGACAATCCCGAAACATGCCAACCTGAATCATCTAGTACTGCCATTTCTCAAACAACTGATGCCAAAGTTGACCATCATACCACTACTAATATTTCTACTATTACTACTACTACCACTGCTGTATCAGATGAGGGACTATCTGATTGTGTTGAGTTATCAAGCAATGAGGGCAATGTAGAAGAGGAGATGGGAGAAAGTTTAGAAGAACAGAAAATACAGCAATGCCACGAGGAAGAGTCAAGTGTACAAAGTGTACAAGATATAACAGATTTAAGCAATGTTCCTTTATCTGATGTTGGTCAAGAAATCATAAGTGATGACTTTAGGGAAGATCATAGTAAGGGTCAAGATGGAAAAGCTGGGGAAGAAAGGGCTGCTAGCAATAACAACCTACAAACTGTTAGCCCTTTAAACTTGGAAAATGAGCAAAATCCCATTGTTTCAGATCCTACCGTAGCCTCTCCTCAAGAAGACCCCCTAGCTTCCATTTTAGCCCGTCTTTCATCTCAAAGTGTAACGCCACAAACCATAGTGGGACGTTTCCCCATAGAGCACATTCAGAGGATCCAGGCGGCGGGTTTTTCAGCCCAGGAGGCAGCAGAGGCGTTGGAGAGGGCCAATGGAGAGGTAGAGAGAGCCCTCTTCGCTTTACTGGCCCGAAGCATCATTGTGCCCACCTAAATCAGCAGGTTTATACCAGAGGTGGACAGATAAGAGTCACAAAAAATGTTTACTTTATTATGCATGGCCAAACTACCCATTTAGAAGTTAAAGTACTATGTTGGATATTATTTAAGTCGGGGCAGTGTATCAAAACAGCTTGCCGTATTCACTGCAAATTTACAACCTGTGGTCTATGCATATTTGGGGGGAAAATGCTAAGTCTGAACATAATTGTTTTTATTCTTTCAGATATTTTTGTTGTTATTTTTATTTTGAATATTTTATGTTTTTTATGATTATTGAAGATTAATTGCAATGGCATTCTAAACGTATTGATCAGGTATTTGTTGGAGACTGGTTTACATTATCATTGCTCTAAAAAGTACAAATTTGCTAATAGTAATGAATTGTCAATTACAGTTTGGCTTGAATAATATGAGGTAGGCTAATACATGCATTTTAAAAATACAGGGCTATACCTCAAATGGCATTTAACCAGAGAACTCACAATATTTAATTAAGTGAGATTAATCAAGTTAACAAAAAATAGATGACTAAATAACACACAAATGAAAAAACAAATAATAAAAATTTATCAAAACATTTTTTCCACCTCTGGTCTAGACTGCGTACTGTGAACTGTAATCTGTACTCTGGGTCTCTGCTGGGAGCTCATCAAACAGGGAAACATTTCTTATAAAATCGTGTGGAAATAAACTTTTATCTGGACTTTGAGTTGTGAGGTATGTTTGCATGCAGATGTTGTGGGTGGCCGCTCACTTTTATTGTTTTTAGATTTTATTTTATTTTTTTGAGTGTATAAATGCCCAATGGATGACTTGACATTACATTTTCTTGTTTTTCTGTATAGAGAAAAGAACAGATTTTTACTCATACGCTCCCTCTCAGAGTATTATTCAGTCAATGGGCATTTGGACTAATTTCAAAAAGTGAAACATTTAGTGGTTTAAATTAGCCTTGCGTTTACAGATTTTTGTAAAGGATAATGAAAAGTATATTTTTTTTTCCCTGAATGGCACTGAGATACCAAATGAGTGTTCAGATATGATATATGGGATTACTAGTATAGAATGGGAAATTGCATAAAATATCAGATTTTGTCAATATATTATTTTCCATTTTTGCCACATTTAGTATCAGTCTATGTTAAATTTACATTGTGTCAAATCATTATATTTCATTTGTGTAGTTCTGTTAGATTAAGGCCATCTCATGTTTTCTGTCTTTGTCCAGGATTTTATGGCTTTATGAGTCAAAAATGTTCAGGCAAATTGAATTATTTACTTTTATCTTGTATGAAATTTTAAAATTGCAAATAAAATGGTAATAGTATTTGTACATTTTGTATTTGTGCCTAAGAGAGCTTTTCTTAATGCATCTCTGATATTTTAAAGCTGCACTATGTCACATATATGTATGTACATGTACATGTACATATATATGTACATATATTGCTTTCCAATACATGTATCAAATTTATCAAATTGTTGACAGTAGACCAACCAATTAAAGTTCTTTTTTTCCCCCTTTACAATATACTATTATAATCCACGACAGACCTTATATCATTGTAAACAAGTTAGTTTGAACCTTGACCTCTGAGTGGGCAGGATCTGCTAAGACACACCTGATTGAGTTTATTTAATCCTGAGCTCTTTGTCCAGTCTTCTAGCTCCCATCAGGATATGGCTGAGTCAGACAGAAGTGAGAAAGACCGCTACGGTTTAGGGACTCAACTCATCTCAAATATGTGCTCTCAACTTAAAAACAATCTGCCAGGAAATGGATTAATGTCACAGTTACCTACTATGAAGTTTCCTGAACAGTTTTACTCTAAGAGTGAAAAAGAAGACCTCAAAGCAGAGCCTGACTCAAGCAAGCCAGATGACAGGTATGAAAAGTAAGCTAAAAGTAACATGAATGGATTCCTCATATATATTTTAAAATTATATTGATTGCACAGTGTAAGTGTTGTTGCTTTTTACCTGTGCCATCCAACTCAAACAGTATTCCTCTATTTTAGTTCATAAAACCAAACCAAGTTACCAAAAAAATGATTACACCATTTGCCTGGAGTTGCTAGCTGATAAAATATGTAGAATTTTAAAATTAGTTATTTAGCTTTGATATTGAACTTTATATTTTGAATAAGTATACATGGATTTATGGTCACATATGGTCATATCACATGCTTTTGCATGTTTGTTTTTGTAGCTCGTCCACGGAGCCTTCGTCATCCCTGAAATCAATGGCCTTAACAAGGACATTGGATTTTGAAAAGATTTTCTCAGCTGTGGGAAAGATGCTCTTTGACCCATCAGACTCAGACGAAATTGATGATGAGAAGTATGACAGTAGTGGCTTTTATGCATTTTGTGTATATTTAAATTCATGCTATTCTATTTATTGTAGGTCAGAGTCAAATGATGAAGTACAAAGTGCGAGGTTTCAGTCAAAGTTCCTTCATAATTGTAAGTGCCTTTCGTATTTTAGCAAATATTGTAAAAAAAAAAAAAATTGGGTTCAACACTCGCTTGTCTTCATGGAGACATTATGCTGGTGCTTTGAATGTTCAACAGCATGGTTATCTCATCCATCTTGCATTTATTCAATGACAGATGTTTTTGATGTTTAACAAATGCCTTGTAAAACATGCATTCTCAATGTGAGAGCACTCTTATATTTATGAATGTGATGTGACAAGTTTAATGCCATATTGCAGAACATTCCAGGCAGAAGCAGTAACCTCTCCAAAGGTTATAGTGCTCCATTTAAGTGAACATTTTATTCTGTCCTCGTTTTATTTCCTTTTTAATATATTATTTGAATTCAATCAAGACATCTTGCAAAAGCATTAATATTATAAACATTCTGATGAGATTTTTTCACACATTGTCTCAGTACCTCTGTACCAGGACTACTGCCTTCAGAGTGTGCGTGATGACATCCAAAGACTGAAAAAGTCCTCCGTGTCTGAGCTGTTCCCCCAGTATGTCGAGGGTTTACAGACTCAATTCAAGTTCTACAAGCCTCAGAGTGGCTCCCCTCAGTGCAGCCACAGTCCTTCTCCTAGTGGTCCCATCTGCTCCACACCTCCCACCCCCATCAAAGTGACACCCAGTACCCTCTGGCAGGACCTGGAGGAGGTGAAGGGCTCTGGTGTACTCCGAAGCTTAAGTCCAAGAGAGATAAGACTACATGAGGTATAGTTTTACTGTAATAAAGTTCAGTAAAGTTTAAAAAGAGCTATTTTTAAACACCAGTTGATCCCATTGCGTTATTCTATTCCTGGAATGATGGTGCTAAGATGATAAGGTAGTCACAGCTGCCCTGGTGTAGCTAGACTGCCAATTTGCACCGTTGACCTCCACCAATCTCTCTCTTGTACATCACATTCAACTGGTTGTAGTGTCTTGCCTAAAGACACTACAATTATAAGTAGGCTAAATCTTAATTCTGTCGGTCCCTCAAAGAAATATTAGTGTTTTCACCCATTACTTGAACTTGCCCTGTACAGTATAAGCTATAACTAATGCATTTATGGATAAATATGTTTTTCTTTCAGACATCATTTGAGTTGATCTGCTCCGAAGCATCTTACATGAGGAGTTTGGAAATTGCAGTAAACCATTTTTATGCCTCTAAAGCCTTGAAACAGACACTGACTCAGATGGAGCATCACATCCTGTTCTCCAATATTCAGCACGTGATGGTGGCCAGTGAGAAGTAAGTCCAATGTTTAAGTCTTCCAGTCAATAGCCACTATAAGCTTATATTTATGCTATGTCTTTATATAGCATTTTCTACATGCTCGATGTTGCTTTAAAATTTCATGCATTCTCTAGCAGTAGTCCCTAAAGTAATTCTCCATCTCTTATAATGGTGCAGTAGTCCAATATAGGACTTTTTCATGCATTATTCATTCACTCCACATACTGTTGGTGGTAAGCAACTTTAGCCCTGAGGTAAACCGACAGAAGCTTGACTGAGGACACAACAATAGAATGCCCAAACAGTTCTACCTCCAAGTATTCTGTCTAGAAAAACTCTGCATCCTCCTCCTCTTGTTAATTCTAACTATTCCGATCAGTTTTGTGACATTTATTTTCAAAGCACCATCACGTGCTACTCTCCTCCTGATTGTGTTTATTCTTAACACATCTTTTCTAGAGTCCTTCACCTTCTTGCTTGCTCCTGTCTTTATAACACCTGTTATTTCAAACAATTTACTGAACCATAATTAATCTAGTTGAACAAAATTTTTTGTACTATTGTCCTGCCAGTACTGTACATTTTTAATATATTCTTGTAATTCATTTATCGTGGCTCATATTCACTATTATTCATTGTTCTACCACCAAATCAAGTTCTCAGTTGGTAAATTGTGCTCACTGACTGGCATTAAAACATATTCTGATTCTTTTACATATATATAAAAAAGCATAAGATCAAGTAATTTGCTTTGATATGTTTTGTTTTCAAGATTTCTCACAGAATTGGAGCTTCGACTGGGAGAGTGTATTCTGATTGGTTCTCAGGCTGGTGAGGTCGTGCTTAGACACTGCCCTGCATTTCGCCGTCTCTATGTCCCTTATGTGACCAATATGTCATACCAGGAGGCTCTCATCAGGCAACTACTGTAAGCCACTCATTCATGCACTTCAGCAATTCGATGAAATGGTATAAAACATGTCTTTCTGTATCCAAAGGCAAAAAAACAAAGATTTCCAGAATGCACTCTCCAAACTTGAGAAGAATCCAGTTTGTCAAAGGCAAAGCTTGAAGTCTTTCCTGGTTTTGCCATTTCAGAGAATTACTCGGATTAAACTTATTCTGGAGGTGAGTATATTAATAGAAGATAGACATGAGAAATTTGTTTCATTGGTAAGATTTTTGTCATGCAGTTTTAGTGTCTTTTATATTGTGTGTTTCTGAATGGACGGTAAATGGATAGACATGCAACCTAATGATTGCAGTATTAACATAATTTTTAAATGAAGTCGCCTCTGGTTCCTACCCGATTTTAAGTCTACCCTGTTTTAGATTTTTTTTTAGAGTGGTCTGATATGAATGAAAATAAACTTAATCTTACAATATCACTCTTTCTCTTTAAATTTCAGACTATTTTGAAATTGACTAAACCAGAATCTGACTCATTCACAAACCTTGAAAAGGCCATTCAAGCCATTCATGAGGTACATCAAAAGTAAAGTAAGTATGATGAGCCTTTTAAATGATGTAGTACTAATTATGTTGTGGTTGTCAACCAGGTAGTGCAAGAGTGTGACAATAGAGTTCAAAAAATGAAACAAATTGAAGAACTTGTCTGTTTGGAAATGCTGCTTGATTTTGGCAAAGTTAAGGTAAAGAACAAACTCTAAATACAAATTTCTATTTTGACATGTGCATTAAAATTTACCTTTTTTATATTCCTTTTCAGTCCATTCCTCTGGTCATAAGTGGGCGTTTCCTGGTGCACAAAGGTCCAGTGAAGCAGCTGAAACTGGCAAGCTCTGCTCACTCAAGAATGTCATTCACAAATATCTACCTCCATCTCCTCAGTGACATCCTCATCATTTCCTTGAAAAGGTTCTCACATACACCAACCACAATAGGTTGTGTTTAAGTGTAAAATCTGCAATCTGACAATTAAACCACAAATTACACCACTGAACAGCTATAGACATTCTAGAAATGCAGCCTAATGAATACTACACAATCTAAGTTAAAAAATACATTAAACTATTGGTCTATGTGCCTTCTCTGCCATGTTTAGAGATGAGCAGTTCAAAGTTCTGGATCATGCAGAGTTCCCGTCACACATTCGCTGTGAGGCCCTAAAGGCTGAGTTCCTGGGTCTCCCTGCAAACTCTTTCCTGCTTCATCTGTCCAAGAGGCCAATGGGAGAAGCTACTGCTTTAATACTAGTTACTGACACAAGGTAAAAGCTGACATAATATAAAATGCATATGACCTACTGATAAATCTTGAATGAAATCTTGCCTAGATTTTCTAGTTTTATCATTGGACAGAGGCAGCAGATGTCACATATGGAGAGATAATTTCATAACCTTTACCTAGGAACCATAATGCTAACATAATGTCACTTTTAACTGATATAAAACTATAATATTTACCACATATACTCTCCCACCAAACCAAGTAATAGAGTAGTAATAATAGAAAAACATGAAAACCTGTCATATGCACTTAAATATAGTTTCTAAAATGTGGAATGTTTTAACAAGCCAATAAATTCTCTGGTGTATTTTCAGGTCAGCCAAGGAGACGTGGATGAAGGCATTATCTTCAAAAAAGTGATTTTTTTTTTTTTTTTTTTTTTTTTTTTTTTTTTTAAATATTTGTTTTAAGGATCATTTTTAATTCACTTGATTTAAACACAGGTTCAAAGGTTTATGAAGGCACTGTTGTTTCTATCACTTAAACACAAGGAATTATGCTTCACTCCTAACACTGACTGTTATAGGTAATAATGATGCATGTCTCTTTTTACAGAATAAATGTATTATTTATTTGACAGTCATTGTTGTTAGTACAGTATATAATAATGGATGTTTAATGCAATACAGTGGAACATTCAGGTGAAGCAATAACATCTTCATGGAGACAAACAGATGGCCAAATCTCACCAGAAAACTTAAACAATGCTCCTTTAGTCCATAATGCAGAGACCAGTGGACCCAAAAGTCAAAGGAAAGTCTGTGTGTGTGGTTGGTCCCTTTCTGCTCCAGCTCTGAGGCAGTCTTGATACCACAGGTTTTCACACAGACAGTTGAGTAGCTGAGCCACATCACCCAGACCGTCACTGACCTCTCCCCCCACATGCAGCACTGGCAGCCCCCAGGTTGACCGGAAGGCCCTCACGTCTCTCTCTGCCACATCACAGTGCATGAACAGGTCAAATCTGGAGCAAAGGTGAAGGAATATGTGTCCACAAAGTGGGTAAGCAAATAAAGTTAGGACATGAGAATTACTTTGGGGGTAGTTGGTGGCTTTAGGATTTTGCAAATACTTTGGTCAATTGTAGTAATAAAAGAAAACTCTTCTCCACCCTTTTAACCTTTAAAAACACAATTTACAAAACAAACAATGCAGAATTTGCCATAATTTTTTTCTTCTACCAATTCAAAGTTTAAACTCTAGACTTGAGATTGGCTCTTAGGCCATAGTTCACAACCCTGGCTGATTGACAATCAGAAATAACTCCCAATAATCTGTTAAAATCTGACTAATTGTTGTCAAAAAGTATTTGAACATTCAACCTATTTAACATGCACTTGACAAGATATTCAAAGCAGGGCCAAAACACCACACTGAATAATGAGAATATCAAAAGGATACTTTGTGCCAACCACCAACTTGACAACCCTGTCTGGTGACGGTCCCATCCACTTGGATATTTGATTTGGGAGGTCTTCAAATGATATCCGATCGGTGAAAGAGAAGAGAAGGAGAACTGCATCTATCTGCTCTTTACAAAACTGAAAGAAAAACACATGTAATAATGCTAGCTGCAATGTGTTTGGGTCATATTATAATAGTTATTGCGCTCACAGGAAGCATATGGTCAAATCTTTTCAGCGCGTTCTCTCCACAGTCCCATAACTGAAGGCGGAAAAATAGCACCCTTCCACTTTCTTTGATTTTAACTGGCCAGTACACTATTGTGGTCTCAATACCTAAACAATACACAAGGCTAGATCATTTTATTTTTGTCTTGAAACCTATCAAATATGTTGTCTACAGCCTTACCTATGGTTTCATAGTGTATATTGGGAATATTTACACCAGCCAAACGTGCCACAGCAGAGGTTTTTCCAACTCCACTCTTTCCAGAAAGAAAGATTTTGTATTGAACCGTGTCTACAGCTGCGAGAGGGGACATCATGGGGGACTCCAATAAGCCTTAACAAATATCAGATAAAACTCAAACTTTGAACTTTCTCTGTTAATTTAGAACATTGCAATTTAAACATCACTTGCCATACCAAATTGTCTTCTCCTTTTCTTGTGTAGGATCTTATTGAAATACTCTTTGCTATCTTTACACTGATGCCAGTCCGCCACAATGATGGATCCAGGAGAAGGAACTTGGGCCATTTTCTTGTAAATTGAAGCTAACGAACATTAGCATCGTGTTGCTGGTGTCGACATTTTAAACAGACGAATTTTAGTCAATATCAAATATACCTCAAATGTACTCTACTATGAGACGGCGATGGAGACTTCCGTAAACTTCGAAGTTCCTTAGCAACACTGTCGTCATTTCCGTTTGTTTCCCGTCAATATTTTTTATTATTTTTTTTTGTTCTGTTTTTTTTTTTTAAATCCCACACCTGTTTTTTACGACGGAGTATAAGGGTCACATAAAAAAAAAAAAAACATGCTGGCGCTACGAGAATAAAGTCGTAACATTTTGACATTAAAGTCGTAATATTATGAGAATAAAGTCGAAGCCAGAAAAAGTCGTAATGTTACGAGAATAAAGTCATAATTTTACAGGAATAAAGTCGTAATTTTACGAGAATAAAGTCGAAGTTAAAATAAAGTCGTAATATTATGAGAATAAAGTCAAAGTGAAAAATGAGGCAGAAGAAGAAACTTAAAAAAAAGAAAATATGAAAAGGAACAACAATTTTCTTCATTATTTGCGCCTTCGGACTGAACCAGGACTGAACCAGGACTGAACCAGGACTAAACCAGGACTAAACCAGGACTAAACGAGGTCCGAGACCAGACCGGGACTGAGACCAGGACTTAGACCGGGATCAGCCAAGAACTGAGACCAGGATTGAGACCGGGACCAGACCAGGACTGAAAACGGTTTAGTCCCGATTCAGTCCTGGTTCAGTCCTGGTTCAGTCTTTATGCAGCGCAATAGTCCCGCATCGCATTTTAAAGTCCCATTTCTGTGACTTAAACCAGGACTAAACTAGGACTAAACCATTTTCAGTCCTGGTCTGGCCCCGGCCTCAGTCCTGGTCTGGTCCCGGTCTCAATCCTAGTCTTTCTGGTTTGGTTCCGGACCTGATTTAGTTCTGATTCAGTCCTTGTTCAGTCGAATGAACGAATGATACACGGATTCTTCTCCTTTACAAAATGCTCCAAATTCTCCATTCTCCACTCTTCATACTTTCCGAGCAGCCTATATTCTCATAATATTACGACTTTATTTTGGCTACGACTTTATTCTCATAAAATTACTACTTTATTCTCGTAAATTTACGACTTTATTCTCGTAAAAATATGACTTTATTCTCGTAAAATTACGACTTTTTCTGACTTCCACTTTATTCTCATAATATTACGACTTTAATGTCGAAATGTTACGACTTTATTCTCATAGCGCCAGCAATTTATTTATTTTTTTTATCTGATCCTTATACTCCGTCGTAGCTTTTTGGTTTTCAGTACAAACAGAAAAAATACCAACAATATTCCGAATTGTATATAACAACCCCTTTATACTGGAAATAGTTAGTAGCCATAGTGGATTAGACTTATATTGCGGTGTTAAAGAGATTGTGATATTTTTTTTTAAATCTTAAAACAAGCACAGATACATTGTTATATAGCCTACTGTCAGTAAACTAAAAGTCTATGGTGCAAACTTTATTCCAGAATTAAGTTGTAAGCGTTGTTTGGATGTTGTAGCATTATTCAGCCACTAAAGGGCGCTAACGGCCAACGTTACTGGGTATCAGGACTGAAGGAAAAGGCTGTATAGACCTGTAGACTAGACCCCAAATCACAATTAAAGGAGGAGACAGGTTTTACATTTTTACATCAGTTACAGCTCATTTTATTCATTCGTCAGTCATTTGTGCCCTCTGAGCTTTGACTGTCAGGACACCACTGCTCCCCAGGTTTAGGGTCACAGAAACAGGGTCCACATCTGCTGGAAGTTTACAGCGATGAGACAAAGTGTTGGTTATAGTGCCATCTTCCGCCATCTAAAGCAAAGCAATACACATTTTATAGAAACATTTAAAAAAAAACTGTTGTGATTGGGACTTAAAGGGCCTATATTACTTTACTTTCTGGTCTGTGTAAAAATGGTGTTTTCTCATCACAAACATTCCTGGACTTGTGTTTTGTTTCATTCACAAATGTCACATAAAACACAAGCACTGAATATTTAAAGTAAATTCTTTTCTCAAACAGAAATCACTGTTCCACCTTGTGATACCATGTGGAGATACAGGAAGAGCTCCACTGTGTTTTTTTAAATTCCATACACATTGACTTGAACAATTTGTATAATTTCAGCCCTGGAGTTTCCAGTCTCTGCTGAATAAAAGGTAAAAGATGGAACAGAGCATTTTGAGCTGTGGAGAAGTAGTTAACCTAATAATAAAGGATTACTCAAACTTGTGTGAATAAAACAAAACACAACTAGATATGTTTTTTATGAGGTAACAACATTCTATGGTTCACAAGTTCACAAGAGTCAGTTTTTGTAATATTGGACCTTTAAATTTGGTTCATGTTCTAGAATCTGAATTAGCCTCTGTATATAGTTGTAATGTCACATGAAGCCTGACCAATGAATCCAAATAACACTTTTCTCTTACCTTTTCAGCATGGACTTCAATTAAGTTGTTGGATGAAATGATGATGACATCTTCAGGTGCAAACTCGCTCACATTGACAGAAAACTGAAAGGTATTTCCAATTACTTCAATCTTTCCTGTGGGATATGAACGCTCTAAAACAAACAATTAACAAAGAATTTCCAAAATTACTCAAGAATTAGAAGAAAGATTTATAAAGATTTAAAAGTGTACTCTGTAGCTTTTGTGGTTGACCTCGGAGTTTGTTACTCTGCATAGAATATTCCACAGTATGCATTAAACTAATTTATCTCCAAAGAAAAAACAAAAAAAATGACACCAAGGAAGGTCTGATCTGAGGCGAACTACCTCACTGTTGCATGTTTTTCAGCAATAAAAGCAAGCGACTGTAAAACAATATATGACAAGATAGGGTGATGTTCAATACCATATTGTTGAACATCCCAGGGAATGTAAAAACATCTCCATGGAAACAAATAAATGACAAACCCCACACCATACCAAAAAAAAGTTACATAGTACACCCTTAAAAGCCTTACAAATACAAAAGATTTCACCGTAGCCATGCAGACATCCAGAATTATCCAAGAAAGTTGTAGATCCTTTCTCCATTAGGAATAAGAATTCTGTTAATCAACCTTGTATGTCCTATAATATTGTGCTTCATAAATAAGGCAGTTGAATTTCAGACCACTCCTCTGCCTGGAAGTGTGATCTTTGTTTAAGAGATTGGGTGGGATACATTGATCTGATGCTAAATTTGCCACTAGTGCTTGAACTGTCACTCACAAGGTTAAGTTTAAGTTATTTTTGGTGAGTAAAATGGCTTGTATGTGTTAAAACTTATAAAGTGATTGTTTTAAGGGCAGTGGCTGAGGGACTTGTTTCAAAATTGGCACTTTACCGGGAGATTGTCAATATAAACAGAGGAGGGAGTTTGCCTTTGCTAAGTGACAGTCCTATGATGAAGCTAAGTGGTGTGTAGGTGTGATTTTTAGCTCCAATCTGTTAAAAGTGACAAAGTTTGATCTGAATATAGCAACACTGTCATAACAAGAGCAGCTAGAAAGGGCCAGGTGGGGATACTGGGTAATATTGACCAAAACAAATATATAATTTGTTTCAATCCATCGATACAAGCCTATTCAGACAATATTAAATGTGCTAAACATGTCATCTTGGTTGAGGTTCAAGAATCACACAAAATTGACTGTATTGTATGTTTTTGTTATAGTAGTTGCAATATTGTAATATTGCCAGAAACAATTGTAATATTATAATTTTTTTTACATCTCAAGACTAGCAAATTGTTTTTACATCTATATATGCAGAATTTCACATAAAAATCAAAGAATCATTTTACTTTTAAATTCCCAAGTTTGATGGACAGGTGAAGGCCCATCTTTGTCAGTGGTTGAGTAACAATGAATTATGTAATGAATAGTAATACATAATCCAGGTTCAAGTACAATAAATCTAAACTGGTGAAGACTAGTTGAACAAATCTATTGTTTAGGCCTATTTAATGTATTAATAGCAGTGAAGTTAATGGCAGTGAAATAATTAACATTTTTCACTTTGCATAGATATGCATGTTTTATGGTCAGGTCTTCTTAAGAAGACTGATTTCCATTTATCTGAAATGTTATTTTAGTATTCATTTTGCATAGTATCTAATAACATTCAAACATGTTCAATGACATATTATAATGTTGATATAAACCTTTTAACTCCTGCAGAAATCGTTACCATCATGTTTCACAAGGCAACATTGATTTATTTATTTAAGACAAAATACATTTACTTAATGTGTCAAAAGTTGTTTTCATGTAACATACAACATAAATATAAAATAAATATTAAATAAAATGAACAGTTATAAGACACAATGTAAACAAAAAGGAAAAAACATGAAGAAAATTGAAACTACAAACAGTAAGAATGTTTGATTCTTCGCCCTGAGTGGAAAAATATTATTCCATTATTTATCAAAAAGATGATCAAAAATGTTGTAAAAACTGGCGTAGCAAAAATACTACTTAAAAATCTATATAAGACAATGAGTGCTTGGAAAAAGTAGCCCCTTAATCTCACAGAGTTTAATATTTCAGTCAATATCTACTGTATATACCAAGCACCACTATGAAGTCTCAAAAATATACAATATACACATTACTTTTACATATTTAAATTACTTTCTTCAGTTATCATAAAGTACATAAGTGTTTCTTTTTTATTTAAAGTCAGTCATTTCTGAGTGGCTTGGAGGAGTCCCTTTTTTCAGTCTTAATATTGTGCAAAAGGGAAAACAGTTCATCAGTTCATGCTGAGGCGGGTGTAGGGTGACCGCCTGTCCACCGTCCCACTTATTTAGGGAATGCCCAACTTTTCCACTGATGCCTCATGACTTGTGTAAAAAGTGAGATTTACAAACATGATAATATTTTAGATTTTTTGGGTGTACTGGCTTTTGCACTGGAAATAAAATAAAAAATACAGAAAATGTAAAACAAGACATTTTATGCTTCTTCCATCAGCAAATCTTATTTTAAGACCATCAAAATGTACTCATATGTTGATAAATACTACTTGAGTTGGCGCCTATTGCGATTTGTATCTTACTGTGCATTACCACTGATACAAACTGAAATATATGTAGTGTTATTGCAGTTTTTATCAGTGAGTGTCAAATTTAAGTCCATCTGTCCATCTTCCAACACACAAACACATTCAATAGCTTGTCAATAGCACTTTTCGAAGTTGCTAAAAATAGACTGTGACAACATATCTCAAAGCATTATGGAATACCCACTTAGACAAACGCTAAACCAAGTATATCAATCAAAACAACGTCCTAATTTCCAATTCTAATTTCCAGTTTCTCTTCTGTGATATTAAATGCGTGTCATGTGCTTATTTGCTTGACCAAGGTTGTGGCATCATTTGTAAAGTGGGCATTTTGCAGTGGTCACCCTGGGCTGGCGTCATGCTTCCAGCCCCCCACGTGTGCCCCTCTCCTCGTCCTCTTCCTCGATGAGTGAAATGGCATGGTCGGTCAGTGCACTTTGATTTGGAGGAATGCTCAGATCACACGGCAAACACGCTGAGGGAGCTGGTCTCGTCTTTCAGGCCCAGGATGCTGTAGGCTATCCTCTTCATGTGGCCGGGCAGTCGCACTCCGATATTTCTGATGTCTCTGTAGAAGGGGGAAAGCAGACATTGGATACTGTTAGGCTAAAAACAATATGCGGACTGTTTTAAATTAAAGAAAGCTGTGGCATGGTGTGGCGGTAAGGAATGTGAGGTATGAGAGAGGCAGGAGGAGGAGGAGGGAGGGATATTTATGTATTAGATGTAGAATAGCCCAAAACTGCGCTTAAATAATAGTGTTCCATGTGAGATTGAGTGAGATTGAGGTTGTTAAGAAAAATTGTGGCAGTCATCCCAATAAGTACTCAAGTAAAACCTACTGGATATGCTGAAATGTATTTGTAATCAACTTATTTCATGCTCATTAAACAATAACCTGATTGTAATTAGATGCATTGAAGAGAGCACAACATTGACTAATCCATGGGTTTCTGCATAATGAAAAATTAGGGCCGTGGTGCCATGGTGACTAAACTAAATATATAATTTGAATGGGAAAAGGGCCTAAAAAATTGCATATAACAGGAAGCTAAAATCCATAAATAAAAATAGCATAAGGGCATCTTAGGAATTAATGTATATATGTCATAATTTTTTCACATACTTCCATAAGGTTCAATGATTAATGAACAGAGATGGGTCACCAGTAATTAAAGTGAAGTAGGAATATTGTTGGCACTGCGAGAATTTTACTAACCAATTCAATTTAAGTGAAAAAGTAGAATGCTTCATCTTGAAATTGTACCCCATTACGCTATACTCCTGGGCTGTGAGAAATGAGAGGAATGAAAAAGGAGTGGTGTATTTGTGTGTTAGCAAACGGCCGGACATATGTTGCTGTGGAAAGCTCAATACTTTCACTGTGTAGCACAATGTGGCGTGCTGCCAGAGGAGTTCCACGGCCTGCACCTGTGCCATGTGTCGCACTTACTCATGCCGCAGACTGAGCACTTGGTCCATGCTGGTGACCCCCGCGCGGGCGAAGCTGTCCGAATACTGGCCCATTTTGATGGAGTCCAACCATTCGGGCACAGACTTGAACATGGTGCCATCACAGCCGCTGGTACTGGGCAGGCGGATAGACACTCTGTAACATGAAACATATAGGGTTTCTATTATTACAGATATAAAGACAGGTGCAGGGTACATTTGATATTGTGCTCTTATACAGGGATTAATCGTATTCTTTGGAGCCAGGTCATTGTTTAAAATTAAACTCTTATGGGAACCAGCTTTTGCATGGTCACTTACTTGTCTTTTTTCTTTTTTAATAAATATATCTAGGAAAGCCAGTTTATGCTATCAATTAAACCTGATATTTGGAAATTATAGTAAAAGTTTGCGTTCAGTGCAATTTTCGTAAAGGTTTGGATAACACAAGCTGTAATAAAGCACGGAAGCAAGAAAGACTTAATATCTATCAATAAACTATTTGTTCATCTTGAATTAAGTCTTTGTTAATGCTTTACTAAGACTAATTAAGGTGTTGCCATAGATGCCATTCGACAGACTTTTGAGCAAAGTATCGTTTATTAACAGCACTAATTTACATCACTAACCCTAATCCTGAACCTACCTGATGTTCCCTTTACATTTGTCATTCTTCAGCCCTCTCACAATAGCAAAATGCAATGTGATACGCAATGTAAACCACTTGTAAGTCCAAACCCACCGGTTGAGGACGACACCTGCTGTAAAACAAATGTACTGTATTTTGAATGTCAACATACCGTGGATCAAAGTCTGCAATGGTTTTCAGGGACTCTGGGCTTCGGAGCAATTTGTCTAAAATGTTGACGATGTCAGTGAAGCGTGGTCGGTTGGAGCGGTCGTGTTGCCAGCACTGGAGCATGAGCTGATAAATGGCAGAGGGGCAGTCCATGGGAGCAGGCAGTCTGAAGGCCTCATTGATTGCCTTCATGACCTAAAAGAACACATATAATGCATTTTAGGGTGAGTTTATACTAGCCCTGGTTTGTCCTAGTTTGTCCTGGTCTAGTCCAGGTTTTGCCATAGTTTAGGTCCAATTTTCATGCATAGTCTACCCTGTTAATGTATATACTAAATCATAAATACTAAATTGAAAATATTTTTGCTACAGGAAATCTTCCACAGTATGGCATTAAATGTATGTAACTTCATGGAAACAAAAATAAAGACTGATGCAAACCCCCCACCAGAAAGGTTCCATATTGCACCTCTAAGAATATTTAATATGAGAACTACTACTACAAATGAACAATCTTCCTACAGAAGTTTATCTCTCAGTACTTCGGAAGAACTGACAACAATAACTAAAAGAGGGTTGCTGTTTTTAAAGGCCTTTTGCCAGAAAAGTGTCATGTGCCTTTGTTATTCTTTCCACCCCATTTACACAGCACTATGAGAACTTAACTTTATACAATATATATATACTCTCCAAATGAGCCACAGTAAAGTCATTCAGGTGTAGTTGAGACGTACCTCGTGGTTGCTCATGTCCCAGTATGGGCGTTCCCCAAAAGCCATCACTTCCCACATAACAATGCCAAAACTCCACACGTCGCTGGCGGAGGTGAACTTCCTGTATGCGATGGCCTCAGGGGCTGTCCAGCGAATGGGTATTTTGCCTCCCTGACAGAAAAGAAACATTTACAAGTCAAATTTAATGGCAGGGGAAATGGAAATCACAAGTTGTCGAAAGAGCAACAGTTTAGAGTGGAGCATTGGAGGTTAAACAGGTCATTAACAATCTGGAATCACTTTTAAGGAGGATAAGGTAGTAATTGTTCTCTGCTTTAGTGCCAGGAGACAATGATTTATGAGTGTGGATGAGAGGCTTAAACTTTTCATGCCAAGTATCATGTTTGACAACATTCAGCTTTGCTAATAATTTGAATCTTTTCATTAAACTAAAATTAAACAAAATATAGACTACAATATAATGATTCAGATTATGGTATTAGGATAAACAAGGACATAATGGGGATCTGGCCTGCTTTAAATCAGGTCTAAACCAGAACCATGTATAACCAGGCCCAAATATTCAAAGGTGCAAAACTGTTCACTGTAACCTCTTTTATACAGGTTTGCTCTCTAAATAGCACAAGGTTAAATAATGGAATTTAATAGTTCATTTGGTCCGGGCCAGCTGCTCAAAATAGCCCAGGACTTAGCCAGGACTAAAACAGAATTACAACAGATCTAAACCAGGATTAAGGAAAATCTGCTTTGCTTGTACCTTGATAGATTTTATACTTAATTATATTTTAATTACTACAACTATCCATATGAGAAAGTATTTCCGGGTGGATCAAGGTCAAGTTTATTTTACAGTGCAGGTCTCAAGAGGTAGCTTTCTACTCTTAGCATGCATTTACTCCAATAACCAGACTTCAGTTCATTTTTAGTTTGTGAAAAGTATGAATGTGTCATCATTTTTAACCTTCCTGGATGGGAACAAATTAGCCTGACAAGGAGGGGCAACACCAGGGAGCTCAGCAGCACAATAAATATGTATAATTTAATAGATTCTATATTTAAACTAATAATATCAATATAAACTAATATGAAATACTTGTACTTTACTCACCCTGGTTGTATATGTCCCCTCAGCGTCGTCCTCTAGCACCCGGGACAGGCCGAAGTCGGACACTTTACACTCCAGGTTACTGTTGACCAGGACATTTCTCGCTGCCAGGTCCCTGTGCACGTAGTTCATGTCGGAAAGGTACTTCATTCCGGCTGCGATTCCTCTGAGCATTCCCACAAGCTGATAGGAAGGGAGCTCTCCATCACGGTCCTGACAGAAACAATACAAGTGGTCAGTACATCTAATATGATACATATATATACTATAGCATACTGGAAAAACATATTGTCCATTCCTATTTACTGTCAAATTAGCAGTTTATCTGTGCTTTATTGACTGTCTTGACCAAATAATTTAAAATAAGTCTTGATGAACCAAATAGTGCACTGTTTCTTACCCTTAGATAAGTGTCCAGAGCACCATTCTCCATGTATTCTGTCACGATCATTGCATGTTTGACTGGAAATAAGAAAGTCAATGTTAGATACAGAGAGATAATTACTACAATACAAATACAGCTGAGCTATTTGATTTAAAAGCTTTTCTGACTTACATTTTGTGACCACTCCTTCCAGTCGGATAATATTGGGATGAGAGAACTGTCCCATGATGCTTGCTTCGCTCAGAAAGTCCTGTCTTTGCTTTTCTGAGTATCCCGGTTTTAAAGTTTTGATCGCCACAGCAACTTCGCCTCGCAATGGGGACTTCATCACGCCACGAAACACCTCTCCAAATTCTCCCACCCCGATTACTTTTTGTTTGGAGATAAAGCTTGGGTCGATTTCAGTGACGAACTTCTGAATGGCGATGTTGGGGTCTTCGTACATATGCGGGTCGACATATGTTTTCAAAGGCTTCAGTTGATCTATGGGAATAAAAGAGAAAATTTTGCATATAAAAAGGTGATCTGCACAATTCAAATATTTAAAAGTTAACTTGAAAGTAATTTATGATATGTTTCTTATAACTTTTAAGACTACTTTTAGGTATATGACTTTTTCAAAATCTTAAAAATTTTAAACAATAAGATTTCAAAATGATCCGAATATTCAAACCTAATCTACTAATCAAATTGAATTAAAACAAAACAAAACAAAAGCACCAGGGCTTTAACATAATTTGAAGCAAGCTAAACCAGATTTGAATGTTTCCTAAGAATAAACTAAACCTGTTTAGTTTATTCTACCATTTTAAAACTAAAACAAAAAAATACAAATATTATAGAAAACTTTACATAGCTAAATATACTTGCATCATATCTTGTGCAACCTTAAATCTTCGTCTCTGTAATCCCACTCACCTGTCGAAAAGTAGGGATCCTCTGGTCCTCCTCTGCCACGCGAGCTCAGCCTCCTGTGAAGAGTAAACACAATTCAATCAGACTAAACAGAAGTCAGACTGGATTTAGGAAAATTACAGGACAATAAGAGGGCCGCCATCTCTGATTAAACCCTGTGCGCACTATCATAACACTGGGTCCCTAATTTTCTCAAGAAGTGCGTGGGACATAAACACATAGTCTGAAGGTCTGAGAAGATAAGGTTTATCTTAATGACACAAGCGTCAAATGTGGATATACAAAAAGTCACCAACCGTTTACGCAGAAGCAGGACCGCCACCACAACGAGCAGCATGACGGCTACTCCCACCACCGCGCCCATCACAATAGTGGAGTTATTCTGGATCTGAGACTCAGCTGGACAAAGAACATGGGACATTTAATATTTTTTCAGATAGCTTACCAGCATATCTATTTGCTATATAATTACAAGGGCATAAGTAGTAATATTTGGAGCATACTTTTCAGTTCCACTGCAATTAAGTTTGTGCCAGGGTCATAATCACAATGGGCTAAATTAGGGTAAACCTGTACGTAGATGCACTTTTTAACCTGCTTGTCTTTATGGAGTGTGTGTCATTTATTTTCCTGAGATGTTGCACAATATGGCATTATGATTAGTGCTAAAATCAGAACTTGATTTATACTTAAACCTATAGGGGATATTACTTTGCTTAGGATCAACCAAGGATTTAACCAAGAAGAAATTGTGTGCCTCTAGATGTAAGTATAAACTTGCTTGTACCTAATGGTGAGGTGTGAAATTCGTGCTCCATGCTGTAGCTGCCTGGGTTCCCCTCTGGACTCAGTGCCTGGACTCTGAACATGTAGGTGGTGTCTGGAGAGAGGTCGTTTATCTGCACTGAATTCTTCTCCAAAATCAGGACCGTGTAAGTGGTCACATCCCTCTCCCCTTCTTCATTCTGGGACAAGAAAAACACAAAAGTTAGATTCATTTGTTTTCATTTGAGTTTGTTCCAACAGATGGAGGAGGGGAACAAAAGAGGTAGTGTTCAGAGCAGCTCGTAAATTAAAGGAGGATGATACATGGCTACAGAAGATACTGCAAGCATGATAGAGTGGGGATGACAGATTAAGTGAGATCAAATTGAAAACAAAGGTCATGTTTGGACACGTTTAGTTAATTACACTACAACTACACTCAAATTTAGAAGATTACCAGTTATGTAGGGAAAAAAATCATGTTAAATGACTAGAAACTCACTAGAAATTACATATTAACAACTATAAAAATGTCTAGTAATAATGCTTTACCTTTCGCCTGTACATGAGCTCGTAGCGGTGGTTGATGTGGGCCGGTGGTCTTCGGGACAGGACCCAGGACAGGGACAGACTGGTGGAACTGCGCTCGTCCAGGTGGATCAGAGTCACTTTGGGAGGTGCTGTGAGAAGCAAAGCAGATGGAGAGACAAAACAGTGGTTAGTTAGACTCTGATCATTTTCTATGTCAGGTGTGGCACTGCATTGTCCCCGTGCCTGCTGGGGACACTTAACGACTTAATGCTAGGCCTACAGAATACAATGCAAACTAATTATTATGACAAAAGATGGGTTAGCATATGGCAACTGTGGCTATTATTATTTCAATGAGCAATGATGTAAAAACCTTATTACTAATCAGTATTATTGTAAAAATAAAAACAGAAAAACGAAATATAAAAAGGCACACTCAATGTTCGATAAACCTGAAACTAAACCCAAAAATAAACCAGGACTCGATCAGGACTAGAATGGGACCAAATTGTCTAAATCAGCACTAAACAGAACTCAAACCAGCACAAAAGTGAGACCACACCTAGTAATTTTGTATTTAGAGATAATTCATCATAAGTGGAATATCTAATACCTTAAATACAGCATGTACTGTACTTAACTATTTTTTATATACATTTCGGTGACTTATTTGATAACGTTGAACCTCTATATTTCTTACCCAGATAGTCCAGCGCCGTGGTGATTGTTGCTATGGGCCTCTTTGAGCTGTACTGGGACACTCCGCTGTGCGCCTCCACGGTGAAAGTGTAGTTAAGGTGAGAATCCAAGTCCCCAACTATAACCGAGGTATCCTGGAGGTCCGAGGGGGAGGGGTCGAAGCGTATTTTGTCGCTACACGGGACGCACGAGCTGGCATCGCAGAGTTCACACACCACGCTGTAGGTAAGGTCAGATCGACCCCCGGTTACAAGAGGAGGCTCCCAGGACAGCTGTAGCTTGCCCTCTGCAGACAGTGTGGTGGAAATGAGGTCATGGGGGGCACTGGGAGGAGCTACGGGGGCAGAGAGAGTGGACAGAAGTTAGGCAGATGTATATGTAAAGTGAAAGTTAATGTTTGATGGGGTAATTAGTGGTTGTAAATTCATGTCAAAATGATACCTTGAAAGATGAATCAATTTAAGTAGGGCTAAAAAGTTAGGCTACTTTCCTGTAACAAGGGCAAACCTACAACTGCATTCAAGATTTAGGCTATAAAAAAGTGCAGTTAGAATTTTATTTTAGCAAGGTATTGTAATGTCATATATAAAGAAGATTATTTTGAATACCAAAACCAGTAATTGTGAAAAGTAAAATAAATATTATATACTTTACTGTAATATAAGGGACAAACTACACGTATATTAAAAATAGATTGCCAGAATGCAAACTTTTAATAAATTATATATTATATTTTCTAATAAAATTGGCTTTGACCTTAATGAAAAGAAAAAAAAAGCATGTAATTAACTGTAGTAAATTGTTGCCACAATTAAAAACCCTGCCAACTATACCAAGATTCAAACAATACACTATAAAAGAAGGCTAAAGCAGGACTAAATCAGGACTAAAGCAGGACTATACCAGGACTAAACACAGCAGAACCAACCTGTCATGTCTGTCTACTAAATAGAGACAGAAGTCGGGCAGATGCACTACATAAAGAGCAGTAGTTATCTTTTAACTTTTTACGTCGTAAATTTGTGTCTTTACCCGAGCAGGCGGCAGTGAGGGGGTCTGAGGGGGAGCGGAAATATCCCTCTTCACATTCACATTTGGTAGCTCCAGTGTCAGAGGGTCTGGTGTTGTCTGGGCAAACTCGGCACAAGTCATTCCCAAGAGCTGGTTTGAAATAGCCCGGTTTGCAAGCTGTAAGGAAAAGATATGATTTAGTTTTGAGAATATTTTACACAAATGTAGAGAGAATCATGATTTACGCACACACACAAACACACAAAATCAAAATTGGGGTTAAATTTGGACATAAATGAAACCAAAACCAGGACTAAACCAAAAGAAACCCATATAAAAGACATTTGAGAGTACCAAATGAATAAAGAGGACTTGTAGTAGTTTTATGAATAGTAGTAGTAGTAGTAGTAGCAGCAGGTGTAGTAAATAACTGTATCTTGGTAATTTAGTAGTAGCAATAGATTAGTAATAGCCTAGTGCTAGTAGTATTTGTTATTATAGTCAGTTGTAGTAATAGGCCTAGTAGTAGTATTTGCAATAGTAGTAGTAGTTGTTGTTTTAACAGTCATAGTTGCAGTAATAGTAGACGTAGTAGCAGTCATGGCCGGGTTAACACACTGTACCAAAGATTATCTCTTAAGTCTTCTGATGACATGTGTGAAATAGACAAATGCCGGAAGCGTGAGTCATGAAAATGCTAACACTGTAGTCTATCTGATCCAAGGCCGTTCCACCTGACAGGAAGCTCTTGTTTTAAGGTATCCATGATCATAGACTCTTTGTATGGGGAGGAATGAGAGGGATTTCCCTGACAATGTGCCTGCACTTGCCTGTCCAGCCCAAAGCTTAATCTTAAAGGTTGGCTCCAGTCAACCGGATAGCCCTAAATCCACCAGGTGAACCGATAACTTTGCTTTGAAAGATAATATTTGTGTTTGTGCGAAAGGAAATAGCACTTTGAATGTGCTTCGTGTTTGGTGGTGTGTTTCGGAAAACTGATAAAACTTGAGGCTTTCCAGGGCATCAGGGTTAATGAACATGTATGAAAGTTGAACACCGGACAGAAACTATGAGGTAAATCCAAGCTAGCCTTATGTTTCCTTTGTATCTTCCTTCCTCCGGCTCTCCTTTGACACTAAGCACACATTACCAGCTCCCAAGGCCAAGAGTTAAAAGACCAAAGCACCAGGATGCGGAAAAGATGGAGATAGGAATTTTTCTAAGTGTTAAAACGGAAATTTACAGCAAGAGACAACTGCTATTCATCGTTAGCCTGGCCTCCCTCTGGAAAAATAAATTGGAATACATTCTTACTTTGTAACACGCAAGTTTACTTAATATTTAGGTTGAACTGGGAATCTTCTTAAGGATTTACTGAACCATCTGAAATATGAATGCAGTGACAAAAATAAAAATGTTTTGTTTTGTTTTGTTTGCTTCTGGGGTCTTGCTAACCCACATACAGCAACTTGTTCAATAATGTGTCTTAAATAAAAATTCTCAAGTCTCCACTTTCAGGCTGCCATCTCTCCGGGGAGTAACCTTTCCATGTGGCCCCTTTGCTGGTGGCCAGGAATACGAGGTTTTCAATCCTGGTGCTCGAGTTACGTCTTGTCCACAAAGGCAGTGAAGACCTTTGCTCTCCAAATAATTCTGGAGGAGCAGGTTGGATGTGGATGAGAAGAAAGATGAATGGACAGAGACTTGGAGGAGAGAGGGGGGTTGGGACCAGTGTGGAAGCCCCAAGACAGAAGCTCTCTCTGGGGAGCCACCAGGGCGGGATGGGGGTGGGGGGGGTGGGGGGTGGAGGTGGAGTGGAGGTGGAGGTCTTTTCGCATAAGAAAAGGAGGCCCGCTTTTCATTTCATCTCAGGCTCAAGCAGCAGCAGGACTTCTGTCACGTACCAAAGGAGCTCCAAAGTCTTTTCATGTATTGTTGACTAGATTGGACTGAGTGGTGCCATAAATGTGTTGGACTATTCATGACAACCAATGGTGGCATGTGTGCACTGATGAGCAAGTATAAACATGACGAAAAAACAGAATGCCTAGACTGTTACTATAGAGCCGGGGAAATTAGGGAAAACATGCTAATCAAAGGTGTTGTAATGGCATATATTTGATTATATTTCAAGGCTCCATTTGTAATGCTTTTATATAGTATTTATAGATAAATTATAATAGTTTTAAGAGAGACTAAACTATGGTGAAATACAACTTGGTACACTGCAAACTAAAATCTATCCAAGTAAAAAAAAACAACTCTTTGCACTTAAAATAAGCAACAAAATCTAATGTTGTTAGGATTAAGAAAAACTTGACTTGCCAAGTTGAATATACTCCAATAAAGTTAAATGTTCTTAACTGAAGTCATTTTAACTTATCTACAGTAGATATTGTTTTTGTAGTGTAGAGTCTTAAAGTGCAACGAATATGTGGTTTTAAATCCCACAATACATTACCGGTACTTTAATAGCAAAATATATGTTACTTTAATGGAAAAATTTGTGGTTTAAACTGAGTATTTTCAGTGTCTTACTTTTTTTTTTGATCAGGTATTATTGAATTTGTTAACAACACCATAACAGTTCATTAGCAGAAACATAATGCACAATCTTTCCCATTTCACCTTCATTTCACATAGGCAGCCAGTTTTAATTCAATCAACTTACTCACTTGTTGCACCAAAATAGTAGCCCTTTCTTTCCTCTCAACCCCCAGTGACAACCGGCCACATGTGAAAAGGACTCGGGTTCCGCACCGATGAATCTGTTAATTGAATCTGTTTGGAGCTTTGTGCCTTCCTATTGTTCTAACGAGTGGGAACATGGATTAGGGAGCCGGTTGCGTGTGTTAACCACGGGATGAAAGAGCAGGGGAGATCTGAACGGGGGCATGTCATTGGCTAACAGCTGTCCTATTGCTCTATAATCCTCTTGACTAAATTACACTCCACACCTAACTAAGCAGCCATGAACCTACCCATGTACGCCAACTGTCGCACGGTAGACCCCCTCTCTCTAACTCCCCCCTCTCTCCCTTAAAAGCACTGTCTATGTCGTCTATATGGACAACCTGCTTATTTTTGTCAGTCAGCATTCCTCCCAAACGCACTCACTTCCTTTTCTCACAACAGATGCAAGGGTCCGAAATCAGTCCCGGGCCTCTCGTATGTCGCGCTTTTCCCTTGTAAATGTGAAACTGGAATGAGGTAGGCTTACGTGTAGCAAGAACAGACCAGTTTTTTTTCTATGTGTTCAGACCCGTGTAGACCATTTGGTAGACTTGGGTTACAACTAGCATCGTAAAACACTCCCCTTTAAAGCGTATGCTGTTTCTGGTAAATGAGTAAAGGTTTTTGAGTTTTTTATTCTATCTAACATGACTCAGTATTTAAAACTGAAAGTATGGGATTTTCCAGCATACTTAGTTACATAGTTTGTGAATAAATATGCATTATTATCAAGAAATAGAATGAGATAGTGTCTATTGGGGCTATGCAATTAATCAATTCAGTGCAAGTTTAGAGAAAGAAATGTACAATTATTTTAAAATATTAAGTCGGAATCAGCTATGTTCAGGAAATGAATATTGAAAGCAATTTCTAGTAGTTTTCTAATAACACAAAATTAATTCAAATTGAAAATCAAGACTGTACAATTTTTTTTTGTTTGTTTGTTTTTGGCCCATCGCCCAGCCCTAGTTTATAGTCTTAACAGCTTTGGTTAATCACTTGTAAACAGTGGGGTCTCAAGTTGGAAATGATGCCAAATGTTTGTGAGTCTATGGGCATATTAACATGATACAGAGTAAGTGTCAATTCTACCACTGCAGCTGCATTTGCCTACATACTGAAAAACAAAAGGCCAATAGAGAAAAAGGAAGCAATCCATTCACACTATATTAATGGAGACAAGACAAAAGTGGAAGTAGCTAATTTCTAGTCAACAGGGATATTTTAGCATTTTAGGTTTGTGTAATACTTTCGTTTACTTGTGCTGTGATTAGAACTTAAGAAAGGTTTTGATATTAGCCTCAAAATGTCACTGTTGTAAAAATAAAAAATAAAAAATAAACATTTTGAAATTTAAGTTTGTGTTTCAGTACCTTAATTTGCCAACTCATAAAGGCAATTTACTTTCACTATCTGTTACTGGAATTCATGAATGTGGATTTTTTTTTTTTATGTTTTGTCAAATTTATATTAAAACCTTTTGAATATAACTTTTACCTACTCTAAGGAAATATCTGATTAGCTGTTAGTTAAAAAAAAAAAAAAAGAAAATTGTCTTTCTATTTATTACATTTTGAAAAGAAAGTGGATATTCTTATGATTTGTCAAATCATATTACAATAAAAAAAAAATAATAATAATATAACTTTTAACTAGGAGGTGGGTGGCAAATTCAAAAGACCATTCCAGGTAATTTCGCCTTGAGAGGACTTTGAAAGTGTAGTCTGTCATTATCTCGCAATGAGTGATTGATCTCCTCCTTTTTCCAGGCGGACAAACTGTGAGAATTCCAGGGAGCTTTGTCAGTCAAGGTGACTCGGACCATCATAAACCACAATCTTGACTGAGTCTAACCTCGTAGGGCGTGACCTCACATCCCTGTAATCTGCGGTCTGCATCTCCATGGAAACACAGGCAAACAAATAGTTGTGAGCAGACGACACACAGGTAGCTACATAGTTCAACCGTCACAGACAATTTACACTGTAAAATGTGGTTAAAATTACTTGAATTTAGAATTATTACCTGCTTTTGAGAAGTTTAGATTAGTTTAGATTTAGTTTAAATAGATTTAGTTAGTATGAATAAACAGTTTTCACCAGTTTTAAGATATAGCTTTGCTTTTTTCAGTACAATACACTTATGGCCATAATGAGCAGCCATTGGGGTAGGAAATAGCAATTAGATAAAAAAAATGTGTTTCATCAGGAACTAGTTTTGCTGGAAAATAACAAAAATATTAATTAATTAATTAAAACACATCTTAAACCTTACTTAACCATAGACAAACTAGTCAAAACAACTCCAAAAATACAATAATTTAGAATCCAAGTAATTTTAACTTTATATTTTTATAGTGCCTTCCTGGTCAATCAGTAATGTGCATGTGACGCCAGGGTGAAGGAATGCCTTTCAGAAATCCCCGCTGTGTGCCCTCCCTCCCAGCTCCTTCCTCCCTTTCCTCCCACATTTCCTATAGACACTCGAACACACCACACCCCGCCAGTGCCAAAGAAAAGGACAAACTTCCACAAAAACAGTAGGAGCTTGAACTGTCCACAAACCACAGATGTCTGCCTAACTGTGCTGGCTCTTTCAATCCACTAAAACTCCTCCGAGGCACTAACATTCCTCAGGCTTTTGCATATCTATCACTTCTGTAGTTTTGTCCATAACGTGAATGGACACATTTTTAGGATTCCTTATTCCCCTCTTTGGGAAGGAAAGCTCTTGTGGCTTCTCTCAAAACTATTGTGTGAAAACCAAAAATTACCACTAAGAATATTTTTGAACTAGTGTGGTTATGTTACAGTATCGCAATCATAAACATTTTTTAAATACTAATTTTTTGGACAGTGTAATGTATTTTTCAATGCAAAATAATATACAATTCTTTGATAGTACCATGTCGTGTTATATTGTATAGACCCGACCAACTAAAAAAAACTCCATTTTGCCTTCTTTTTCAATGTTACATTTCTTACAGTACTGATCCTTACTGAAATGAATATCCAATTTCAATACCAGTTTTAGCATCAATTATCCACTTGGGTATAGATTTTTCTGACAACCCTATTTTGAACAATGTAATTTCAAACTATAAAAAACATCCATTGGTTTGAGGTAATCCATAATATATTACTAGATTAAGTTTGGATTAGACTGCTTAATACTTTTTTGTTACTACGATGAGTCACAATCGTAATGATTTGTCATTAGAAAATTAAACCTATTACTCAAGTCTTAATAATATAATAATAGTAGGTTTTCAAGCAATCTGACATGTAAGATGGTCAAACTAAGTTAACAGATAACTAGAACAAATTTGAGCCCGACTCTAAAAATAAATGAGCTATTCAGTTTTTTTGTGTGGTAGCTGTCCTTAGGCTATAAACCTGTATTGTTAGCTTAGCCGCAGCCCAGCCCCATTCCTAAAGCCTGAGAAAAAGCACCGGAAAGAATGAGCGCTTGAGCAACAGGTAAAATAGATGTACCAACTGTGGGTCTGGTTATTATATAGCAACAATCCACTGTCTCCTCAATACAAAACAAACAGCCCCGGACCTCTCCTGTTTCCTCCCTGACTCATACTTAATCATGTAATATATAACTTGACCTGCTTCAAATACAATATCAGGTGTTGTCGTGACATTTTCAGGGAGATTTTCTCACACTATGCTTAAGTTTGTAGAAGCAGGGCTGCGTTGACTTGTATAGAAATATAAGAAGCAACAGTAAGAGAATACCAAAATTATTCATATCCTGCCTCTGGACAATGACCCAACCCTGAATCATCCCAATAAGTGGAAAGAACCAGACCAGAGGAGCACCAAGAAATACAGTAAAGATCCAAAAGGGAAAATGTGAAGGGGGGATTGGAAGGAAAGGATTTGTCACCAATTATCAGGAAAAGTGAAACTAATTATGGATCATGAATTATTTGTTGAAAAAAAAAAAAAAAAAGATATGGTTGAATAATATTGTCTTTACCACAAAGAGAAAGGTTCATGTAACAGTTAGTGCTGGTCAGATCTTTTTTTGTGTGTTTGTTTTTAGCAATAAAAGGCACCTTTTGATGAATTACTACATAGATAAGATTTCCTGCCCTACTGAGACATTTCAGTTGAAACCAAAACATCTTCATAGAGACGAGCAAGAGGCGGCCCACCCAAAGGTTCCACACAACTCCTTTTTTTGTTTTTTTGGCCTGATTTTTTATGTTATTGTATCAAGCTACTGAAATTTAGCCATGCATAGTAAATATAACATACCCACCACATCTAAGCAATATCCAAACATTTCTGAAGCCTTAATATAGACATTTAGTCACAGTACATACCTACGTTTATGATTGTAGGTTTCATTCACTCATATAGAAACATCTTAATTGACGGTGAAGTTGCTTACCTTGGCACGAGTCCCCGGTCGTCTCGTAACCCGGGAGACATTGGCACTGGCCCACGGGTACCACCCACTCGCCCTCAGCGGTGCAGTAGATTTTCGGGGTGGTTGTACTGACAGCGTTCTCCACACACGATCCCTCCACTTCACTCAGTGAATCTGCGACCGTCTCTGGGAACATGGCCAAACTCTGCACTGTGGATGGGCATGTTTTATAGTAGACTCTGACAGACAGCAATGCCACACAAGCTCCCATATCTTGGAAGGCGAGATAGAAGCCTTTTCTTGAGAGCGGGCCCACAGTTCTCGTCTCAGTGTTGACTTTGAGCACGCGTCCTCTCGTGATCTCATCCGGTGCGATTGTGGCGACTTTTCGGAACTGTCCTTTGCGGAAATTGGTTCCTACGTCGGCATCGGCTTCGGAAATAAAAAGATTGAAGGTTTCTTTGCAGGAGACAGATGCGCCTCCAAATGTATTGCAGTCTCGTACGACAAATCTGAGCTCTACGGACACTCGGCTTGTCCCTGGTCGCCTCTGGATGAAAGTAGTGCGCAACCAATTGTCCTGTTCTGTAGATTCTATATTGCAAACACTGTAGGTGTAAAGAAGTGAACCGTTGACTACTGTTTGGACAATTTCCCACTGAGAAAACAAAACAAAAAAGAAACAGGAAGAAGAAATGATTAGTTAAAAGTTCAAAAGTCAATGAGAGGACTTTATAATTGCAGGCCTCAACTACTTTGTTCTTTCTAAACCAGACGTGTAACCACAAGGAGCCCTATAACTTGCTGAGTGAGTGGTCTACAGCAGTGGTTCTCAATATGGGGTATGTATATGTGAGGTCTTCTTGTGGTATTTAATGTCTAGACTTAGATTTTAGCTAGACTGTAAGTTTCAGCCATGGCAAATAAATAGTATGTTTGGTGGTTGCTTTTAAGAATTTCATAAATTAGTTTTGGTTATAAATCAAAGAATAGTTCAAATTTGGTCACAATCTAGTCCGGTTAATGCTTAAGGTCTCTAGATTTAAGGTGTTAGATATATGTTTTAAGATTCTGTTTGTCCTCATTGCTCTATAAAAGGTTCACAATGTAACTTTGGAGAGTTTTTTGCCTGCTTTTCTCTATGAAGATGTTATAGCTTCATCATTATCATCATTATTAGCCTCGGTTTAAGCTCACTGTGGTCAGCTTGTATACTTAATTCATTCATGGTTTAGCCTTGGTGGTACATACATGGAAAACCAAGCACAAGATGAAGTGGTGATGCTGTGATCTTCAGGAAACTGACTTGGCATTTTCCCCACTTTAAAGCTCTTCCCTTGGACATGTGCTACTGCGTCTTCGTGTGTGGGTGAGTTTCCACTGACACACAAAAGCCAAATGTGCGTGAGGCAGACGCAAATCCAGCTAAGGCTAAAACCGCAGCGAGTCAGCTAACACTTATGGTTGTTAAATGGGGTTTATAAGCAGACAGCAAAGGCATAGAGGAGCAAATGGGCCGCTATTTAGACTGTTTTAAGAGAGGGAAGCAATGACGAGGAGTAAGATTAAAAACCTCCACTTTACACTTCACATGTCAGCACTCACTACTACTGGGAAAGATTACGGTAACTTTATAGTGAATTTGGTTTTCTGTTCATTTTAGGTTAAGTGGATGGATCAGTCACCTAGCAACCACCGAAACTTATGGCTGGTTTAGGCAAGTAGCAACTAAACTCAAACATTGTAAGTATGGGCAGGTTTGTTGGTGAATGGTTATTGGACTTAGCTGTAATAATAATAATTACTTGCTTATGTGATTTTTTTTTTTTCTATGTTACTACTCACTACTACCTTTGCTGTCTATAAAAATATACTTATAATGGTATAAATGTAATAACTATATAATGAACATAAAATAAGCGATAGATAAGAGCCAATAGGAGAATGTGTATTAACAGACATTGCCGTCTTCAGATCTTTGGGACTCAACCATAACTGCAGCCTACACAGTGGAAGTGGCCATGTCCTGTTACTTATTTTAGCCGAAAGCCACTGAACTATAGATAGAGGGATGTTTGACAGGAAATTTACTGTACTTCTACATCCGAATTAAGGGTGATCTCAATTCACACACAAAGACAATGGGTTAGATACCAACTAAAATAACCTAGTACTGGTATTCGCTACATCCGCTTTGCTATTGTAAATCTGATTGTCGGCTTTAACCATGACATTTTAATAGCATTCATAATTACTTCATGAAAGGCTTGTGTTAAAACAAGACTCGCTCATTCCTGCCAAACCTCATAGCTGCCACTCATTCCTTCTCTCCCAGAAAGCAGTTTCAATGGTGCGACTTAGCATTGTGATTTAACCAAATTCTCACAACAACTATGCACTCCTCCTTCTGGGTCTTCTTGGCTGGGTCTTACTTTTGAAAAATAGCCTTAACCTGAACTCTTAAAAATGCCTGTAGAGGTATAAATACTCACTCCGTTCTCAAATGGCAACGTCAGCCATCCCAGCTCTCCTCCCGACGCTCTCATATCCAGCAATACTTCTAAAATGTCAAAACACAAAAACATATGATTAGCAATAATAGGGTTAGACATGTTTTCCCACAATCCTCCTGGGTCATTTTTGTAACCTTTGTAACAATGTGAATCCTGCAAATATTATGAAGCCACACAAAACAACAAGAGTTAGGGTGACAACCTCAAGTTTTAGGAAAAGAGGAAGGTGGTTTTGAATGTGGTAGGTCATGGAGTGACAGATTTGGAAATTTTAATAGTAGCTTGAATAAACCCATATGATTTGGAACAGCAATAGCAAACCAATTTACAACCCTGAATGCCAGTGCACCACAAAAGGATTGATTTCTTTGCGCGAAAACGCAATTATTGTATTTTCAGCATACATCTCACTTTTTATTCATATGGCATCAGTAAAAAAGTGTGGGACCAAAAGATAGGACCTAAATGGCTCTAAAGGACAACCAAAAGAGGGACCGGCATTCATCTGAGTAGAGATAGCTCTATATTATTTAAGTGATAAGGAATTAAGGCCTACTGTAAGTTCAGTGGAAGTTACACAATTATTTGTCTTCCATTTAAAGTGTCACTCACAAGACAACTATAAAAGACATTCTTTGTTCCTGAATGCGTTTAAGCCATAAATAATTACAGATAAACATGTCTACAATTAAATAATCCTGGGTGATCCCGGAGGGCAGGTGCTTTATGGGGGGCACATGCCAGCCTTTGACGGACTAATCAACCATGTCAGGCGTATTCAAGACTTCATTTACCGTGTCCTCCAACCCGAGGGATACAGCAACATTAATCCACGAATAAGGCGTAGGCGTTTAAATTACCGTGACCAGAAAAGTACATGAACCGACCATCACCGCCATCGGATCACACTAAAGTCTCAAATATATCCGGGGAAAAGCAAATGAAAGAAAAGAATGAACAGGTGGAGAGATTCGGAACGCGTAAAACTGACACATAACAGCCAAGTTGAATTATCGTCTTAGAGTAATAAAACTTAACCGAGCAAGTGAAGAGATATGGTATTTGATATACCCTTTCTTTTAAATAGCATAGTCGGACTGGATTTGTTAGCATAACAAAGTAAATCAAGTAATAAAAACACTTTTAAAAACAAAACTAAAATGTTAAAACGATCTTAGAAAAGTTCATCAGACAATTAGAATTCCTCAGGTTTGTCGTGCGTAATGATCCCACGTCAGAAAAGGTATAAGCTACATAAGCCACGAGGACAGGTTTACTTACGTTCTTTTGACTGAAGACTTGAAAAAACTTGACTAAAACATAAAAACAAAAATAAGTTAACCCCACGGAGCTCCATCTTCCACAACTTCTGTTTGGCAAAAGTCGTGTGCCCTGTTCCTGGCTATAATCCAAAGTGTGCGCTTAGCTCCGCCAGCGTTCACTGTTCTCTCCTCTTTGCCAAATAGTTGAGTGCACTGGCGGAGCGAGCGTGGGCTGCAGTCCCATTCAGAAACAGGTGGCGTCATAGCCCCGCCCCCTGCCCCAAAGAATGCGGAAAGGCCCAATTTTGGATAAAAGGGGAGGAGCCAAGACCGGACGACCGCACCTGTTCCATTGACAAAAGGATGGAGACAACTGCACTGTTTAAATAGATATGACAATGCAATTAATGAGGGCGATGATAAAATAAAATATGATATAATGATTAATGCGAATCCAATCAGTAAATTAAAGGTGAAGAGGTTAAATCAAATTCCTAAATAAATATGTTTTAAAGACAGAATGTGTAACCTTTTAGTAAAAATAAATAAATACTTAAAAACAGACTAAAAAAAAAAAAAAAAACATGTATCATGTTTGAAAACCGTGACATTTCACTGAGTGGGCTTGCATCTCCACAAACCTGACTCATATTAGACCAGGAGGAAGGGAATGTTCCGAAGTATAATCATAACTTGCTATTTCCATGACTTCCCAGAAGTTACATACTGTACCTATTAAAATAACTGGAAAAGCAACCTGTATACCTAACCAATAATACATCTTATGACAATATGCAATCTATGAACAAATAGACTGAAAGCAATGAAAAATAATAAGCTAAAATGCACATATAGGGTGGAGAAATTACATTCCAAAAGTTGGCAAAAAATACATTGAACTAGGCTATATTTAATGGCATTAAGACACTCCTAGCCTATGTACTGACTAATAGACTAAATTAGATTACACCTTTGTAAAGTAATTTGCCATTCAATTACATAGTTTGAAAGCCACAATAGTTTTAATTAAATAATCCATCCTAAATGAAGTGCAATGTTTGTTGATATCCTCCCTGATTCACCTTATTAGAGCCTAAAATCTAATTATGTAGCTTCGTTCCATGTTGTTGGTTAAACTTTTTGTGCATGTCTAATGTCCAAATCCTGCGCTCCTCACCCCACGCCTTGTCTTTCCCACGACTGGTAAAGGAGGGGTCAAGTGGGGGGGTGTTGTGGTGCGAATATATGACTACTAATGAGACAATCCCAATAAAAGATCTTTTGCATGTGGCTATGAATATGTCAACCACAATGGCGACCAGACAATGGCATCACCTAGCAACTCTTATCTGGTGGAATCCTGGAGTCAAATATGGTCTGTGAAGCACGCCGCGTACTTGGAGAGAGGAGACCCTCAACATCTAAGCACCCCCACCTCCCCCAAAACCCTAAAATCCTGACCCCACAAAAAGTGAACCAAAGCAGAAGACATTGTGGTGTCCAAGCGAACCACGCACGCACATTAATCATACAACAGGATGGGATGAGGGATGCTGTTAAGGAAAATAGATTAACAAGTTAAGTGTGGGTTTTATTGATGGCTCCATGACCTTGAAATGTCACATCACTTTAACGGGTGGGGAATAAATAGTAATGAGTTAACATGAAAAATTATTAGAGATGCTGCGTTAAGTTTTAATGTTTGAAAATAATCAGGTTAACTTAAAGGTTCTATATTCACAAAATTGACTGTTGTGAGTTTTAAGACATGTTATAATGTTGCTATCTCGTCAAAAACATATCTGGAGTTATATTTTGTTTCATTCATACATGTTTGAGTAACCCATTATTATTAGTCTATCTACATCTCCAAAGCTCAAAAATGCCACTTTGTGATGTCATGAAGCGGTAGTTTTCAAGTAAATAGCTACCTTTTACCTACAGTTCAGTAGAGTTTGGCAATTCCAGGTCCAAAATCTAAGAATTAATAATTATACCTTAAATGAAAATTTACCTGGGATGTTGCAAATCTGAAATCTGAAAAGATGTTAACCAAACTATTTTAAATTTTGCAACGGCAGGGCATGGTTGTTGGCATGTACTGTAATGTCCCGTTTACTGTTTGAGTTTGATTGATTTAAAAATATTAAGAGTTGTACCTTACTTCCACCTGTCCATGTACTAATCAGTATTAAACTAAATATAAACCAGGATTTAAGCAGGTCTGAATAGGATTAGATTAAAACCAAATCAGTAATCCACATCCAAACACGGATTAAACCGCGACTAAACCTATAAGATAAATGCAATCATTAATAAAGCCTGTATGCTATTTTTTATATTTTTAATATAGTTGTGATTGGACATTATGTAAATTATAGTAGGGAAGACTATTTAGTGCAGTCATTTTTAAAGTGCAACTTGTAGTAGTAAATGGACAATTTAATGTAATAATATGGACATTTTTACTGACAATCTTCAATGATAGAATTGTCCTAAGCAAAAATAATGTCAGTTATTGTACTTAACCTTTTACGAAGAGACATGTTGCGGCTTGGTTTGGGGTTAGTCATAAGAGATTTTATTACTAGGATACACGCTGTTTATTGAAAATTACACTGACTATTTGTGAAGTCACCTTTTAAATATAAAGAAATAAGAGCAAGAAGAAACGTACACCACCCATAATCCACGCCATCATAAATTTTAGATCAAAACTGAATTAAAAAAAAGAACTCTACACATCTTTAGAGATTAAGTCGTACTATAAAAAGGTGTTCTTTAACAACCCTTCAACTTATCTCAAAAGCAGGCAAGAAAAGAAGTAAAATTTCAGTTTGTTGCTAAACATTATGAACAGTTAACACCTGGGTTTAAAGGGTGCCTCTCACTTCTCACAATGCAGTGCACTTTGTTTTGGAGTGTGTTTGCCACTTCTGCAGGGGAACTTCCATCTTAAGTACTTTTCTTAATAGCTTCGATACTTGTTGGAGTACGGCGCTTAGGTGCTATGCCCTCAAGTGTGCTAACGCTGGGACCCCGCGAAGTGGTTTCAGTTGTGGACCTCTTCTTGAAAAGTGTCAAAGGTCAACACCCTCTCTAACACACAAGTATGCAAATGCTTTCATTACAATACAAGCTCCTCTCTATGCAGCTAACAGCCAGTGCATGTGTCCCGCTATACACCCCGCCTTCCAGATATACCCCCCTTCCTCCCCTCAAGCCTCTCAGGTCTCCAGCAGAGTGCCGACAACACAAAGGTTCTTCTCGCTGGGGGCTGGGCCTGCATTTTGTGGGTCAGTGCACAGTGGCTGAAGCAGCACCTCTCGCCAATGTCCCTGGACCCCTCCTCCTCCCCCTCCACCTCCTCCTCCTCTCACCACCCCAGGCTCAGCTCAGACCTCATAGTATCAGCAAACACAGGGAGGTGGTTTTGTGTAATGCCCACACCAAATCCACCCACCGGTTCCTACTGTTCCCGGTGAGAGGTTGATGTCCGAACGCTTGTTAAGATGTGATGGATTTGGAGTGGAGAGTAGGCATGGGACAATAGTTATTCTGAAGTAAAGTAAAGTTACAAAAGTACTAACTTCTATCATTTGGGGAGATTACATAGTCAGTAAAAGAGCTGATAACTAGAATACTGAGTTAGCCCAATAATTAGATCTTTTGAGTGAAATCTTATCAAAAACATCTAGTGACTTGTGTTGTTTAATCACTCCATGGATGCATAGAGTAACTGCTGTATTTTGAAGACAAAGTGCAATATATAGTAGTAAAAGAAGTATATTAGTAGTAACTCTTTCAATATTTTTAAGTTTGTCTTTCATTTTTTCATTTGCCACATTAGTTTGCCATTTTTGTAAAGTTTTCCTTGCCAAACCAGCAGAGATGTGAACAATCAGAGAGAAATTAGACTACTCACATGAGAGGCAATTACTATTGACATGAGAATTCAATAATCTGATAACTCAGAAATCAGATAACAGTCAGTGTTTTGCTATGCACATAAACATAACCGATCATAGCAACCCTGATTAAATTTGATCAGAGTTTCGCTGTGCACGCAAAAATAACCAATGATAGCAACCCTGATCAAATTTCATGTAAAAGTAAATCACCTTTTGTTATATTTTGGAGACTTTCTGACCCATTTTCAGGACACTATAATTTTCCACAGCACATTAGAATGACATACTAGAAGGCCTTTACCAGCTGATTCATAACACACCCAGTTCACATAAACTCTTAATTATTACTCTGATGTTGTAAGTAATAGTTAGAATATTTCCTGTTTCAACCTTAGACAGCGTTGTCACGTACTGTACTGGGATTACAACATTTCTCAATATACACCTTTTTCTTGTTGAATAAAATACAAAAAATATATATATATATTATTAACTGTGGATGTTCCTCTGGATACTTTTACATTTATTGGCAATTATCAACACCAGTCAATATATGAAACTAATGATAAAACTGTGAATACTTTTTGGATTGTTTAAAAAATATATACCGATATATTTATTATTAGAGATACATTATAACACCTAATGTAAAGGTTTGAAAAAATGACTTCAAAACCTTGGGAAGAAAACTCTTCTTGCCAAAGCTCCACGTACACCTTTCTTTGAGGAATGCTAGGTGGGGTGCTTGCTGTTGTGTTGCATGCGGGGCCTTGGTGAGCACATTCAAAGAAACATGCTGGGGCAAGTTCACGAGGAGCAGTAATGTGAGTATACGTGGTCCGTGTGATCGCTGTCGGCATGGGAAACAACCTCACGCTTCAAAGGCTAGAACCTCGAGACATTCTAGAAGGAGGCAGAAGAATTATGAGGTGACGTCAAGACTAAAAATTCACAACCAGGTCTTGCCATATTGGTGTTGGATATTAAATAACAACCACTCCCAATAAACAGTTACAAATCTTCCCCTAATCGAACGTTATATGTGTGTAAAGCTGAGACTTGTTGGAGACGTTGCATGCACTGTGTGAAATTGCAAAAATAAATGTTGACCTCTGCAAAGGCATCTCGCAATGGTAAAAATACAGCACCCAAGCCAGTGATGTGGCATTCGTGAACGAGTCAGCTCTTTTGAATGCTTCCTGAAAGGTGCACTGTGTAACTTTTTCATTGTGGGTCCGTCACCTACTTGTTTCTATGGAATGTTCCACAGTATGACATTAAACACCTCTACC